GACATTATTTTTAAACAAAAAATACAAAGAATTCTGATTTAAATTTTACAAAAAAATCAGAATTTTATATTATCCTTTGTTAAATAAAGAAAACAAAAAATTCTGATATTTTAAAATTACAAAAATACACAATTCTGATTTTTCTATAAATTTAAATCAGAATTGTGTGAAAAATCAGAATTTTTTGTGTTTTCATTTTTAAACCCTGAAAAAAATACAAAAATTAAAAACTTACTCTCCATAACTGAACGCTTCTGTTTTTTACGATTTCTTTTATCTTTCTCCTCAAAAGTCATTGGTTCAAGCAACTCCAAAAATACGCCACAAGCAACTTTAAATTAATTTATTTAATTTTTTGAATAAATTAAAAAAAATCAAACTTGTAGAATTTTCAGAATTTCGAAGCGTAAAGCGTTGCTGTGGTAACATAAATTGATCAACACTGGAGAAAAAAAATTTTTTAATTTTTTAAAAAATTTCAAAAAAATTTTTAGTGACTCACTTATATTCCAAAATAATTTCAGCATGCTACAAAATTTATTTAAAAAATAATTTTTGAAAAAAACCTCTCCAGGCATAATAAAATCTTTATTTGTATCCAAAATTCGAATATTTCCAACACAATTCCAAGTTAACGAAAAGACTTGTTCCGCAAAGAAATTGGCAATAGGAAGCTTTGAACCTCCCTCCTCTGGACGTAAAACGTAAATTTGAGCACGAACTAAAAAATAAAAAAATATAAAAACATTTTCGGACCAAAGAAAAGGGTAAATGGAATAAAAGGCAAAAATGAAAAGGAACACCAAAACAAAGAAAATTCCCAAAATAATTTAAAAAATGAAAAACAAAATCCTCAAAGACCTACTGAAAAATAAAATTTATTTCAAAAAAACCTCTATCAGTAAGCAAATGTTTATGTCCTTGAGGTAAAAGTTTTTTTTTTTTTTTTTTTTTTTTTTTTTTTTTTTTTTTTTTTTTTTTTTTATGTCCTTGAGGTTTTCAGATACGGCCAAAATTTCAATACACACAGACTTAGTTCAAGGTGGCATAACCAAAAAAATTATTCAGAAAATTCCGAAGGAGGGTTGAAATATAGTACGGCCCCCTCAATTAGTACGGCCCCCTCAAATAGTACGGCCCTTTAGAAGAGGGTTGAAAAATAGTACGGCCGGCCGTACTATTTGAGGAAATACGGTAATTTTGAATATAAACTAGAGTTTCGGCAACGAGTCATTCCCGGACCGAGTTTCCGTGCCTGTAACCCAACTACCTCCCCTCTTCGCCTTCCTCATCTACCTTTAAATTAAAAAATTTTTTAAATTCAAAAAATTTTTTGAAAATTTTCAGCAGATTCAGAACACGAATATGACGAATTTTTACCTTCTGATTTTGAAAATGAAGAAGAAAATGAACAACAAGATATAGAAATAAGTGAAAATAGAATTAACAATCAACGTGAAAATTTACAAGGAGGAAACCCTAAAAATAATAGTGGATTGGGTCTAGACGAAATAGATTCAATTTCTTCACAACTTTCTTTTGGTAATTAAAAAATTTTTTTAACTAACCCCCTTCCTCCTTTTATTTAACCAAAAAATCTTCCCTCTTCAACCAAACTTAAAAATAATTTTAAAAATTACCCACATTCACACTAGTTCAATAATAATTTTTTCCTTTTTTCCAACGGATGTCTATGTGGTAGAGTGTGTTCAAGACCAAAAAATTTTTTCCTGTACTCAAGGCCAAGACAGAAAAACTCCCCTATAAGTCTTGATTATCCTTCTACATACTAACTTGACTATTCCAAGTCCAACAAAAATTTTTTCATAACTTAAGATCAAAACCGAACCTAAAAGAAGTCTTTCCCCCTCTCCTCCTTCCTTATCTTGTCTAACCAAAAATAATTTTAAAAAATTTTTTAATTTAATTTTCCCCATTTTTTAGACGATGAAGAAGAGGCTCACGCTCTTCTTTCTGGTCTTCGTCAAATAGATATATCCGAATCTGATTCCGATACCGATGCTTTTTTACCTTCCTTTGCTATTAAAAAACGACAACAACAACAACATGATAAAAATCTTGTTGGGGAATTTTAGTCAAAATTTTTTTTAAAAATTTTCTTAAAGTCTATTTACGTGCTTCTAGAGGATAGATTGAATTTTAATTTCATTTTATTACTCAATTTATTCTCTTAGGATATTTTTAAAAATACACTAACTGATCTCAATTTCCCTTTATTTTATTTTTACTAATAGGGTGGCTCGCTTCTTTTTTTAATTTTATTTCCGTGACTAGAAAAAAGGTCTTGCTCGGGTATTAACTCTGATATCCTTTTCTGATGGACTCGAAAAAAAATTTTTTTGAACAAATAACAGAAACCCAAGTTATCTTAAATTTTTCTAGTCACCAATTCTCCTATATTTTCTAAAATTGTCCACACCTTATTTTTGGGTATTTTCCGAGTTTCTCAATTTTTTTTATTTAATTAAACTACCAAAGCATATCCCGATTTGTCCAATGTCCAAAAGTTGCCCAATTTTCCAAATCTGTCCAATCGTGTCCAGGTTCCAAAATTATTTTTCAGTCCACAATTTAAAAATCTAAAGGTAAAAAAATCGGGATTAGTATTTATTATATTCTCTTTTGCTTATTAAAATATTCTCGGCATTGATTCGACAATTTTAATATAAAAATAAAGTATAAAAACATTTTTAAATCACATTTAAAAATTTTACAGAGAAAGACAAGTAAAATAAGGAAAGGGTTAAAAAAAGCTGTGTTTTAAAAGAAAAATTTTTTCTTAATTTCTAAAAAATTAATTTTTTTTTGGAATTTTTAGAAATCCAAGGAGCCCTGAAATTTTTTTGAATTTTTAGAACTTCCAAGATTATGAAAAGTATTTTTTAACACAGCTTTCTAAATATATAATTTTTTGAAGAATTGGGAACCCGTTTCTTCTTTGGCTCTAATAAGTAAAATTAGGATAAAAACTTGGCAAGAGAGTTAAAAGTAAAAGGAATTAGGGAGAAAACAATAAAAAATACCGGGAGAGAGGATTTGGAATTTTTTATGAAATGAAAGAAATTTTGGTAATTATTAATTAGTGGTACCTAATTAAGTAACAAAAAATATAGAGAGAATAAGAGATTTCTGAGGAGGATTGAAATTTTTTTTTTAATTTTGTAGAGTAGTTGAGCAATCCAACAAAAAAATTTTTGTACATTTTCCATCCACTTGTTAAATTTTTCGAATAAACCTCAAGGTAAATCTTGCTGTCCTTCCATTTGGTCGAAAGATTATCTTAAAATTAAAAAAAGTTAAAAAAATTTTTCAAACCAAATTAAAAATCTTCTTAATTTTAAAAATTTTATTAAACTAAAACTAAGCAATCCTTTGACTTAAAAAAATTTTTTAGTTCCCCTTAACAAAAATCCTCACATAAATTTGACTTCCATCAGATATTGTATCTTCCTTTGGACGATAACAACAACTACAAAAATTTTTTTAAATTAATTTTAAAAATTAAAAAACCTCCTAAATCCAGTTAACCGAATGTCCAATTTATGTTTAATTTCGACATAGGACTAGAGAAAAATTTTTTTCTTTTTTTAAATTTAAAACTAAGCACCTGGCATCCATATGAACAAGGGAACTAAAAAAGAATTTTTTAATTAGAAATTTTTTTAAATTAAATTACCTCTCCATCACTTAATCTAAAACGAATATGACTTCCTTCGGGTGCCTTTAAAAATAAAAAAATTTTTAATTTCAAGAAAAATTCTTTTTTTTTCTTACAGAAATTCTCCAATAACATTGAACATTTTTGTTAAAGGAAGGATTTAAATTTGTTTGTTGAGTCCGAGAATCCTTAAAATAAAATATTAAAATTAAAAATTAAATGAAAATTAATTTTACATGCAATTCTGGTGACCTAAGTGTTTGCCACTGATCGGTAGCTATTAATTCACCTCCACAAACACTTGGTTGTAACCTTTCGCATTCAACACCACCAAGTGCTATTTTAGAAAATAAAATTTTTTTTAATTTAATTGAATTTTCAATAAAAAATTTTTTTTATTAAATTTAAAAATAAAATTAATTTTTCCCTTTAATTAAAAAATATTTTTTTAATTTTTTAAATTTTTTCAATAAATTTTTCCCAGAAATTTTTTGAAAATTTTTTTTCCTCACCATCAGGGCATTTACAAACATTGCAATTATTTGGATCTGGATAACCGCCAGCTTGGCAACGCAACTAAGAAAAAATATTTTCCGCAACAAAAAAAATTTTTTTACGTTTCTTCCAAATCCTTCACAAGCATTTGGACAATAAATATCATTAATCATTTTTGCATCAAGAAAGGCCATTCTTTCTGTTCCCATCTAAAATTTGTATTTTTTCAAGTTTTAATTTTAAATTAAAAAATACAAAATTGGAAAATACAAAATAAAACAAACTTTAATTCAAGTTTGTTATTTATTCAAGTTTGTTCAAGTTTGTATTAATTCAAGTTTTTATTTTTTACAGTTTATTTAATGTATTTAGCTTGTATTTTTTTCAAGTTTATTTATCAATTTTATTAAGGTTTGTATTTTTCTCGTTTTATGTATTTTTCCAAGTTTATTTTTATTGTTAGTGTTTTTTCTTTATGTATTTCTTGACTGTATTTTTCAAGTTTTGTGTTTATTTTTTCAAGTTTATTTTTTAGTTTATTCAAGCTTGTATTTTATATTTTGTAAACTCTTTTATGTATTTTCCCAAGTTTATTTATTTAATGTATTTTTCATGTATTTTTCACATTTTCAAGTTTTATTTTTCGAGTTTATCCAAGTTTGTATTTTATATTTGTATTTTCCTTATTTTATGTATTTCTCTTCAAGTTTATTTTCTGTATTTTTTTCATTCTTGTATTTCTTTTGTATTTCTCCAAGTTTTATTTCTCAAATTTATTCAAGTTTGTATTTTCTCTTTTTATTTAATTTCTCAAGTTTATTTTTAGTGTTTTTTTGTATTTCCTCATTTTGTATTTTTCAATTTTATTTTTTATTTTTCAAGTTTGTATTTTCTATTTTCAACTTTTATGTATTTTACTTCAAGTTTATTTCTTGTATTTTTTTATTTTTGTATTTTTCAATTTTGTATTTTTTCAAGTTTTATTATTTAATTAAAATACACTCACAGTTGTAACATATTTTAATTCTTTCGGTACAATTGTAAAATCAGTTACTTGTCTAGCATGCGCAACCCAAAAGAAAAATTAATTTTTTAATTAATTGAAAAAATAAATTAACTGCATGATAATGCATTAACGAGCCATAATCATAACTTTAAATTTTAAAAAATTATTTTCCAAAAAAATATTTTTTAAGCTTACGGGGAACGCCGGCCTGAGACCTTTAAATAAAAAAAGATTTTCAAAAAATTCAAAAAATAAAAAAAAAAATTTTTTTAAGACCTGTTTAATAGCAAAAGCTTGAAGCATTGAACGGAAAGGCATAAAAGACTAGAAATTAAAAAAAAAAATAATTTTTTTTTAATTTAAAAATCAGTCAAAAATCATCAGTCAAAGCAACTTACTGCTGTTGCTTCTTCCAAAACATTTCTCCAATTTATACTTATATAACGCTCCCTATCCGGTCTTTGACTTTAAAAATAAAAATTTAATTCTTATTTTATAAAATAATTATTTAACTGTGTATGCCAAAATCCAAGGGCATGACCTGTTTCATGTGCAACTACATACTCTTCTGCACATTCTGAGCCAATAACTTTAAGAAAAAATATTTTTTGTCTAAATTTAATAGGTAAGAACGTTAAGGGTTAGCTCCGGGCAAGAGGAAAAACTTCAATCATGCGACATCCCCTCCCAGTCAGGTCGCTGATTAATAAGCTAAAGTGGATCCCCCTTTCCCCTCATAATTATTTTTAATTTTTAATTTTTTAAATAAATTTTTTAAATTCACTAATATCTTGAAATCCACCATTCCTTCCAATATATTCAGTAAAACAACTTTAAAAATAAAATAAAAAATTTTTTCAAAGAAATTCCCCCCACCTATCTCCCCTTTCAAGTACATATCTAATTGCATCTGTAGCTTGTAAATTTTCACGGAAACGTAAACATGTTGCTTCCTTATAATAAAAAAAATTCTTTCTTTAAATTTAATTTTAAATTTTTTTACCTCCCACATTTTTATTCCACGACGAATTAAACTTTGGAAATTTGCTGAAAAAAAATTTTTTTTAATGAAAAATCGAAAAAAAAAATTTTGAAAAATTTTTTCAAATTTTTCAAATTTATTATGGAAATCTTCAAAAAAAAATTTTTTTTGAAAAAATATAAGTTCAAAAAAATTTTGTTTTTCCTGAAATTTTTCAAAATTTTTTTTTAAAATTCTTTCAAGTTTTTAAAAATTAAAAAAAATTCTCCATACCATCTCCTCCCCATATTTGAAATGGAACTAAATTACTTGGCCATTCATATACTTGACCAGCAATTACCTTTTAAATTTTTTAAATAATATTTTTTTCCTATTTTTTAACCTGTCTTTTTCGTCTCAAATTTAAATTGGACATTTTTGTTCTCGAAAAGCGCTCTAAAATATTTTAAAAATTTTCAAAAAAAATTTTTTTCCAATTAAAAAATTCCACCTGTAATAGTAAAAAAATGTGGAGCTGATTTTTCTCCAGCCATAGGTTCAAGCCCAGGTAAAATTGGGAACGATCTATTTGAAGGGATATGAAGTAAGATTGGCCTTCCCATTTTTGCAATATTCAAAACAAAAAATAAAAATCCAGTCCAAAAAGGGGATGAAGAAGAAACCATCGAAGGATGGATGGCCTAAAAAAATCTTTTTAAAAAATTTTGTTAAAATATTTTTTAAGGAAAATCCAAAGGTTAAAGGCCATGCAACAGACATTGGCCCTAATTTCGCTACCAGCTCCCGTCTGCCACATTTTATTTTGTTCCGCTTTCTTCCGTTTTTTAAAATTCTGCAGGGCCTATCCCTGACATTCAGCAAAATTAATAATACAATTGCGCATACATGTAATAATAAATACATCGATCCGGCGCCGCGCAACTTATACTAGCTAGTAACACAACACAAAAGCAGAAAGCCCCGTAAGGTAAAAAATCAGTAAAGAATAAAAAAATTGATCAAAAATGAGGAAAAGAGTCATTCATACAAAACAACATAAAAAATAATAAGTTTTTAACAATTAAAAAATTGCTTTTGGTTGAGGAAGGTGATGATGAGGAGAATAAAAAAAAAGGTATGAGGAAGAAGGACAGACAAAAAAATTATTTTTGAATAGAAAAAGCTTTTGCCGGTTGTAATTTTCTCTCTAATAGTAAAGTAAAAAAGCTACATATATATTGCCGGTTCTAGTAGAGCCATCAAAAAAAAAATTAAAAACCTGTCTCTTTTCTGAACGGAGAGAGAAGAGGAGGAAATTTGTGAAGGGAAAAATGAAGAGGAATATAACAATTAAATATTATTATTGCCCAATTGTGAAGAATGAATTAGAAAATTTTGTAAATAAAAGAATTGGCTTTGAAATAATGTCCAACGGAATTTTAAAAAATGAAATTAAAATAGGATTAGCCGAGAGATCGAATCGAGAGATCCACCTCCCCTTCCCTTCAAGAGAGAGATCCCCGCACCCTCCTCTTCAAAAGAGAGATCCCCGCACCCTCCCATTCAAGAGAGAGATCCCCGCACCCTCCCCTTCAAGAGAGAGATTCCTCCCCCTCCCCTTCAAGATCCTCTTCTCCTTCAAAGCCCCTCTTCTGGATATATTAAAAAAAAGAAAGAGAGATCCCACCACCCCTCCCCTTCAAGATCCTCTTCCCCTTTCAAAGCCCCTCTTCTGGATATATTAAAAAAAAGAAAGAGAGATCCCACCACCCCTCCCCTTCAAGATCCTCTTCCCCTTTCAAAGCCCCTCTTCTGAATAATTTAAAAAAAAACGAAACTCGAAAATATCATTACGGCTATGAATGACTCCTCTTGATATTATCACCCTTAACTGATCTCTTTAAGGGTACTTGATCTCTTTAGGAGAACTAACGTAATCGGAAATTCCTTGTCCTAAATTTTATCGCTAGTTCGCTACAGTCGAGAGACCGTCCTCTTCCTTCCGGATATGAATTTAAAAAAAAGAAAATTCAAAAAATTCTTTCCGATATCTTCTAACGTCATTAGAAGCTTCCTAATGAATGGTCCTTTGATGACTGGTCCTTTCGGTGGACTGACTAATCAAAAGTTCCTTGTCCCATTAAAAATAATTCCAAATATTTTTCGCGAGTTCGCTACTAGTCAGAAAATATTTTTTAAAAAAGATATAAGGTCTCGGGCAAATGAATGTTCTGAAATTAATTTTATATATATTGCGCTAACAAAAAAATCAAAATAGATTGCAAGGCCGTGATCTATCCACACACACGCATTTTTTATTCTTCCCCATTTTATTGGCAACCTTGACACTTTTTTTGCCCCAAATTTTAACAAAAAAGGAAAGAAAGAAAAATCGGATTTAGAATTTATATTTATAAACCCTTTTAAAGGAAAAAAAAAAGAAAATTTTTCTAAATGCAAATAAAAATATTATTATTATTGGAGGTCGCGGTCGATCACTCAACAAAAGACGTAAAAAATAAATTTTTTTGGAGCATGTACCCTCTTAAAAAAGACAAATAGGAATAAGTGTGTGATGGCCCGCGGGCACTTTGACCGCGTAATTTACTCTCCCCCCTTCTATAAATTTTTTAATACCTTTTAGAAAATTTTTTTTCCTTCTTTACCCTCGAATGAACGGCCGATAGTTTTGTCGTTGTTGTTAGAGAAGACGACCTAAGCAACCAAAAAAAAAGCTTCTTCCAAAAAGGTAAAGCAATCTTTTCTTTTGATGATGATCCTCCTCCTCTTCTTTTTTCGCATCGCTTGAAAGAATTACAGCAGCGGCCTCGAAATGGGACGAATAAAAGAAAGGAAGAACCTGTCCTGTTGCTAAAAACAAATCAAAACCTAAAAAAAAAGATCGAAATCAAATAGAGAGAGAATTAGTAAATATCTGACATAATTATCTGGCTTGATTAGTTCTCATTAAATATTCTCATTATTGACAAATAATTGACAACTAATGAGTATGAGACAAATATCCAAAAATCTATTCAAGACATATTCTAAAAACTGATCAAAAAAAAATCACCTCCTAATCTGAGTTGAAATTTTAATTGATCTGGAGATTGAACAAAACTATTTAGAAGATTACCAAAGAGCCCGATCAACGTTAATCTGCTGAATTGATAAATTAATCCCATCATTTGATCTTTCAACTATCCCAATATTCACCTTCCTTTCCTCCACCACCTAATAACTAACCCTCTTCACCCATGGACAAACCTCCATGACACCCCCCTACCCCAAGCTTCTTCCTGTCCCCCTACTTCTTCATGCTTCTTCATGTCCTCACACCTCCCCCCAGCATCTCCATGCCCCCCCCCCAGCATCTCCATGCCCCCCCCCCCTTCTCACCTCCTCACACTTCCCCACAACTTCGTCCTGTCCCCTTTTCACACCTCCCCCTAGCTTATTCATGCCCCCTCACACCCCCCCCCCTCTCTCCAGCTTCTTCCAGTCCCCCTCTCTTCTCCCTTCCCCCTCTCTCTTTTATTTTCCAAAATTGTTTCCCAATTTTTAATCCAAATCCTAAAAAATTTTCTTTTTCCAAAAATTGCGTTTCAGATAAGCTTTTTTTTAATAGAAAACAGGAAAAGTGTAAATATATAATTTTTTTTTTCAAAAAAAAAGGTAAAGCGTAACCACCACCAACTAAAAAGAGAGAGAGAAAATGGGATTATTTTATTTTATATTATTGCGCGTTATTTTTTTTTGTTTCTTTTTAGTTTTTTTGTGTTTCATTAATTTTACAACCTTGAACTAAAACAATTTTTTTAGAACAAGAAGTAAAATTAAATTGAGAAAAAAATTACATAAATTCTATGTAATTAAAAAAAGATGTTTTTTATTATATTCCCATTTAAGTTAGGGTTAAAAAAAATTTTTTTTCCTTACATTGACAAAAAATTGTCGAGAAAAAAAAATTTTTTAACCAATAAAACGTTAAATTTTCATTAAAGAAAAGGAAATTAATTGTTTTACTTATATGTAGTTGTGGTTTCCATTTTCGCGTCGGGCTATACGAGTCACTTTCAGGCCTCATTTTTAGCAAGTCGGGCCTATGAGTATTTTTATGGCCAAACATATTAGGCCCGACTTGATCTTTCGGTCCGAGTCGGTCCATTTAGGCAACCCTACTTAGAAAATTTAGAAAAAAATTTTTTTAGTAACTTTTATAGTTATTGAGCATTATTTAATTTTTATTGCACAGAAAATTAAAAAAAATTTCTTTAGAGATTATAATAATTTTTTGAAAGAAAAATTTTTCGAAAAAAAATTTTTTTTGAATTTTTTTTGAAAGAAAAAATTTCAAAAAATTTTTTTCTTTCAGTTTAAATGCTTACATAAAATTTTTTAAATCTTAATTAAAAAAATTTTTTTCTTGAGTTTGTTAAAGCTTTTTAATTTAAGCAGTTTTTATTGTTATTGTTGTTAGTAATGTTACAGGGTTGTTGATGCAATGGTGTTATGTTTGATAAAATTTTAAGATATTCGGGCAATTGAGAACGGTAAAAATTGACAGTTTTGACTTTTAATTCTTGAGAGGCTTCCTTTAAAAAATTTTTGAAAAAAATTTTTTCAGAATTTCAAAAATTTTCAAAAAAAATTTTCAAGAAAAAAATTTCAAAAATTTTTCAAATTTGAAAAAAATTTTTTCAGAATTTCAAAATTTTTCAATAATTTTCAAAAAAAATTGACCCACCTCATCCACCAACCAAATACAATTATTGTGTGATTGCAAAGCTGAAAAAATTATTATTTTTTTATTTTTTAATCAAAAAATTAAATTAAAAAATTTCACCACTGGCAGTGCACATATGAGAAATTCCCTTTTCTACAGCCTTGTGTACAGCTAAAGCTTTATGAGAACCACTCGCCAAAACCAAAATCTAAAGGGAAAAAATTTTTTTGGAAAATTTTCTTATTAAAAAATTTTATTTTGAAAAATTTTCTTATCAAAAAATTCCTTTTTCTAACCTCTTTAGCTTCCATTAAAGTGCCAACACCAACAGTTATTGCCTAAAAATAAAAAAAAATTATTTTAAAATCATTAAAAAAATAAAAATTTTTCTAAACCTTTATAGGAACTTGACTACAATCATTTTGAAAGAAACGCGAATTTGCTAGAATTGTTTCATTATTAAGTGCCTGGACACGTGTACGACTCTTAAAAATCAAATAAAAAATTTCAAAAATTAAAAAAAAACGTTTAGACTACTGCCAGGTTCATTAAAAGCTAAATGTCCATCTGATCCAATGCCTTTGAGAAAAAAATTATTTTAAAAAATTTTAATAAAATTTCTTACCAGAAACAAATAAATCAATTCCTCCAGCAGTTCGAATTGCTTCTCTAAAAATTTTAAAAATTTAAAAACCAAAAAAAATTTTCAAACTCATAACGATTGCATTCATCTAAAAGAGAAGGTGCTTGCCCATTTGGAATGTCAATCTGAAAAAAATTTGTGAAATGAAAAAAAATTCATTAGAATACGCTTACGTTTAAAGGATCAATGTCAATATGACTATAAAATTAAAAAAATTCTTTTCATTAAAAAAAATTTTTTTGAAAACCACAGGAAATTCAAAGGTTTTTATATTTTCAACGAAAGACCCAATTTGAAAAAAAACAAAAATGAAAAATTAAAATTTTTGAAAATCAGAAATTTACAAATCTAATTTCCAATAAAAACAGAATTTAAAAAAATTACAGAATTCAGAAAAAAAAGCAAAAAAATTAAAAAAAAAATTCCCCAAAATTTAACAGAAAATAAAAACTAACCTAAATAAATTTTCAAACATAAAATGTCGATAACTTTGTGGATGTAGAGGAGAAATTCCAACATATCTTCAAAAATTAAATTAAAAAATAAAAATATTTTAAAAATTTCTTACTCATCCATATTAAAAGTTTTTACACGTTTAAATGAAATTTTTCCCATTTTGTAAAATTCAACAAGTTTTGAATACATTCCGATTGGAGTACTTCCTAAAGAAATATTTTTTTCTTAAATTTCAAATAAATCTAATACAAAAAATTTGACTCTATCTGAAAAGAGTGCTTGGCTGAGTTTTTGCCTTATTTCCTTAGAATGTCTAGAAATGGTCAATCGTCAAAAAATTTTTTTAAAAATACAGGCCATACCAAAAACGCGGACCAGTCCATGTTTTGTCTGTTCCGTATTTTGGAATTCCTTGTTTTGCCCTTCACACGATTCTAAAGAAGTTTGGAAAAATAAAAAAACCATTCTAAGGAAGTAAAAAAGTCAACCAGGCACTCCCTTCAGATAGAGCCAAAAAATTTCAAAAAAAATTCCAAACCTGTAGGAAGCCCCAAAACAAAAAATTTCTTATTATTTTCATTTTCTTTACAAAAATCAACAATTCTTTTACAAACAAATTCAGCCGCAAAAGTTGAGATTTCATTATAGTCTTTGAGCAATACAAATTTCATTTTTCTTTAAAAAATATTTACAGAATATAGAGATCTGAAAAAAAATAATTTTTTTCAACTATAAATTAGCTCCATAATCGTTTTTACCAAATATTTCCTTATCTAAAAAAAAATATTTTTTAAGAGGGAAAAATTGATAAGAAGAAAAATATTTTAAAAATATATAGTGAATATTAATTACTTAAACAAATAAAAAAAATTTTTATTTACCTAAAAACAAATTTATTTTTGATTATTATTTAAATAAACATCAAAAATAACAATCAAAAAAATAATTAATTAATTAGCCAACCAAAAAAATATTTTTTTTCAACCTTTTTTTAGACTAATTTTTCCAAAGTCATCTTCCTCATTTTTCAATTCCAAAAATATTAATTATTCTCAATGTCCAGTTGCTTCCCTTCTAAAAAGCTCTTCAGCAGGATTGTTACTTGGCGATTTTGAATAATCCGGCTTGCAAGTCTTTTCCCAACTTGCCTCGTATGGATTAAAACCAAGTTCTAAATTAAAGTAGAAAAAAATCAGAATTAAAAATACAAAAAATTCTGATTTTAACGACAAAAACACAAAAAAATTCTGATTTAAATTTAATTGAAAATCAGAATTTTGTGTTTTTCATTTACAAAAATCAGAATTAAAAATTAAAATACACAAAAAAATTCTGATTTTAAACAAAACACACAATTCTGATTTAAATTTAATTAAAAATCAGAATTTTCGTGACATTATTTTTAAACAAAAAATACAAAGAATTCTGATTTAAATTTTACAAAAAAATCAGAATTTTATATTATCCTTTGTTAAATAAAGAAAACAAAAAATTCTGATATTTTAAAATTACAAAAATACACAATTCTGATTTTTCTATAAATTTAAATCAGAATTGTGTGAAAAATCAGAATTTTTTGTGTTTTCATTTTTAAACCCTGAAAAAAATACAAAAATTAAAAACTTACTCTCCATAACTGAACGCTTCTGTTTTTTACGATTTCTTTTATCTTTCTCCTCAAAAGTCATTGGTTCAAGCAACTCCAAAAATACGCCACAAGCAACTTTAAATTAATTTATTTAATTTTTTGAATAAATTAAAAAAAATCAAACTTGTAGAATTTTCAGAATTTCGAAGCGTAAAGCGTTGCTGTGGTAACATAAATTGATCAACACTGGAGAAAAAAAATTTTTTAATTTTTTAAAAAATTTCAAAAAAATTTTTAGTGACTCACTTATATTCCAAAATAATTTCAGCATGCTACAAAATTTATTTAAAAAATAATTTTTGAAAAAAACCTCTCCAGGCATAATAAAATCTTTATTTGTATCCAAAATTCGAATATTTCCAACACAATTCCAAGTTAACGAAAAGACTTGTTCCGCAAAGAAATTGGCAATAGGAAGCTTTGAACCTCCCTCCTCTGGACGTAAAACGTAAATTTGAGCACGAACTAAAAAATAAAAAAATATAAAAACATTTTCGGACCAAAGAAAAGGGTAAATGGAATAAAAGGCAAAAATGAAAAGGAACACCAAAACAAAGAAAATTCCCAAAATAATTTAAAAAATGAAAAACAAAATCCTCAAAGACCTACTGAAAAATAAAATTTATTTCAAAAAAACCTCTATCAGTAAGCAAATGTTTATGTCCTTGAGGTAAAAGAACACATCCTCTTTTAAGATCTTTTGGTTCAACACCACGAAGCAAAATACCTTGACAAAAAATTTTTTTTCAATTCTTTAAAACTTTCTCATGTGGCGGCTCAAATGTCCCCACAATTTTAGTTGAGCCGCCACAAACGAAAATTAAACGGTCTCCAAAACCGATTAAAAATAAAAAAAATAATACCCAATTGATCTCCAGGTTCACCTTTATCAACAGTTTTACAAAATGTTTCCAAACCTATAAAATATAAAAATTTAATTTAAAAATTCTTTAAAATCAAAAAAAATATAACCATTAACAATAGTAGTCTTATTTTTTCCTTGTCCAGCAATTACCAGTTTGTCACCCTTCTTTACTGATCCTTGTTCTAATTTACCAGTGACAACACCACCTTTTCCTGCAAAAAAAATTTTTTTTAAATTTAAACTTATTATCATTTTATCAAAAATAAACCTTCAATATTATAAACTTTTTCAACAGCAAAAATAGTTTCATCATTAACCTCACGTTTAGGAATTTTAAAATAATTATCCAAAGTTTCAAGAAGTTTAAAAACAGATTTTTCACCAATTTCAGGATTTATTCCTTCCAATGCAGATAATGCCGAGCCAATGATTATCTTTAAAAAAATTTTTTTTTAATCGGACAACGCTATAAGATAACCCTTAATGGTAAAAATCGAATCTTATAATCAGTACATTATATAAGTAGCTCCCCTTAAATACCTCCCCATCGAAACTAAAAAAATGTATTTTAAACTCAAGCGTATTTACAGTTAGTATGAGACAGGGATTTGACTTATACTCAAAACGCCAGTTTTTTTCTACCAAAAATAAAAATCCGATACAAGAAACTTTTGTAACCCCAATCCGAAACCCCGAACTAACTGCTTACACAACCAATCCCATCCATGATATGAAGGGTATACTCATAGTGAGGATTAACTGCAAGGGTCCATATAATCCTTTAATGGCATACCGGCACTTCATCTCCAGGATATTCATATTCATTCAAAAGTTCTCTAACTTCCATTTCAACAAGTTCACGAGTTTCTTCATCATTTACTTCATCACATTTATTCAAATAAACACAAATATTATGTTGAGGAATTCCGCATTGACGAGCTAACAATAAATGCTCTCTAGTCTAAAAATTGAAGTTTTTAATAGTTCAAACATTAAAAAAAACCTGTGGCATAGGCCCATCAGTAATTGCTACAACAAGAATGGCTCCTTCCATTTGTGCAGCTCCTAAAAAATTTTTTTAAAAACACAAAAAATTAATAAACCGGTGATCATGTTTTTAATGTAGTCAGCATGTCCAGGGCAATCAATATGTGCATAATGACGAGCATCCGTTTCTAAAAAAATTTTTTAACATGCGAACGTTCAAAATCAATTCAAAGGTCTAGGAAAAAACAAAATCCCCCTCCCTCCAAAAAGGAAAAAAATTAAAAAAAATCACAAACCATATTCAATATGAGCAGTATTAATGGTAATGCCACGAGAACGTTCTTCTGGTGCATTATCAATATCCTCATATCTAAAAAAAATTTTTCCAAAAATTAAATAAAAATAAACTTTGTAAATTTCGCCTTCTTTGAAGTAGCAAGTACTGAAAATTAAACAAAAAAAATTTTTTCAATAAACGATTTATAGTTATTATTTCTGCTATTATTTACCTTTCGTAATCGCAGATGTAAGAGTAGTCTTTCCTATAAAGCATTTTTATTTTTGAATACTAAAAAAAATTACTACCATGGTCAACATGCCCAATTGTACCGACATTAAGATGAGGCTTTGTACGCTTGAAAACTGGCCTCGAGCCAGGAATGTAGGTCGCATATAAGCGCTCTAAATTTAAAAAATCTAATATTTTTTAAACAAATTAAAAAGCAAACTTGAAGCCAGAAAAAAAGAAGTCCGTGCCAAAATCATTCTAAAATCTTTTCTAAAATAATTACTAAAAAATTTAATTTGAATTGAATTGGTTAAATTAAAAAGTTATAAAAATAATAAAAAATATATAGACAAAATAAAACTGTAAAAAAATTAAAAAATTTTTTTTTTAAATATTATCTTTCATTTACAGATATGTATGCGTATTATTAAAAAATCTACCAGAGTTAAGGAGAGCTTATGTCACTTAAAATTAAAAATACGGGGACATATTTCAAAATTTTTGTTTTTGGTAAAAATAATATTGTGCCTTCGTTCTCGAGCTATATAAGAGCCGAAAAATTTTTTAAAAAATTTGAAATAAAGAATTAAACATGTTGATCACCAAGGGGTGTGCCTTTAGCCGTATTGGGCCTTTGTTCCCGTGGCTTTCGCCGAATTTCACCTTTTTTGGGGTGTTTACCCTTCGTCAATCGTTTTTCAAATTCTCCCCCCCTTCTGACCTTCTACTTTTTAGAAGCTGTCTTGGCAAACCCTGATGTCCGCATATTTTTTGCGGATTTGAAATATGTCCGCAAAAATAATAAAATATATAAATAGGGTTGGACCCGACTAAAAATTCCTATTCCTTTATTGGTCGACATCCCCATTTGCCGGAAAAGTTGTTCTTGACAGGTCGGAGACCAACCCTATATACACACATGTATAACAAAATTAAACAACAACAAAATTAATTTGAGAACTCTGTTTAAAAAACCTCTCAAAATTAAATAACAAAAGTAGTAGAATCAGAATTTGAACAAACCAATGAAGCATTAAATGGACTACAGGTTAAAACATTTATAGGTAAATTCCATTTTACAGTTTCAATATTTAAATTATCTGCTAATAAAGATTGACCATTTTTAAAGGAGCTCATTAATTTATCACGAGTAATTACAAATTGAAAATGAATACGCCATCTTACTTTAACTGAAATAAGAAAAAAGTAAAAAATATTTGGCATAATCATTTTGAGGTTCCAACTAAGGTTGTTCCTCGACGGGGAGGGGGAGGGCACGGAGAAATTTTCAGGGAGGTAGCGCCACGGAGGGCACGGGGAACAAACACTGGTTCCAAAGACGTAACCAGAGTTCTGCTTTCAACGAAGGGAAGGAGATAAAATGGGACTAATAAAGACTGCCCATTTACAAAAACTGGAAGTTTTAAAATAAACAATCTTTGGACAGTCTCATGGATAAGGTTGGCCTCTCCGATCCACTGGGTATGATGAATGTTTCTGGGTCAGAGTTTGGCCAAAAAAAGGTTCGGGTCGGGTCAGAGCTCGGAAAAGGAATTAGAAAAGATCCAAGTGTTTCTTATTTTAAAAATTTCTTTTAGTAATAAAAAATTTTTTTCTAAAGCAAACCAAATTCTGTAGTAAAACATGGCACAGCAGTCATAGGCAAGGCTAGTTTAAAATAAGTTTGTTCCATAAATGCAGTAATTGAATGCTCTTTACAATGTGAACAAAAATTTTCAGGTTTTGAATCATCCAATAAATTTGTTTCGACAGTTTCAGCAATTATTAAAGTCTTTTTTAAAAAATAAAATCTTAATAAAAAATTCAAAAAAAACCTGAAGACAATTGATCCCATCACGAGGAAAATCTAACCTTCCAATTACATCATCACCCAATTTAAATGTATTTTTTAACATTGTAATTTTTGCAAATATTGTTCCAGAATTACCAATTTCATAAAGTCTTTAAAATAAAAAAAAATTTTTATTACCTAGTTAATGTCCGCAAAATATTTGCGGACAAAAATAATTTCTCTAAACCTTCTCTTCCGTGAAGAACAAATTTCTTGAATTTTAGCCATAGCAATTTCAACAATTGATAGCCTAAAATTAATTAAACTTATTTATTAGAAAATTGAGAATAATTGGAATTTGGGATCTGATGTCACTAGCAGCGCTTGGAAATTTAAAATCAGCCCGTACTTGTGTTTACCCCCAAATTTTGGCTCCGTACCACTACACCCTATAATTTTTGATGTTGGTAAGCATCCAAGCAGTAATCCCCAAGTCAAAGATGTAACAAGGTAAAATCCTAACAACAAGTTCTTGTCAAACAACCTTGGCAACTCCAATTTAAAATCTGGACAATCAAGCAATTCTTTAGGAGTCTCTTCAACTTCAATTGGTGGTTCTTCAACATCAACACCTATATTTAATACTTTAATTGGTAATTGTGACATTTTTAATGGAGATTCTGGTTGTTGAGCAGCACAAGAGATATACCAAAAATATTTTTTGTAGTGACCCTTAAAGGGAAAGATTTCGAAAAATTTCGAAAAATTAAAAAAACCTTAAAACTAGGCGGAACATCAAGTAAAGGTATCAAATGTTTTGCTTCAAATTTTTTTACTTCTCCAGGATTAATTATTATATCACAAAAAAGAAGTGTTGGATCCGAAGCAAAAATTGCATTTTTTGCTTTTGTAAAAGAAGTTTTTAGCCTCTGCCTTTTTATACTTTCTTTATCGTTAAGAGAGGAAGCTTCACAAAATAATTGAACACAACTCCAAGCTATTGATTTGGGCAATTCTTGATGGGTATTTTTGAATGTTACCTACCAAAAAAAATTTTTAAGTTGAGAAATTTTTGACAGCAATTGGCTGTCTGCAAAATAAAGCAGAGCTGGGCACAAATCCAAGCTATTGATGCCCAGACATGTTTCTGACCTAAAAAACTGCAGTGGATGCAAAAAGTTACTCAGCGGCTATAAGCGAACAAGCATCTTCGACTGCCCTGAGTGATGATTAACCCGATCGTTTATCCAATGACTCTGTACCACAAGTAAAGATCAATACAGTTCCATCTCGACCTTGCCGAATTTGTTTGAATCCCAAAAAGTTCAGGAACAAAAATAAAGTTAAAGACCCTTCCCCAAAAAGAACTTTACAGCACCCAAAATCAGCCCCAGACATGCTTCTGACCTAGCCAAGTTTGTTCTAGACTTACCCAACTCCCATCCCCTGTCAAACAAATTGGAATAGTAATCCAACCCTTTAACCTAATTAAAAAATTTTCAAACCTCAACTTCAACATCTTCTCCAGTCAAAAAACAACCGCCTTTCCTCCTCAATTCCATTATAACTTGTATGCTCATTCCAAAAAAAATAAATTTTCTAAAAATATTAAAAAATTAATTTAAGATAAAAATTGATTAAAATTAACATTAAAAGGATCTAAACAATTTTCAAAAATATTTATATAAATTAAAAATCTAAAATAAAATTTAAAAAACTAATGTTGTAAAGCCTCTTTTGTTGTTGCTGTTCTTCTTGATCCAATAATATTTTTAAGGTAAAATTCACCAGCTCTATATGAAGAACGTACTAAAGGACCAGAAGCCGTATAACTAAAAAAGATTAAATATTTTGAAAAAGAAATTAAAAGAGAAAAAAATCCTAAAAGACAAACACAAAATAAAAGAAAACGGGAGCAGGCAAGGGCATACATGGGCATAAAAACTTTTAAAAAATTATAGAAAGCTGACAATGAGTTGCCTGTTCTCAGAAATTTTCCAGATATTATAAACCGAACCGAAAAACCGACCAAAAAAGTCCCTCAGTTCTCGGTTAGCAATAAACCAGGTAACAAGTCTACTTTGATACTGTCCGACATAACTCAATGAAATAAGTCAAACCACAGCAAAATTGATTAAATCCTCTTCCAAACAAAAGTGTATACAGGGAAACTAATTTTTTAGCAACTAAAGATGTTCAGACCCTAGAAAACCACAAAAAAAACTTACAGAAACCCCATTTGATCCCCTCTAATTTTCCATTCATCAAATTTTTGCGGAGTTATCCAATTTTTAACAGCCATATGCCTTTTTGTTGGTTGTATATATTGACCCAAGGTTAGGGCTTCCACTCCAACCAATCTCAAATCCTTCATTGCTTGTTCAATTTCTTCATCTTCTTCACCCAATCCAAGCATTATTGAACTTTTTGTTACAAGTAAAGGATTTTCCTTTAAATGCCAAAAAAATTCAAAAATACAAAAATTTAAGAAAACCTCTTTAGCAAATTCCAAAACACGTAAAGATTGGTTATACTTTGCTCTAGGATCTCTTACAAAAGAAGTTAAACGTTCAACAGTTTCTATATTGTGTGCAAATACTTCTAATCCTGAATTTGCTACTCTTTGAATTGATTGGGTATTACCCGCAAAATCTGTTTTGGAAATATAAAAAATTAGAAAAATATGTCGAATAAAAGTCAAGTAATGAATCAAATGAGTTCAGATACCAGACAAGTATTGAACCTGACAAAGGAGAGTGCCTTGGGTGTCCGTGGGACTTGGGATGAAATCCCACCTCCAAAGTCCCACGGACACCTCAGGCACTCCCCTTTGTGAGATGAAGGGTCCCGAAACCCAGACTTTTTCGACACAACCAATATCCAAAAAACCAATCCATATTCAACCCCGACTTTTTTCTTAACTCGTCCTATGTTCAAGTGTTACGCGTTCAAGCGTTATACCGAATATTAAAATATTAATAAACAAAAACTAAACCTGGAACTAAGCACTCCACCAAAATATGAGGACATTCTCTTTTTAAATGTTCAACAGTTAGTGCTATATGTGAAGCACCCCCATCAGGTAAATCGTCTCTTTAAGGGTTAAAATTAATTAAAAAACGAAAAAGACAAGCAAACCTATCCACAGAAGTCAAAACAATATAGTCTACACCCCAACTCCTGATTGCAATAGCCGTATTTTTGGGTTCATCTGGGTCTAATGGAGGGGGGCGTTTGGCTGTTTTGACTGAACAAAATCTTTAAAAATAAAAAATTTTTGAGTTAAAATAAAATGAATAAGATACCTACATCCACGTGTACAAGAATCTCCCATTAACATTATTGTTGCAGTTGAGGGTGTTTCTGGTCCACCACCCCAACATTCCCTGAAACACAAAATTACAAGGCAAATAAAAGAAAAAAGTTTACCCAATATTTGGACATCGCGCTTCCTAAAAAAAATTTTTTTCAATAAAAATAAATGAAAGTATAAAGAAACCTGACAAACAGTAGAAAGTTTTAAGCCTTTCAATTGCTTTGCCAATTTTTGTCGATTAACCTAAATTAATTGAATTTAAACAGAAAAAGGTTTTAAGGAAGTAGGTCAGTCACCACTAGCAAGGCCCATCCTTAAAACTGTCTATCGTAGAGCCTTAACCACTCTTAGGAATGTCATAGCAAGTCAGTCTACTTACAAGAAAAGGTTGCGAGGTGTCCGACCTAAAAACAGTCGAGACCGGGCTCATTCGATAGAGAATGTGCCACAAAGACAAACAACCCCCCCCCCATTAGTTTGGGCGGGTACCCCATGAACCCATTATATGATAAGGCGGTTTGATGGCTATTTTTAACGGTTCCTCACACTTAAAATGCTTCATACTCGGTACCCCTAGAATCACTCTCGAAATGACCGACTCAAACAATTTAAGAAGCTAGTTAGGCTTCATTGGACCCTTAAAAGTCTGGCCCATCTTTAAAAAACAAACATCTTTTTCTGTCATTTTAACATCTCTTTTTAACCATTCAGGCAATCGAAGACGACCATCAGTTGTTTTTAAATCCATATTTGTTGTTGTTGACTTTTCATTAGAAGAAATGGTAATAGTGTCGTTTCCCGGCCCCATTTTTTCCTCCCAATTTTTTACCCTATGTTTGTACGGAATGGTCAAATTTTCCCCTTTTTTTCATCAAATTTGCCTTTCCATATTTTGCCTAAAAACAATCAAAAAGAGTAATTTTTATTCAGTTCTTTCACAAGGAGAAACACCAAGCATGAAAAATGTTTTCTGGCTATTATAGAAGGAAAAAAAGTCTTCTCATTAATCTAATACTTTTTTAAATATCACAAATTAATCTTTTTGATTGTTTTTAGGCAAAATATGGAAAGGCAAATTTGATGAAAAAAGGGGAAAATTTGACCATTCCGTACAAACATACAGTAAAAAATTGGGGAGGAAAAAATGGGGCCGGGAAACGACACTATTACCGAAGAAATAAAATCATTAAATGTAAGACCGTCATTAGGTAAATGGGCAAAATTTCTTCTAATTTGATTTAAGGCACTTTTGTTGCTACATTTAAATAAAGTCATGGCAATTCTGTTTGTCTGTTGCCCTATGAGGATAAAACCTGCAAAGAAAATTTCAAACTGTTAAGAAAAAATGATAAAGAACTCGAGAAAAGTTAGATAAATCACTAGAAATTTTTAACCTTATTTAAATAAACGCCTTAATTTTTGGCGTAATTTTTGGCATTTTATTTATTTAACGTTAAACTGTCTAATTCTCTAACCGTCTCTCTTAAATTACCCTTATCTTTTCTGTTACAGTTTACTTCCGCTTTAACCGTAATTTTCAACATTTTTTCTTTAAAATTTTTTCTTGAAAATTCCATTTTTCCAAAAAAAAATTTTCTTTCACACGCAATGGATGGTTTATTATTAGCTTCTATAACGTTTCTTTGTACCGTTTTTGCAATAATAATTGGGTATATTTCTAAAATTTAAAATACATTTTTATTTATCTCTAGTTTTGTTCTCAAATTATGGTTTGATGAACGAAATTCAAAAATTGCTGTTGATGAAATGCTTAGAAGGAATGAATCTTCGAAAAACAAAAGTATGATTTTTATAAATTTATGACATAAATTAAGAAACTGGACAGGGGCAAGGTTTAGGGGGTTTTCTGTACCCAGAGCCTTACACAAGTGCTTTTTTGAAGTAATTTCTCCCTTATCTCGAGCTAAGACTTGAGGGTTTTCATATACCCAATGTCTGACCCAAGAACCATTTCCTTGATCTCCCTGGATTTTTTCTTGGATTTTTTTGGCTACGTTGAATTTTTAGAGGATTCAAAAATTAGTCCAAACACAAAACTTATTAAAAAATCACTAATTTTATAGCAAAAGCCAAAACCCCCTCACCAACTTCTTCACCTTCCACTTCACGAAAAAATGATATTAGAGAAGAAGATGAAGAAAGGAAAGAAAATTTTGATGATGAAGACACATTACCAAAGAGAAGTAAACACAGCAGAAGTCCTGTGAATGATGATGAAGATGCCGGTATATTTTTTAAAAATTTTTTTAATACAGAGACGGGCCCAGGACCTTGGTTTTCGGGCTCGGAAACCAGATATTTTGTTAAAATCCGGGTTTCAGGATTTTAACATGGGAAACCCGGCCTGGGTCAGTTTTGAAGGAAAGACCGGATCTGGCATTTTGAAAATGTCGAACCCTATTAAATCCCCAAAACTTTTCAAGGTCCTTTTTTGGATGAGACTACCTCAGAAAAGAAGATTGGCAAAAAGAAAATGGCCAAATTGCAAGCTAAAGCGGAAGCAAAAGTTTTGCGGGAACAACAATTAGAAGAACGTGAAGCAAAAAAACGAAGGGAGGAAGAAATTGAACAACTTAAAGAAGAGAAAAGATTGAAGGAGGAAGAAGAGGAGAGGGAAAGGAATGAAAAATTGAAGAAAGAAAAGGAAGAAAAAGAAAAACAAGAAAGGGAGGATTATTTGAAGGTTTTCTTTTTTTGGAAAGTCAGGACAGGGGGAGGCATATCGGGATATTCCCATGTAAGAACAGCTACTCTTACTGGTTTCTGGACTTTTGGGGATTCCCTTGATCCAAAGGAACCCCTACAAACAACTCCTAAAAATTTGTAGTAAAAATTTCTTTAAAGAATGACATTTGATCCCATAAGAATTCGCGACCAACGGCCACTGCGTGTTGGATCTCCAAATGTCCATCCCGATATGTCTCCCTACCGTTTAAAATAAATTTAGATGATTTTTTCTTTTTAAGTTTAAAGAATCATTTAATATAAGTGAACAAGGCTTTGATAATGAAAATAATGAGGAAGATGATCCAACTGAATTTACTACAAAATTGCTTGAATATTTGAGAAAAAGAAAGGTTTGTTAAATTTTTTGAAAGGGAAGAAGAAAAAATATACTGATACCCTGACTTTGTCCAACCCGAAATCCAATCCTCCCTATCTTCTCCCTAGAGAACATAAATTTTTTGGAGCTACATCAAAAGAAGGGGACATGCTTTAGAAAATCCTAACCCACAATTCTTTCTCAAAAAACATAAAAGTTTTTTATAAGGTGACATTTGATCCCATAGGACCCTATTAAAAATAGGACCCTATTAAAAATTTTTTTAAATAAAAAGTTTTTCAAAGGTTGTACATGTTGACCAAGTCTCATCAAATTTCCATTTAAGACCAGATGTTACTATTGAAAGAATAAATTCATTATTAGAAGAAAAATTAATTACTGGTGTTTTTGATGATAGAGGTTCAATTTCAAAAAAATTCGAAAAATTTTTCCCAATTTTTAGGTCTTTTTATATTTATCAGCCCAGAGGAATTAAACAATGGTTTTTTAAATTAAATTTTAAAAGATTTTTTTTATTTTAAAGTTGCCAAATTTATTACCCAAAGAGGAAGAGTAGCCCTTTCTGAAATTGCAGAGAACAGCTCAAAATTAATTTCTTTTGCTACGCCTTCAGATTAAAAAATATACCTATTTTTGTTTTTAAAGATTCGGATAGATCATTCACCAGGAATGGGCCATGGTTAAAAAAATTTTTTAATCAAAAATTTTTTAATTTCGGTTAAAAAATTTTTTACCCGGAATCAGAGATCCTTACTTTTTTCCGAGCCGAAAAATCCCGACTATTCTCAATCCGATCCATCCCTGTCACTCTCTCACCCAGGCCCGTAGCCAGGGGGGGGGGGGGTGAGGGGGGAATTCCCCCCCCCCCCCCCCCCCGAAATGGGAAAAAGGAAAAAATTTGGGGAAGGGCTGGGGCAAAAAAAGTGAATTTTTTTGGCCTACGGCCTCTGAAATTTAAAAAATTTTCGCCTGCGGCGCTAAAAAAGGAAGAAATCTGGCTTCTTGAGGTCCAAAATTCAAAAAATTTTCGCCTGCGGCGCTGAAAATAAAAATTTTTGGCACCTTCGGCGCCCCAGCCCATCCTTGCCCTTCACCTCCCTCTCTCATTTTTTAATTTTTTTCTTTTCCTGTCCCCTTTTATTTCTTTTATTGTAAAAAATTAAAAAAATATTTTTTCTCTCTTTTTTTATTAAGAATTCAAATCATTAATTTTTATGATTTAAATATTTTTTTCTTGAATTTAAATATTCTATTAATTATTTTTTAAAGAAAGAAATTCATTAAAAAACTAATTGTGAGAAAAAAATGAGCAGTGGAATGGATTTACATTTATTTCAACAAGCGCGTGCTGCCGTTGACCAACTTAAACGCGAGAAGAATATTAATCGTATTTCGACTTCAAAAGCAATAGAAACGCTTCTAAGGTTTTTTTCTTAACTAAAATTTCCTGATTAAAAATCAGAATTCTGATTTTTATTAAATTTTTTTCGAAACCAGAATTGTTCAACTCTGAATTTTCTATAAATCAGAATTCTGATTTTATTTGGGAGAATCAGAACTGTGCAAGAATTCTGATTTTTAAAAATCAGAATTTTAAATCTTAACCCTTCAACACCAGAATTCCGATTTTGGAAAATCAGAAAATCTCTGATTTTATAACCAGAATTTTTAACAGATCAGAATTCTGATTTTATTAAATTTTTTTCGAAACCAGAATTGTTCAACTGAATTTTCTATAAATCAGAATTCTGATTTTATTTGGGAGAAACTTAACTCTTCAACACCAGAATTCTGATTTTTAAAAACCAGAATCATGCAAATTCCTGATTTTATAACCAAGACTCTTAACAGATCAGAATTTTTAAAACGGTCTTCTGGTATAAAATCAGGATTCTGATTTCCTCTAAAATTCTGATTTTTTAAATTTTCCTATATTTTTCTCTCATCAGTTACACGCGTGAAATGCAAAAAGATGACTATTTACTTAACGGATTCCCAACTGACAAAATGAACCCATTCCGTCAAAAATCAAGCTTCCAATGCCTTTTGCTTTGAAAACTGATTTTTAAAGACTGATGAGATTTTAAAAAGAATTAAGATAAATTAAAATTGGTGCTAAACAAATTTTCTAAAAAACAAACAAAATTATTTGTCATTTTATACATGAATTTGTGGTAAAAATAATTTTTTAAAATAAAAAATAAAAATCTAAAAAAGTTTTTTATTAAAAATAATTGGGAAATAAAAAATTTTTCTCTAAAAAATCCAACATTTTTAGGAAAAAATCGGCAAAGATTTTAGGGCTTCTTAAAATATTTTTTCCTTCCTTTAATAAAAAATACATTTTAATTTTTTAGTGTTAGGCGGTCAAAAGTTAGCGGATCAGGGGAAATCCTCGGATATCCAAGTCAAATATTTCGGATATTTAGGCTTTTTCTAGGTCCAGATCCGCCAACCCTATTTATAAGTTTGAGGGGGCACAAATTAAAAATATTAAAATTTTCTCGATTTAATTGAGCGTCACAAAAAAATGCATGAGAATATATTTAGTCAAACATTTTAAAAAACCTCTCCCTCCTTCAATTTAACTCCAAACATCTGCTTGATATAACCGTTGACGTTCCATATCCTTCATTAATTTTTGACCTTCCTCAATTCCAAGTCCCCCAACTTGTTCAAAAATTTTATACATTGTATTTTGAACATCTCTAGCCATATTACGAGCATCTCTTTAAAAGAAAATGAATTTTCATGGAAATAAAGGACTCAAAAAAACTAACCCACAAACATAAACAGCTGCCCCTTGTTTTATAAGAGACCAAATACGTTCACGGTTATCCCAAAGTTTGTTTTGAACATAAACTTTTTCGTCTTGTAAACGTGAATAGGCAACATGTAATTCTGTTAAAACACCAGAAGTGATAAATTCCTGAAAGAAAAATTTTTTTTTAAATTAGATGTTCTAAAACAGTCTGAATTTTATTATAGGATATAATCCCCTTGGGTAGGGTTGGCGGTTTTAAACTGAACCAAAAACCTAAGATTTTTCTGTTCGACTTGTCGGTTCGTTTTCGGTTAGCCGAAGTATTTGTGGAACCTGGCAACCTTATCCTTGGTCCCAAAACCAAGGATAAGGTTGCCTTATAATGAGGTGTACATTTGGTGTCGTTTGGTCGGCTCTATTACCAAATGGATAACTAACTTAAAAACTCAACTTAAATAAAGGACCTTAGGAATATCTAAATATGAGGACTGATTGTATTCGACTATCCCAGGTTCAAGTCCCACACCCCCCCCCCATTCAACTATCTCAAATCTCCCCCTCTCCCCTAAAAATTTTCAAAATTAAAAAAAAAACCTCCATTTCCTCTTTATAAATATGGTCATGTTCCGGATGTCTACAACCAAAATATAAATGCATTTCTCCAATATCTTTTCCCCCAGACTTCTTTTGCCACAATCTTTCATGCAAAAACCCTCTAAAAGGTGCAAAACCAGTTCCTGGTCCAATCATCACAACTGGGGTTAACAATTTATTTGGAAGTCTCAAAGTTGATTTTCTTATAAATATTGGGACAGAATGTCCTTCAGACAATTTATACAAATAATTTGTACAAACTCCTTTGAAAACTCTTTTTTCATCAATTTGGTGTCTAATTAAAAGGGCGGTGATTGCAATTTTTAAATTTGTTGATTTTGGCGAGGACGAAATTGAATAATAACGAGCTTGTAAACGTGGTAACATTTCTAATAATAGATCTAATGGAGGTTTACAATCAGTAAAAGTAGCCAAAATGTCAACTATACTACGGCGTTCTTTGAGAATATAATCGGCATACAAAGCCTGAAAAAATTAAAAAATTGTGTTTTCTAGTTCAATAGAAAATCAGAACTTTAGGTTTATTAAAAAACCATGATTGAACAAAAAACCTAGATTACAAAAATAACAAATTACCCCAAATTCTTTAAAAATGTCTTTTTGGTGTAGTTGGATAAATTTGGGGTTTTTACCTTTTTAAAGGTTAAGTGTTCGAACCCCACACCAAACACCAGAAAAATTTTTAATTTTTTGTCCGTCTTATTTGATAAAAACGGAAAAGTTTAGATTCTATGGGTGGTTTATAAATTCAGCAAGTAAATTATCATCTCTGCCCTTTTCAAAGCAAACGAAATTGTTACTATTCAAAAACCCCCAGAAAAAAATTTTCGGATTTTCTTTTGAAAAGTTAAGAATTATTTTGTATTAAAATAAAAGTGCGGGAGACCATGCTAACTTTTACAAACCACCCATAAAATTTTTAATAAAAAAAATAAAAACAAACCAATCCTTCCTCGCTCGCTGTACTCAATAACAATAAACGTTCTTTAGTCTCATTATTTTCACAAAAATCGGCCAAAGCTTTCAAAACGTGGGATTTGACAGGTGAATTGATATCAACATAATGAGTTAACTTTAAAACAAAATTAAATTTTCAAAAAATAAAATAAAAATATACCGCTGTTCGATAAGTACATGGACAAGGAAATGGATGTTTTTTGGTGCTCTCCTCTAAAAAATTAAAAAAAAAAAGTTCAAATATTCTTTGTGGTGTAGTGGGATAAATTTGGGATTTTAACGTTTTTACTTTTTAGAGGCTTAGGGTTCGAACCCCGCACCTTAACCAACAAAGAAAATATCAATTTTTAATTTTTGATCATCCTATCTAGTGGTCATTAAAATTACATCCCTTTGTGGTGTAGTCGGGTAAATTTGGGATTCTGTCCTTTTTACTTTTTTAAAGGTATAGGGTTCGAACCCCAAACATTACCCAACAACAAAAAATATCAATCTTAAACTTTTTGTTCGTTCTATCTATTGCCATAACGATAAATTATATCCTATATGGTGTAGTGGGATAAAATTAGGTTTTTTCCAGTTTTTATTTTTTAAAGGGTTAAGGTTCGAACCCATCGAGGCAAATAATTTTCCTGCCAAATATTTTATCAAAAAATATAGTGCCGTAAAGATAAATTATATCCTATGTGGTGTAGTGGGTTAAAATTAAGTTTTTTCCCAATTTTTATTTTTTAAAGGGTGAAGGTTCGAACCCGGCTGAAGGAAAATAATTTTTCCTGGCAAATATTTTATTAAAAAATTAAAAAAAAAATTTCTTTCAAAAAAAAAACAAACCGTCAAGATTAATTAATTTAAATATTGTATCCAAATTAACTTCAAGTAATTCTCCCAATTTTTCAACCAATTCAAGTTCATTTGTTGGAAAAACAGCAACATGGTCACCAGCATCATAACGAACTTTAGCTGAGTCAATATCGAATTCTACATGTCGACAAGATCGTTCACTTTGATTTGTGTGTAATTCGCGATTAACAGAGATTTTTGAAAGGAATGGATTTTTTTGGTCAAAAGGCCTGGAAAAAAATTTTTTTTTAATTTTTTTAAAAATTTTGAAAAAATTTTCGAAATTTTTTTCGAAAATTTTTTCAAGTCCTCCAAAAATTTTTCAAAAAAAAAAATTTTTTTTTGAAATTTTTCGAAGATTTTCTAAAAATTTTTTCTTACGGTCGCTGTTTTTCAAAAGCTCCAATACGCCCAAATTCTCCTTTAAAGATAGGTCCATTTTGTTCATTTATTATTTCAAGTTTATATTGACGATCCAAACTTCCATTATTTACCAAATCCCATCCAAAACGAGAAGACACTGTTGAAAGGAAATGTTCCCTCCACCTTGAGGAAAAAAATTTTTTAAGGTAAACGTGAAAAATTGGATAACGGTAACTTCACTGTATACTGGGGAAAAATTGAGGCATAGTCTAATTCAATTCCGAGATTTGAAGTAGAGAGAACGACAGTTCCCTCTCTTCCTCAAATCCTTCAAAAACCCCGAAACTTTGACCCCCCATAACCTGACCCAAAGTCATCATGTAAGAAAACGAAGATCACTTCACAATAGGAAGTCGGGGGTCCTCTATCGAACGATACCAAAAAGTAAAGCAAATTCGCACTCACAATAAACGATGTTCCCTTGTCAGCCCCTAGAATACTTACAGACAAACCCTCAGAAAATATCAAAAGAGCCCCTTTCTCCATTTTCCCCCAGGGACCAGTAAAAGGCTACCCTTTACCAAAAATCGCTTAAAAATCAAAAATTACCGCATAAAATCCTCTTCCAAATTTCCATCATCATCAGCCAATCCAAGTTCACAAATTCTTTCAGCCCCAAGTTCTTCCAATCTTTTATCAAAAAATTTGCCAACAGCATTGTAATGCTCATATGTTTTATTTCCAAGTCCAAAAACGGAATATTTAAGTTTTGTCAAGTCTGGTTCATTATTTGTAAAATATTCGTGTAAAGCTTGGGCACTTAAAAGAAAATTTTTTAGTAAAAAGAAGAGAATAAAAAATTTAATTTTTCAAGGGTAGGATCAACTGTCATCTAGAAATTTTAAAAATAATTTTTCGAGGATAAAAAATGGAGAGAATAGAAAATAAATAAAATTTGATTTTTCAAAGAGTGGGATCAAACGTCACCTACAGAATTTTTACAGATAATTTCCCCAAAAAAATCAAATCCTTAAACAAATAAGCGGAACAACAACCAAGTACCCGAAAATTTTGTAAACTCGACCTTTACGCCCCTCCCGCCCTCTCAAAAAGAAAATAAAAAAAGCAAACTTGTCAGTAGGGTCACCCTCTCCATATGTCGCAACAAAAAGTAAAAGAATTGGGTCTTCAAATTCTTCGGTAATTTTTGGTAAATCCTCCGCTTCGATTTCTTCAGGGTCAATTAATAAAGGCTTTTTGCCAAAACGTCCAAAATCTTTTGCTAAACGTCCAGCCAATTCCTCACCAGTTCCAGTCTGGGAACCATAGAGAATTAAAATCTGAACAAAAAAAATTGTCTATTAATTTTTAGAAAAATTCCTTAAAGGTTTTTCTGATAGTCCAAGGCCCGTTTTTGATTAAAAAAAAGGTTTTCGTTAAAAATTTAAAACGTTTGTCCTCCAACAGGATTCGAACCCTCATGTATTTAACAGGAAATCCCAGATGGTTCCCACTACACTAAATGTATCAATTTTGAAGTAAGAAAAATCTGAAAAAAATTTTTCTGAAGAGGCCCAAGTCCATTTTTGATTAAAAAATATTTCCACTAAAAATTAAAAAAATTTTGCCACAAAAGGATTCGAACCCTCCCCTATTTCCCAAAAAACCCAAACACAACCAACTACACCACACACTCACTTATCCTCTCCTCTCATTTAAACAACTAAAAACCTGTCTATTTTCATTCCTCATTCTATTCAAAAAGGATTTGTCCATTTTATTGCTAGTCAACGATCCATTTGATAAATTATTTGTTAGAGTTGTACTGCTATTTTTAGGTGTCGAAGAATGCAAATTAAAATAATAAATTATAGCTATTGTTGTTATAATTAAAATTACAGCAATATCGACAATGTCAAACATTTGAATTAAATAATTTAATGAAGAGGTTAACCAATCCATTTTTTTATTTAAAGGGATGATTAATATTTTAATTTAATTTAATCTAAAAAATGAGGGAAAAAATTATTCATAAAAATCAATAAAAAAATTTAGAAAATTTTTTTAATTAAAAAAGAGGAAAGATTTTTACTCTTGTCTAATTTTTCGTCTCTAAAAAAGAGAAAATAAAAGACGGCTCCCCCATTCCTTTCCTTTTCCTGCGTGTTTCTTTTAAGGTCATACGTTCTCTATTAACTACTTTGTGTGAATTTCACGCGCAAAGAACATTTTTAACAATTACATATATTATAACATTTGCGTACCCTCAAAAGAGAGTACAGCCCAAGTAGGCGCGGGGTCACAACGGCGCAAAGCCATAACTTGCTTCAAAATTTCCAAACCTTAACAAATTTAGTATTGAACGATTCCTCTCATCGAGCTAGAGAGATTGGTACCAAAATTGATAAATGCAAGCAATTTTTCAGCAAGTTATGGCCTTGCGCCGTTATGGCCGCGCGCCTACTTGGGCGTGTCCCTCCAAAAAGAACAATTTAAAAATCAACCACCCACCCCATTAGAGTCTGGTGTTCGGCACAGTTCGGGTATTCCCGCGGCACTATTAAAAGTACCGTCTCGGTATTTTTTGCCACTTTTAGGTATTCCCAATGTGGATATTAAAAAAATCCGCTTGCCAATCCATTAGAGTCTGACTTTTATAGAGAAATAATTTTTCTTTTCCCTTATTTTCAGACTCTAATGGTAATTTTGAAAAAGGATTTAAAAATGTCATATACACTGCGGTGCATATGTTTATGCACACTTGTTTTTTGTTCATAAGTTTATGCACACTTATTCAAAAAATAAGTTCTATATAGCAATCGTAAGCTCTATTTGTATCTCAGTTGACATGTTTCTGCATTTTCCATGAAAATGAAAATTGGCCGAGATAATCCGGATCTACCGGATATACCAAATCCCATATCCTCGGAAAAAATTTTCGGAAAAAATTTAACAAGCCCATTTGATAAAGCATATTTTTGTGAGTATTTATCACAAAACCGCTTAGAAATATCTTTTTTCGGTCCAGAGATATGATTTTTTGAAAATCGAAAAAACGCGATTTTTTGACGAAAAATGGCAAAAATATGGTGTTTTTTCGATTTTCAAAAATTCATAACTCGGTCGAATCTCGACCGATTTGGATGAATTTTTTATTGTATGTAGAATCTGGAGAAGAATCACATATATTTTTTACAGACTTCAAAAAAATTTTTCCGAAAAGATGAAAATGTAGTACCTGTTAGACCGGTCGAAAATTTTTCGAAAATATCAGAATTTCGAAAAATGCAGAAACATGTCAACTGAGATACAAATAGAGCTTTCGATTGCTATATAGAACTTATTTTTTGAATAAGTGTGCATAAACTTATGAACAAAAAACAAGTGTGCATAAACATATGCACCGCAGTGTAATTAAAAAAAATTTTTTTTATATACTTTTGTATTTTATTGATAAGGATGACACACACAAAAATAATTATTATTATTAAATTGTTATCTACTAATTATAGTTTGTGAAGAGGAAAAAATGTCTAATTTTTTTCTTTAGTACTTTAATTCCCCCCTAGTACCCCAATATTTCTTACTAATCATTGTTTTGTAGTTTGTAATTCTTACTAATTAAATATTTATTTATTTACGCCTTGATGGCGCGAGTCAAGTCAAAAAACAATAAAAAACGAAATCAAGTAAAAAAAATATATATAAAAACAAAATCATGTCAATAAATTAAAAAACAAAAAGAATGTAAATAAATAGTATATAAAAAAAATTATAAGTATAAATTTAAATTTAACTTAATTCAGCCTCCGAATTGCGGGAAAAATTAATATGTGTTATGTTTTTTGCGAAATTTTTGTAATCTAATTTTCTAAAGTATGCTGGTAGTTTATTATAATACCTTATAGTCCTTACAAAAAATGAATTATGTCTAGTAATTGAGGTGCATGCTTTATGTGATATTTTGTTTTCGTCCCCCCTTGTTTTAGATGGAATGATGAAATAGGGGTTATTTATATTTATTGGGCTTAATCCTATGCAATGCTTGTGAAAGATTTTAAGATCTGTTATAATTCTTCTATTCTCTAAAGAATCTATATGATATAATCTGAGGAGTTCAGAGTAGTTAGGGATTTGTTCATTAAGTTTTATATTATGCTTGCGGTTATATACCATCCTTACGAAATCTTTTTGAATCTTTTCTATTTTGTTAATGTATTTTTTAAAAAAAAAGAGTTCTTAATTAATATGTTCACCACTTTTTCCAGATTTCCAGACAGGAGAACTAAATTCCAATATACTTCTTACATATGTGGTGAACATATTAATTAAGAATCTTTCATCATTAGATTTTAAGGACCTAAGAATTGTATAACTAATTCTCCTAGCTTTATTACAAATAATGTCGATATGATTATGGAATTTTAACTCATGGTCAAAGAAAATACCCAAATCCCTTACAGTTTGATTTCTACCAATTTCTGTTATGTGTGTATCTTCTATTGTATAAATGGTGCGAGGATTTTTAGTGCCTAGATGTAATATATTACATTTCTTTATAGCTATATCCAATCCGTTTATTTCTGTGTATTTTTTCGAAAATATCAGAATTTCGAAAAATGCAGAAACATGTCAACTGAGATACAAATAGAGCTTTCGATTGCTATATAGAACTTATTTTTTGAATAAGTGTGCATAAACTTATGAACAAAAAACAAGTGTGCATAAACATATGCACCGCAGTGTAATTAAAAAAAATTTTTTTTATATACTTTTGTATTTTATTGATAAGGATGACACACACAAAAATAATTATTATTATTAAATTGTTATCTACTAATTATAGTTTGTGAAGAGGAAAAAATGTCTAATTTTTTTCTTTAGTACTTTAATTCCCCCCTAGTACCCCAATATTTCTTACTAATCATTGTTTTGTAGTTTGTAATTCTTACTAATTAAATATGTAATTTTGTCTTGATAATTTAAAATTTTTTTCTTCTTCTTTTATTTTTAGGCTAAAAAAATCGAAAAAATCAAAAAAATCGAAAAAAAATTTTAAATACCCTTTAAGGAAACCATTAGAGTCTGGAAATAAGGGAAGAGAAAATTTATCTCCCCACAAAAGTCAAACTCTAATAGATTACACTAATCGTGTCGGGCTAACTCAAGGAACAGACAAGTCAAGGAAAAGACAGGAACGACCAACTCATGGAACAACCTTGACTTGTCGTTCCTTGAGTTGATGTGTTAGCCCCCACCCATACTAATGGGGTTTTTTAAGATTTTTAATTATTATAATTTGTGTGTGTTTTGTTGTCTCAATTTTTTGATTTTTAAAAAAAATATTTTTTTCTTTCTCAATAGTTTCCTAAAAAAATTATATTTTAATTAGAGCAATAAATTATACAAAATTTAGGTATTTTAATGAATTAAACATTTTTTGTTGTAACATAATATTTATGCTGGCAATATATTAAAAATTGATAGAATTAAAGAAAATTAATTTAGAAAATATATAACACAAGAAAAAATGATAATAATTAATTAGTTTTGTGTTAAAAGTTGAAAAAAAAATTTCTCAAAAAATTAAAAAAAAATTTTTTTTTAAATGTTCCAAAAATTATTCAAAAAATTTTTCTCAGAAAAATTTTTTTTTCAACTTCCAAAAGAAAATACACGTACACTAGGAATGAATATATACATGGAAATATTAAAAAAAAATTTTTTAGTGTGGGCAAATGAAGAAAAAAAGTAAAAAAATTATATTTTTTCTTGATTTTATTATTTTAAAAATCCATTAAAAAAAATTTTTAAAATCAAGAAAAAAAATTTCTTTAAAAAACAATACCTAAATAGTACTTGAGATTATGCACGAGTTTAAAAATAAAATATGTGTGCGAATGGAATGACATAGAGAAAAAAAATTTTTTGAAGGTAGTTTGGAAAGGGTTAAAAATTAAAATTTGAAAAAAATTGGAAGACAGAAAATTCCGTTAAAATACAAATCAAAATTCTAGCCTAGAAAAAAGGCTCAAAATGTTCACCAACTTTTTTGAAGGTTAAAAAAAATTAAAAAAATTTTAGTGATTAATCAACCTTTTCTATTATTCCATCATCTAAACAATTTTTTTCATTATTTCTTCTATTATTAATACAGACTGGATTTAATTCCTATAAAAGATAATTTTTTTAATAAAAAAATAATTAAAAAAATTTTTTTAATATGAATAACGAGGTCCGAAAAATATAAGTAGAGAGCGAGATTTTCAAAAAAAAAACCTTGAGCTTGATTTCGATTGGGTACCTTGCCCAAGATTCTTGACCTTGAGACAAGGAAAAATCAAAGAGGAACTCTGAAAAATGACTTGATCTGGAAGGAAAAATCAAAGTCTGGATTTAGATCCAGCTCGCTCTCTAAATATAAAACGCCACTAATAAGACGCCCTCCTTGGAACTGAAAATCTCCTTGAGACTAGAAGTCATATAGTGAGAGTGAAGGTGTGGGTCCGAGGTTCCTTTGGAATTGGGATGGATCGATGCCAAAGGTGGTGTGATTGTTTTAAGTGGTGTGATTGTTACAATTTAATGGGCGTTAAATGGGATTTGTTTGTGTGTATTTTATCCTTTGTATTTTCTTTCTTCTTCACAATATCTTATAATTAGGGTACCTTAAAATCGGAACCACCCAGTGAAAATTAAATTTAAAAAAATCCAATCTCAAAAAAAATTTAAGCGTATCTTATAATTAGAGGTCCAAATAATATTCCAAAAATTTCTCTCTCTCCTTTTTTTAAACTTACATCTTCACTAGCAAAATCAGCAAGATCCCCACCATCACCAATATCAACATCCTCCAAATCTTCTCCTTCTTCTTCTTGCCCATAAACAAATTCTTCATTAATTACATTTCTTTTCATTATTTCATCATCCAAATCAATTTCAAAATTATAAGCTTCCGGCATAATTTGTACATTATTTAAAACATATGAAGCCTTTGAAATTAAAAAATTTTATTTTAATTTTTTTAAATTTTTTCTTACCTTAACAAATTCATCAGAAGCATAATTTTCAATATATCTTACAATTTGACGGAATGTTGGACGCTAAAAAAATTTTTTTTGAATTTAAAAATATTTTTAAAATTCTTGAAAATAATTTTTTTGAATTTTAAAAAATTTTTGAAATTTTTTTGACTTTTATTTAAAAAAATTCAAAACGCCAAAAAATTTTTGAAATAAAAATTTTTTTACTTCTCTAGGATCATATTTCCAACATAAAAGCATCAATCCATACCTTTAAATAATTAATTTAGAAAAAAATTTTTTAAATAAATTTTTTTCAGAGATCTAACCCTCTTTTCAAGAACCTAACACCCCAAAAATTAACAAAAAAATTTTTTTATAATAAAAATTTTTACCAAAAATCAGGACATCCTGTAGGTTTATTCAAAACATGCCTTTGAACACCCGTATAATTAAATACTTGATCATTTCCTAAACCGGCATAAGGTTGTTGGCCTAAGAAATTATAATAATATTTAAAAAATATTAACAAAAAATATGCAAAAAAACATTCGAGACAATAAGAGAGAAAAACAAGCGATCAGGTTCATTACCTGATCAAGACCAGGAATTTTTTCACAGGCCCCCACAGCCTGATAATTTTTTAAAAATATTGTCCCGAGGGGTTTAGCTTAAAATTAGCTTTGAAAACAAAATTTAAAAAATACTACAAATTGAGGACTTGTTTCCATGGCTTCGGATTTTAACTTTAACCCCCACCCCCCTCGATCCTATTTTATCTAAAAATAAAAAATCAGTTCACGTGAATTTGTAAGGTTTTAATTTTTCAAGTATTTTATCCCTTCCTTATCCTCTCCCCCATTTTCCACTATCAATTTAACAAAAAAAATTAAATAAAAAACCTAAAGTCAACATTTCATATAAAACAATTCCATAAGACCACACATCCGATTTTAATGTAAATTTGCCATCTTTTAATGATTCTGGTGCCATCCATCTAACAGGCATTAAACGTTTACCAGCAGGTTTGTAATATTCCTTTAAAAATTTTTAAAAATTTATTTTTTAAAAATTAAAAAAATACATGATAATAAATATCTCTTGCCATACCAAAATCACCAATTTTTACTGATTCGTTAGCATGTACCTTTAAATTAAAAATGTTAAGAATGCAAAAATTCCTTCTCTTTTATTAATAATTTTAATGTAAAAAATAGTTCCAAAAATTTTTTCAAAAATATTTTTTAAGATGACATTCTATCCCAAAAAAAAATTTGTTCAATTTCTAGGATGAAATCCAAAAAACTGCATCCAAAAAACTTTTTCAAAAAACTTACAAAATTTTTTGATGTCATTTTATCCCAAGAATTTTTAAAAATTAAAAGAATTCCAAAAAATTTATTGGGATAAAATGTCACCTCTCAATAAAAAAATATTAAATAAAATTTAATAAACACACTAACCATGCAATTTCTAGCAGCCAAATCTCTATGACAAAATTTTAAAGATTCCAAATATGCCATTCCATCAGCTATTTGCGCAGCCCAATTAAAATATTGATTTGCTGTAGGTAATGGACGATTTTCTTTATTTTCTTCTGCTCCAGGTCGATGGGAACGAAGAAAATCACGCAAATTTCCCTTAAAGATTAAAAAAAAATTTTTTTTTTTAATTTTTAAAAAATTCTGGGATAAAATGTCACCCCAAAAAAATTTCAAAAAAACCTTTTCCATAAGTTCCATAACAACCAAAACAGGTTGCCCATCAGAAACAACGCCATAAAGTTTTACAATAAATGAAGTATTAAATTGTTTCATAACGCTAGCCTTTACAAAAATTAAAATTAAAAAAAAATTCAAGTAAATATTATTCTTATATATTTTTCTAAAAAATGTTCCCCGTCCCCGAAAGTCGGGAAATTTGAGAGATTTTTTGAAAATTCCCAGACCGCGGAAAAATAAAAAAATTCCCCCACCCCCTCGCACCATGGCGCTGTCTCCCCGAAAAATTCTCCCCGTGCCCCCCCCCCCCCCCCCCCGTGTCGGGGAACAACCATAGTCCCCACCTTTAACGTGAAAGTCATGAACCACAATTTTGAGGGAAAAGACTATAAAGAGCCTCCCTAAAAATTTTTAAATAAAAAACCTCAATAAGAAAATGTAATCTTTCAGCATTTGAAGCAGTTTCCGGAACAGTTTTAACAGCACAATCACCAAAAGTTTCCCCCATTATAGAACGAACATTTTTTCCATATCCACGAAAAACTTTCCCAAATGTTCCTCTTCCAATTTCTTGTTCCAAAATTATATCATCTCTTTTTAATTCCCATTCATCTGCTTTATAAAGTTCCATTTGACTCAAATATTCTGGATTGGCTGATATTGTTTGTCTTTAAATTAAAAAGAATTTTTGTTGAAAGAAATTTTAAAGAATTTTCAAAAAATTCATAAAATATCAAAAAAAATTTTCAAAAATTAAAAAAAATTTTTTTTAATTATTTAAAAACCTCCAATATTCTTCCACTTTCTTTCCAAACATTCTATTAACAAAATAATAAATTACAATTCCTGATATAATTAAAACTAAAACAACAATTGATGCAGAGATCGAAACAACCTTAAGGGAAAAATTTATATAATAGAAACACAAATCCGACCTCATTTTTAGACAAAATATAACTAGGGATTAGGGTTGTCGGTTCCTGGAAAATCTTCGGATATCCGGAGCCGAAATCATCGGTTCGGTCCCGAAACAACAACCATACTAGGGATAGCGCTTAAATTGGAGAGTATCTCTTATAATGAAGGATATATTTTAAAATAGGAATACCCTTTAATAAGGGGTATCTTAAATTAGAAGTATCGCGCTTAAATAGCTCCACTCACCCACCCAATGATAAACCAAATTTTGAAAAAAAATGTATCTCCTAAATTAAAAATTAGCCAAAATTTTGGGCATATATAAAAATAAGGTACCCGACTGTATTTATAAAATTGAAAAAAATTTTTTTTAGTTACCTTAAAAGTAAATATACTTGGTGTACGAATTTCAAATAAATCTTTAATTATTGTATAATTTGGATTAAAATTGCTAGCAATTAAAGCTGATGTTTCTGTTCGAATGTGCAGAGTATAAAGACCATCAGCAATACCAGAAAATGTAACGCCTGATTCATTGATAAATCTCTCGAAGGTAATACATTGATCATAGGGTGTCTAAATAAAAATAATTTTAATTGGGAAAATTAAAAAAAATTTTGAGAAAATCAAAGTTTCCGGAGTAAAACATTAAAATGTCAAGCAGTCAAAAGGTACCTATATTTCCTCCCCCGCACACCCCCATTCCACCCACAGTCCGTGTTTTAGTTAAAATGTCATTGAAATGTCAAAGGACAATGTTTGACATTTCAACCCCCACTGTTTGAGATTACAACGGATTTTGTGGGGGGGGGGGGGGTTGAAATTTCAACATTTGACGTTTTGACATTACAACATTATCTCCTTTCATAACGAAAACTCCACTTATTAAAGAAACTAATTCAGAAAAAAATATTTTTCAAACTTACACTGTCATCATTTTTTGTAAGTTTTGCTCTAAATGCAAGAATAAAACCATTGGGAAATTCTGGTGGTTCCCAATAAATTCTTTTTTCATTAATTTTGTCTGTTGTTGAATTTGATAATAAAATTGTATTTGGGTCAATCATATCATTTTCAGCTAAAAATTAAACAAAACAATTTTTTTAATTCCCAAAGGCTTTTTACGTATGGGCAAAGTCCTTGCAGATGTCCATGCTGGCCTTCCTGAACAATAATTATCTGGAGCACTAATATTTTGACAGGCATAGACCTAAGAAAAAAAATTTTTTTTTGAAAATTCAGAAAATTTTTTCATGTTTCAAAATTTTTTTGAAAATTAAAAAAGAAAAAATTTTCGAAAATTTTTTCAAAAAAATTTTTTTTAAAAATTTCAAAAAAAATTTCAAAAAAATTTTTTTTGAAAATCGAAAAAAAAATTTCAAAAATTGTTTTCCTTAAGAAAAAATTTTTTTTCCTCACTGTAATATGATATTCAGAATAATGTGGTAATCCAGATAATATAAACGTTGTTCCAGTTACATTCATTTTTCCATGTGTATAATTTAAATTAATTCCTTCAAAAATCATATTTCCACTAGAAACATTTAATTCTGTTGAATTATAATATTTTATTGTTGGCATTGCTTTATTATTGTTGTTAATATGACGACGAGTACGATTAGGTTTTTGTTGCTGTTGTTGTGGTGGTTCAGTATCTGCTGCAGAGGATTTTGCCATAAAATTTGGATCTCTTGGGTATTTGTATCTGTGGGAAAATTAATAGAAATTATTATTTTTTTAAATGTTAAAAGCATCCTTAGACTAGGGTTGTCGGATAGTTGGAAATCTTCGGATTTCCAGAACCGAACCAAAAAATTTCCAAATATCCGGATCCGACAACCCTACTTTAGACAATGCTTGAGTGCCAAGAAATCATTAATGATGTGATAAACCTCAGGAATAAATCGAGAATACCTTTTATTAATTTCAGGAGTAGAATTGCCGTTTTCGAATCGGGCCGACGTTCAAGTTATTATTTTAATGCCAAAAAATTTATAATGATTGATGACATGATATCAGACCTGGTAATGGACACGGACTTTGGTATCCGTATCCGAATATTTACAGCGGATATCCGTAGGCAGTTCGAAATTATCTGTATCCATATCCTATTCATAACCAGGTCTGCATAATATTTAGAAAAAATTTCAGAGGCATATTTCTCACATTTTTCAAACTTGGACACAAAGTCAATGTCCATTTTAAAAATGGAAAATAGGAACTTGAAATATTCTATATAGCAGAGTTGCGTCGTAATTACGAATTACGATTACGAATTACGGTGTTTTTTCAGTTACGAATTACGAATTACGATTACGAAAAAATTTTTTAAATTACGAATTACGAATTACGATTACGAAAATACAGGGAAAATTACGAATTACGAAAATAACGTTGCCATTAAATTATAGAATGAAAAGGGGAAGAAATATTTGAAATATTTATATTTTCTCTCGCCTTTGCTTTTGTTTATCGGTGGCTGAGTGGGTTAAAAGTCAGGCTTCACTCATTTGATATTTTGTGAGGTTTGGTTCGAATCCATGTGTGGGAAAAACATTTAAACAATTCATTTTTTTAAAAATAAATGTTTTTAAACTTCGATTTTGATTTTAGTTGTGTAAATTTATATTTTTAATATTTTAAAATTGAAAAAACTTTAAAATTTTTAATTTAGTCATGAATTTTTTAAAAATTTTCGCCTGCGGCGCAGAAAATATAAGTTTTGGCTTAGGATTAAGTGAGAGGGATTTCACGTGATATCAAACTTTAATCTGGACAATGATTCCAAATCATTGATTGAAGAGATATCGGAGGATTATTAGGAGTAAGAAAGATTAAGAGACTTGGAGAGGATTTATTATTAGGATTAAGAGACTTTAGGGATTATGGTAACAGCAGCAATTATTAATAGATATTTGATTTTTTAAATTAATTTAAATATTTTTAAAAAATTACGAATTACGATTACGAATTACGAATTACGGCATTTTTTCAGTTACGAATTACGATTACGAAAAAATTTTTTAAATTACGAATTACGAATTACGATTACGAAAAATTTTTAAAATTACGAATTACGATTACGAAAATTTTTTTAAAATTACGAATTACGATTACGAAAAAAATTTTTCAATTACGACGCAACTCTGCTATATAGGTACTAGTAGGAATTTGAGGAAAAACCAAGTCAGAAAAAGGTGAGACACCTAGTCCCCAAAGCTTGGGTTATTAGAAAATAATTGATTGTACAAAAAATTGTTCATAAGTTAGTCTTGATAATTTTTCTATCCCAATAATAATCATGAAACTATTAATTTAGTTTTATTTACAATATTGTATCAAGCGACCCAGCAAAAGCAAAATTGTTATGCCTGCGATAGCGAAAATTTTGTGATAATATTTTTTGTTGTTGTTGCTGATGTTTTTCTTCAAATTTTTGTTGTAAACCTTTATGTTTATTATTATTAGCTTCATTATTATTATTAGTAGATGATCCAGTACAATGATTTGGATCATAATTTACATCGCAACTTAAATTAGTTATTAATAAAAGCATTATAGGGAGGTGTGTAAAAAAGCACAAAAAAGCACAAAAAAATTTTAGTATTTTTTTTGTTAAAAAAATTTTTTTAAAGTGCAAAAAATCTTACTTTTGAACAAAAACAGTATTTTGCAAAGCATCTAAAAAAGAAAATAAAAATTGGTATTAATCAACTTAAAACAGCGCTCTTACTTAGATGTTTTGCTAAGAGCCCTGACTTGAAAGAATTTTTAAAGAAAAAATAATTTTTAAGTAATAACCCCATCCCAGAAAAACGACTGTCTAAATCCATAACTCCAAGAATTAAAAAAAAATCAGAATTCTGAATGCTTTCCACAAGTCTTAAAAAGGAATCAACCAAAAAATATGTCAAAACCTTATGCTTACCAAAAGAAAGAGCTTTATCAAATTACTTTTTCAACTATCGATATAAAAATAAAAAAAAATTTTAGGGCTGCAACGTTTAGGGGAAATTTTGTTTGGATGGTTCACTTGTTAAAAGAGGCAGTGCTGGAAAAAAAGACCCGGATTCAACTATTTATTTTTCAGAAAAATTAAAAAAAAACCTTCAAAACTATTGCTATCTTTACGTGCAGCATCCAAATCATTTGAATCTTTTTTCTTTTTATTAGAATTTAATTCTCCAGAATAATCACTTGCTCCATTATTATTACTACTACATTTACAACATCCTTCTTTTGCTGAACAAGTATCTTTGTTGTTGTTATCTTTTGTAATAAATGGAGGAAATATATTTGATGGAATATTTTTTGATGAAACAATTGTATTGACTAGAAAAAATTTTTTTTATTAAAAAAAAAATTTTTTTTTGAAATTTCGAAAAATTTTCAAAAAATTTAAAAAAAAAATTTTTTTGAAATTTTTTTGAAATTTAAAAAAAAAAATTTTTTTGAAATTTTTTTGAAATTTCAAAAAAATTCCAAAAATTTTCTTCAGAAATCTCAAAAAAAATTTTTTCCACCCTTACTTCTCTTGTCACAAACATCATCAGCATTAACAGTATTATATTCAATTGCAAGATTCCAAGAGACATGAAAAAAATTTTTAATAAAAATTTAATTAAAAAATTATACCATATAATGTGTAATATCACCATAAGCTTCCAAAGGTGGATCCCAGTTTAACCTAAAAATTGATAAAATGAAAAAAATAATGTTAAAAAATAAATTTAATGGGTATCAGGGGTCGGTCGGAAATGACGAGTATCGGAAATTGGAACTGTCCGAAATCGAAAGTGGTCAAACGATGGAAATCAGACTTCCGCCGACCTCACTCTGATGAGTATTTTATTTAACCAATAAATCCAAAAAATTTTTTACTTGATAGAATTTGGACTTAACGCTATTGAAGCTCGCATTCGTGGAGGATCCTTTAAAATAAAAAATTAGAAAAAATAAAATTCAGCCAAAAACATACAGGGACACCAAATAGAGTTTTAACATAAAGAATTGGAGATATTGCATTCTTTGCACCTGAAAAATAAAAAAAAATTAAAATTTTAATATTAATTTTTCAAATTAAAAAAATTTCAAGTTTTCAAAAAATTAAAAAAATTTCTAAACTCCAAAAAAAATTTTTTTTTGAATTTAAAAATTTTTTTTCAAAAAAATATTTTGAAGGTTCAGAAAATTTTTTCAAAAATTTTAAATTCAAAAAAAGTTCAAATCTTCAAAATTTTTGAAAAAATTTTTAAAAAATAAAATACCCGGATGATTAACTACACGTGTTTGTACATAAACAGCATAAAGTGTATTTGCTTCAACTCCTTGATTTATTAATTCTCCTTTAGGCGAACTTGTTCCAGCATCTTCCCCAGAAATATCTTCCTTTGTTGAATCACTTCCATCAGTTACAAAATACATACTCCAAGAATCTGAACAAGCTGAACGATCATCATCAATTGTCATATTTAAATTAATTTTGTCAACTTTTTTGTAGAATATCTGTGGGTAGAAAAAAAAAATTTCAATTAATAATGTTTGATAAATAAAAAAATTTTTTTTATTTTAAATAAATTTTTCAAAAAATTTTTTTTGGAAAAAATGAATCCAAAAATTTTCAATGAATTTTCAAAAAAAACCGAATTTTTTCTAAAAATTTTTTAAATAAATTTAGGAAAAAATTTTCGAGAAAATATACAAAAAAGTTTAGAAAATTAAAAAAAAATTTTTCAAAAATTTTCAAAAAAAAATTTTTTTAGAGGATTTCAAAAACCAAAAAAAATTTTCCAAGCCCATGTGGGTATTAAACATTTCATAAAGTTTCAATATTTCATAATTTTTGATAATCAAAAAAATTTTTCAAAAAAATTTTAGAAAAATTTTTAGAAAAATTTCCGAAAAAATTTTACAAAAAGCCCATGCGGGTATTAAACATTTCATAAAAAATTTCTTAAAAAATCCACAAACCATATATCCCAAAAATTTCCTATGATCCATATCAGTTGTATTAAAAGGTGTCCAAGTAATCACAAATCCATAGGAATAAACAGAAACAATTTTTACTTCTAAAGGAATTTCATCACAAATAGCTTTATCTCCATTGCTAAACGGGGAAACATCACTTTCACCAACACATTTAGCTTTGTTGTTTTCATCTCCAAATTCAGTACATACTTTCATTCCCAAATGTTCAATAAAGTTTTTAATCTTGAAAACGGGGAAAATTATTTTATTAAAAAAACATTTCAAAAATTCTTTATTGAAAATTCTCAAAAATTCATAGAAACAAGTCAAAAATTTAATATTCGGGGAAAATTAAAACTGAGCCTATTGGAATTACTTATCGATAAGCGGTGAAATATCAGATCAATTCCGTATCGGGATATTTCAATGTTCGAAAAGCTACTTCAATGATTTCAAGACCTACAGACGTTGGGTCTTGGATAGTACACTGGCCTATTGAAGAAAAATTTTAAAAAATACCCGATTGTCCCCGAAATCCCGAGATGTCTCCCTACCAGAGGAACTGTGAAAATAAAGGTTATTTGTCCTATCCCTTTGAAGCGGATTCAATTTTTTATAAAAAATTCAAAAAATAAACCTTATCATAACACAACATTCTATTATTTTGAAAGCTTATTTTTCCTCTCAATATTTCAATTTTATGTTCGTCATCAACATTAAATAATTGTCGCAAATTTTGATTTTCAAAAACAACTAAAGCGTACAAATTTTTCCATAATTGTTGTCCATGAATTCGTCGAAGTTTTTTAAACATATGAAGTGACATAAATGCAGAAGAAAAACGAATTAGAAGGTAACTGAAAAGAAGAAAATTAAGGCAAATTTACAAACAAGAAAAAGACAAGGAAACACCAAAAAATCAACTTGGAGCTTCGAAACAAAAAAATCTTTGGAAATCGGAAATCGAAATAGCTCTGTTTGGGAGTCTAACGCTAAAGCCCAGCATACTGCATAACCATAATTAAACTTAAAAATGTCTTAGAAAGTTTTAACGCTTATTATGTATGTTAGACTTGTAATCAGCTGGACAAGATAGTCTAACAATAAATACCCCAAACTTAAAACCATACAAATTTTTATAAGCCAATTTTAAATCTTAAATCAAAGGCGTTTCAAAAAATTTTCCAAATTCAAAAGTTTGTAATGGTCAAAAAAAATTTTTTTTGTTGTTGTTCACTTTTACAAAGATAAAACACTCAAACACTTACCCAGTAATTTCTTCAATTTCACCAAATGCTTCAGTAAATTTTTCTGCACTAGTAGATTCAATTCCAATTCTCATATCAATTTCTAAATTTCCTTCGATCATATTACATTTTGAAAATTTGAGTGCAGAGCTAATTGAATCAACAGTATCTCCAGGACATTTTTTTGGACAAAAGTTGATACATTCAATACAAGAATGGGAATTTGATGGATCTTAAAAAAATTTTTTTTTGCCTTTCTTCGAAAAATTAAAAAAACCTTCTCTATAACCATTAGGACATTCATAACTACAATGTTTTTTAAATGCTTTCCATACAGATTTTTCATCAGCACTAGGATATGATGTTACTGGATATAAAGCTTCACATTCATATTTTGTTAAACAACGACGACCAAGTTGCTCATATCTTTTTAAGTTTTAAAATTAAATTTTAAATAGAATTCGAAATTTGTAAATTGCCGGATCCGGTATCCAAGTCTTCTTTTCTTCAATTAACCCGGGCCGAGTTTGGAAAATGAAAAACCGGTTTTATCAAAACATGCGCTTTTCAGGCTAATAGACACGGGAAACCCCCGGTCCTTGGCTCGGTTCAGTGCTTTCCTGAGTCCAAACGGGTTCCTAAGACGCCCTAGTTTTTATTAAATGGTGGTTAATTTCCACAAAAAAAACCAATAACAAAAACCAAAAAACTCCATGGACCTGATAAACCTCGGTCCTGGGCTCGTTTCAGTGTTTTCCTGGGTCCGACCCAGTTTCTAAGACCGGCCTGGTTTTTATTAAATGGTGGTTAATTTCTACAAGAAATCGAATAAAAACCCCCAAGAAATCCCCAAAAAAGGAAAATATTAAAAAAACAAAAATTAATTTACAAATGATCAGGACATTTAGAAACACATTGACCATTCAAATCTAAATGACGGCAAGAAAAACATGCAAAAGTATCATTTGGTCTAGTACATCCACCAATACATCTTTGAAAAAAATCATTTTTTTTAATTAAAAAAAAATTTTTTTACTCTTCATGACAAAGTTCATCGTTTATTGTACAACCAGAAAGAGTCTTTTGATTGTTTATGCAAACTAAAATTTATAAAAAATTTAATTTTTGATCATAAAATGAAAAAGATTTTTAAGCAGTTATCGATTCACCTCGGTTTTTGAAATTAGAGCAAGACTGGAATCGACTGGCTTTTTCTAAATTATCCTATCCGATTTAATCGGATTCTGGACTAAATCAGTCCCGAAAAAAATCCGGTGATTAGGAGAAAAAGCCTGGGATATGGGTCACAGATTCCTGAAAAATCAGGCCTTATCCCGTTCGCTCACTAATTTTATGTAATACACTGAAAAAATCAAGGCGGATACCGTTCCAGCAACTACGGAAATAACCCAGAGATTACAAAAAAAGCCTTAGATTTGGGGCACAGATTCTGAAAAAATCCGATCTTATTCTGTCCAGAACTAATTTTTCTGTAATAAAATTTAGAGGAAATTAATAGAAAAAATGCAAACCTTAAATTATCTATTTAAATTAATTAAAAAAATTTACTTTTCTGACAGTGTGTATTATTCCAACAAGCCTTTAAAAATTAAGAAAAAATCAAAAACAAATTCAAAAAAGTTCAAACCATATTAGAAGTAAACGGATCTCTAAAACAATGTGGATCATTTTCACTTGTTGGACAATCATTTTTGCAATGACCAGCAACTTGACTAAAAAAATTTATTATTTTTTTAGAATTAAAAAAAAACAAACTCAATAATTAAATCGCGTATATTTCCAATTAATATTTGTTTCCAAGAAATGCTTCGAGTATAACACAAGCGAGGGTTTTCAGTTATTCTAACACCACCATTTTTTATTGCAACGAGTTTTGTTAAACTGTAGAAAATTTTTTTTTAATTTTTAAACAAAGATGGACGACCAAAAATAATAATTTGGCTAAATTACACAAGCCTTTAGCTAATTACGTAAATCTACCAAGGTTTTATTTCAAGGGAAATTTGGTTTGGAGACATTAGGTCCCAGGTCAAAGAACAACAACAAACTCCCCCTATTTTCATAATACTTTAACCTAAAAGACCTACAGCTTTTGAAAAGTATTTACCCTCCTCCATGTTAATCCCTCTAAATCCCTCGATATTCGCTTTAAAAATTTGTATCTTCTGGGTCAATAGGTCTTTTGGGTGGACTCCTATTGAAAAGACATTGGACACACTTCGTTATTAATTTATTATTCAATTTTCAACAGCATGAAATCCCAAAGTTTTGCGTCCTTTATCCCCAAATACTCTTCCTTCCTTTTGGAACCCAAACAAAAAATAAACACAATTTAAAAAATACCCAATATCCCTCAAATCATAATTTTGATATACAACAAGAGCATAATTCATAATTAATGAATGACCACCAATTACTCGAAGATTTGGGAAAATACGTCCAAGGCTGGTTAATCCACTTAAAAAAATGTTTAAAAATAAGAGAAAAAATTTTTAAAAGAAAAACCGTATTTGAAAAACCAAAATTGAGCCAGTTATTTCACGCAAATTTTCAAAAACTGGGAACAGATCTAAAATTAGAAAAAAAATTAAAGTAAAAATTAATAGAAAAAAACCCGACCATCAGTAAGATTGCTTCTTGTAATCTAATTTTTTAAAAAATTTTTTAAATTTTAAAAATAAAAAAAAACCATAGAAATAGTAAAATCCCCTTCTAAAATTGTGCATTCTCTATATTTCAATTTCCTCTCTTTTCCATCCTCATCTGTTTTCATATTTCTACGAGGTTGATGAAAAGCATTTCTTGGATCATTTCTAATATCGACAGAACTGAAAAACAGGAATAAAAAAAATTAGGTGAAATAAAATTTGTTTTCAAATTTTATACACACTAAACCATACCAGAGATGTCACAGACTTCGAAAAAAGGCAGGTGGGGTTTACAAAATTTTCAAAGGATCAGCTTTTAGGCCAGAGGTCAGATAAGGGAAGGGCCTGGCTACAAAGAAGGGCCTGGCTAAAAGTCGTATCTTGAAAGAAAAAAGTCCGAGATTCGGGAAATCCGTCACATTCCTTGCTTCATACCCATAAACAAAGTCTACCCAAAAAAATTTTTTATTAAAAAATTAATTTTTTACCCGCATCGAACTTCATTTTCCATTGAATAAACCTTTAAGAAAATTAAAAATATAATTTAAAAAAGATTAAATTTAGATACCAAATTTGTAGCCATCAAAGTAAAAACATAAATCAACAATATAACGAATATCCTTGTAAAAGTATAGCCAAGCATGATTCAAAAAACAATGCTGAAAATTAAATTTAAAAAAAATTTTTCAGACATTTTAATATTAAAATTTGAAAAAAAATCCAGGGTGGTCCCAACTATTTTTACAAAGACTATAATCACAATTAAAAGTAGTATATCTTTTAAAAATTTTTAATTTTTTTAAAAGTGGTATTTAGGTCGTTTCATGAAAAAGTTAGTTTTTTTTTTCCAAAAAATAAATTTACCAAATTTCTAAGGATTTAGTATTTTTTCGGTCTTTTTTAAATTCTTTCTCGGAGATAAAAACAAAATCCGGATAAAGATATAAATAGTTGACACTCAAAAAACATTTGATAACAAAAAAATCTATTTTTATGAACTTTTAAAAAATTTTTGCTAATAAGTACGAAGACCGTCCAAAAATGATTCATAGAAAATTAAAAAATAATAATAAAAAAATTACTAACCTTTAAAAGGTGTGTTTGTTTTAATTGTCTAATAGTAGTCAGTATCTATGGAGTAAAGCCAAGAAAAGCAGATAAATAAAAATTAATTTTTACTTTTTAGCTGTTGTTGTAATGGATTATATAATTCTTCTTCTTTTTGCCAATAAAAAAATATTTTTAATCCTTAAAGGCTTCCCTTGAACGGGAGATAAAATTAAAATTATTATTAAAAAAATTCTCATAAGAGACAAAAAAAATAAAAAAGATATAATGTATATTAATCTCTCTCTTCATGTAAAGAAGAGAAAAATGTATAAACATTTGTATGTATTTATTTAATAAAATTGAAAAAGAAATAATTTTTATACGACAATTAAAAATTTTTTTAACAAGAATTTTTTTTCTTAACTTAGTGTTAATATAATAAATATTTTCTGTCTACAAAAGAGTGACCGGTGAAAAAAGGAAAGAAAAAAGGAACCCCATCAACTTGAAAAAAATTGAGTAGGGGTCGTTTTGGCGCCGGGCCATTTTGGCACGAGAACTAAAAACTGGCACTTAGGCTAGACCTAAATTCATAAAAATTTCCTCAAATTTCTGTAACATCCTTGATTTATTGATTTAACTCTTCCAGAAATTTCAGAATTTTTTTATAAAATTTTTTTGAAGTTATAGTCGATAGACTACGAAAAATTAGGCATTTTTCAGCAAATCAACATTCTTGGCCACAATTTCCGAAATTCTTTATCAAAAATTCTGAAATTTTTGGAGAATTTAGGTAATGGCACGAGAGTTATTATTGCAAAATTTTTATCTTTTTATATAAATAACTCACTGTTTTATAAGGTCGCGCCAAAACAGTCCCGCGCCAAAACGGCCCAGAAAAAATAATTTAAAAAATTTTTTTTGGTTGGTCACATACCCCAAAACACAAATTTTAAGAGAAAAATAACAGTTAAATTAATTCTCAACAATTTTTATAAAAAATAATACTATAACAACTTTCATTTTTAATAACCTTTTATTACTGCTGCCCTTGCTGAGCTTTACGCACATGTGGAGGCACATATTTTCCCTTCTTCGGTGGTTCTTTCCCTTCAATTTGCTGCTGTTGTGGTTGTTGTTGACTTTGTTGCTGTGCCGGCATCGGTTGTTCTGGTTGTTGACGACGCTGTTGTTGTTGTGCTGGCGGTTTTTGTTCTTGACGCCATTGTTTAGGTTCTGATGGCGGTTCTTGACGGCGCTGTTGTAATGGAGGTTCCTGGTGCTGAGGCGGAGGTTCCTGGCGCTGTTGTTGTCGTTGCTGCTGTTGAGGTGGCGCTTCTGGTTTACGAATAAGTTGTGGTGGCGGTTGTTCTTCTTTACGACGCTGTTCTTCTTCCAAACGCTTTTGACGTTCAACTTCAACTTGCCATTTCTTCATTCTTTCATTTGCCAATTTTTCAATAGCTTTTTCACGAACCGATTCCACCTTCTCTTTCCATTGTTCTTTACTAACCTTTAGTTCTTCAGAATGTGTTTGAATTGTACTACGCATAAATTTGATAGCATCGTCTTTAACTTTTGTTAAAAGTTGAAAAGTTTCAAGAGACTTTTCTCGTGCTTTTCTAAAAAAAAAGAAAAATTTTCCTCTAAAAATTAAAAAAACAAACATTTCTTCATCAATTCTTCTAGTTTCATATTGATCAAAAATTTCAGGAGCAGAAGCTTGTCGTTCATCAGATAATTCTTTCCAAACTAACATTTCTTCCAAATGAACTGCTCTAACATTATAATCAAATTTTTTCTCTTGTTGAAGCATTCTATTTTGTTGTTCTTTTCGTTCTTTATCCAAAAGGTTACGCTTAAAATTTTTTAAAATAAATAAAAAATTCTTAAATTTTAATAAACCTTCTCAATTATAAATTGCTCCAAATCCATCTTTTCAACAGCCTCTTCACCCAATTCTTTAACCAACATTTCGTATAATGGATGAGATTTTTGTTTTTGCATTCGATCGGCAGCTACTTTACGTTGAATTTCAGCCTAAAAAATTATAATATAAACCAATGTTTGTTTTTTTGCCGGAAAATCATAAAATTTGTTTTTTTTCAAAAAATGGAACATAAGAAAAGGATATTGTAATGGCAAAAGATATTGCCTAATATAATTCCAAATCACCGAAACACCAAACAATGGAATGCCAAAAACGCAAAAGCCATTGAAATGCCAAAAAATAGAAATGACCCTAAGACACATAATTTGGCATTTTAATGATTTTTGGGAAGTTTGCTATATTCCAATACACTTACCAAAACTTTAGCTAATAATTTTCCGAAAGAGACATTTTGTCCCAATAAGTAACAGGCTTAAAAATAACTAAAAATATACTTGTTCAGCCAACTTTCGACGCTGTTCGTTTTCTTTATTTTCTTCCATTAATTTTTTATATTCTTCAGTTCGACGTTTTTCTTCTTGTTTATTAGCCAACATCTGAACTTGCAACAACTTTTCTTGTTTCATTTGTTCAGTACTTTCTTTATAGTGTTCAATTTTCTTACGACGTGCAAGTATACGTTCAAAATCGCCATCTTTATGAGTCAAATAAATTTTAATTTGGCGGGCCAACTAAAAAATAGGTAGGATTAGCAAGCTTAAAAAATATCAAAAAAAACCTTTTCCTGCAACTCCTTAACTGAACTTTGGTCAATATCAAGATAAACATCCTGCAAACGCGAATAAACTGAAGACGCCTGCATTTTGATTTTTGAAATCTAAAAACAAATGAAAAAAATTCAAAAGCATCAAATCTAAAAAAACCTCAGAAATATTTCCATTCTCACTTTCAAGTTCACTTGCCAAAATTGCATCTTCTGGGCCAAAATAAATACAATTTTGACGATGGTCAATATGTGCAGAAACTGAATGTTGTTTACAAATATCAACAAGAAATTGTTCCAATTGCATTCGATTATAAAATGGAATAATTTCAGAAAGACGTTCAAGTGTTATTGACTCATAAATTGACGAAATCTAAATTTTAAATGAAGAATTAAAAGGTCAAGTTGATTACGGAGATACAGAAAGATCTTTAAAGAATGGCCGTCCATTCCATTTGCTAATTATCTCCAAAGGGTCATTCTATTAATGGAGGGTTCTACTCAACAAGTCTCTTCTTAATGGAGGGTTCTAATCTACAAAAGTCGTCTATTAATGGGAGACACCATTTTAAGGTGACCATTCCATTGAAGACTTAACGGCCATTATACACAACTTTTCTGACAAAAGTCGAGCATGAATTACAGTTTGATGCTAACACCCTCAAAGCTCTAATAAAATTTGAAAAAACCTGTTTCACAATCTTTGCAGCAACAGTTTGTTTAATCGAATTAGAATATTGACCATATTCAGAATATCCCAACTTTTCGCCCAATTGTTCAATTTCTAAAAGCATTTCTTGAACATTAGTAGCAATACGTAAAGGATCAAAATCATTTTCAATACATTTGTATAATTTAAAAGCTTCAGGTGCTGCAATCTCCGGAATGTTTAAACGAGCAATTTCTTTCAATATTCCATTACGAGTTGGAATAATAGGCATACGTAAAAGTGCGGAGAGAATCCTGAAATGAATAAAATAATTAAGTAAATACTCTAATAGACGCCCACCTCCAATAGAAGCCTATGCCCACTATTGAGGGCCAGTAAAAAAGAAAAGCCCATCGCTTCTATTACACATTTACGGTATGTTAACTAAAAACCTCCAAAAAAATCTCGGAAATTAACCTTGTATTAGCAACATGCTGTTCTTCAATATCCAAATGTTTTGTCAAAATTGACGGATTTTCAGCCCCATCAGGAATACTAAGTGTTGCTAGAAGGACTCTTGTAGCCTGATCTGTCGCCTCTTCACCAGTAAATTGTTTTTTCATATCCTTGTAAATATTAAATTTTTGCAAGAGTGAAGCAGCGTGGAAGAGTGTATTTCCTCCTTTCCAAAAGACAAGCGCAATCTAAAATGTTAAAACCTATGGAAAATGATTTCCTAGAAACCTTGTCGTAATAATTAACATAGCTAGAAGGTTTAGCGATTTTCTTGTCCTTATCCTTTCCAATTTGCATCAAGTTATGAAGATCTAAAATTCATATTTAGGTCGTTAAATAATAAAAAAAACCTTCGGCACTTTTATAGGCTTCCTGCCACAATTCCATATTTATTGCAGTGTCTAATTGACAAAGACGTGTTTCCAACATAAGCGTCAAAGATTCGATATTTGTCAATTTAATCCTTAAAATTAAAATTTAATAGAAATTTAGAGAAAATAAGCAGACGCGTGAGCCGGAATTGTTTGCGCCTGTTGAGCTTTTTGAACTTGTGTAAGATGAAGGCTTAAAATTAAAATTGGAAAAAAATTCAAAATTTTGGACAAACCGTAACATATCCGAAAGTTTACGAAATTCATTGCGTCGCTGGTATTGAAGACAAAAAGCAAAAGACTGACGAGCAATATGATGATAAATCTGTTCAACATAAACGTTATTACGCAACAAATCGAGACAATTGCGAAAAGTATCCCATTGAAAACGAAGCCAAGGACTTAGAACAGTTCGGTCCATTCGATCTTGTGGAACAGCGCCAGAGACAAACGACAACAATAAACTTAAAAGAAGATAAATTGACGAACTGATAAATAAAAATACTTTTCTGGAGCATCAGCAACGTCAAGATCATCAATTTCTTCAATCTTTTCAATAGAAGATTTCTGAGCTTCCAAAGTTTTTTGTTCCGCAAGAGTAAGAAAAGTTTCAAGAACTGTTTCAAGCGACTTTACAGCAACCTTTTTAAAAAAAAGTTGTAAAGAGAACCCCAAAGTCGATTACCGAACTTTTTCAGAAACGAAACCCAATCCTAAAAATTTTCCAAAAACCGACCCGACCATTCCCTTTCTAATCCCATTAAATAACTCAAATCACATTAAATGACTCGAACCGAAACCCGGCTATCTACTTGCCCGATTCGGGGAAAATTTTAAAAACCTGACTAGACTTGGTAAAAGGATAAAAATTGTAAAACCTGTTGAGTTAATATCTTATATTGATAAAGTCCATCCTTTGCCAAAGTTGAGTTCCGCAAATTAACACAAAGCTCAACATATTTAAGCATAATTTGTTCGTATATTTGTGACCATTGCTTCTGTCGGCGACCCTAGAAATGGAAAAGAACTTAAAGAAATTAAGAATTTAAAACCTTGATTAAATCATGAAGCGATTGAAGCGCATCTCGTTGTTTCCCAACAGAAATAAATTCATGAGCTCGTTGCAAAGCCGCCTCAGGCTTATGACTTTGATAGTTTGCTCTCATAATAATAACCAAAAGAAAATAATCTCTATAATCAACTGAAAATAAGATAAACAAATTTTAAGGTAAATGAGAAAAATGTCGCAAGACGCAAGATAAACAGAATACGCGCAAGCAAGAGGAAAGTCCATTGACGAAAAATATTGACGGAAAGTCCATTGACGAAAAGTCCCTTGACGAAAAGTCTGCTGTCGTTATGTATTTTTAAAACACCAAAAATCAAAACGTCCATATTAACTAAAAATGACAATTTGTCGTAATGATTCTTTTTACCTGATGATAGGGAACGACATATCAACGTTTTCTTAAGAAAAAAAAGTTGATTTAATAATATCAACAATTATTCGCGAACAACTTTTTTTAAAATACATAACGCCAGAACAACGTTAATATCAACGTTTTGCGCCAAACAACTGCGAATCAACGTTTTTGTATCTTTTTTTCTCTGCTCTGCCATTATATTTCTCTTCTTTTTTTCTGTTAATTTTCGTTCGTGTAGTCTCTCCACCTTTGTTGAGGTATTTTTGCGAACCTCTCAAAATGTCCAACAAAGTAAAAATTCGCAATTTGTCGAACTAAATTTAAAAAGTGAAAAATCTCGCCTGAATCTAAATTCTTCATGTACAAATTTAAAAATATCTTGCAAAACATTTACAAAAGCCTAAAAATTTACAAAAGAAAAAATTTCTTAAACAAAAAATTTTAAAACGATAAAATTTTAATCAAAAAAGTTATAAAAAGCCATTGTCAAGTTTCACTTATTACTACAAAATCTACAACACCAAATACTACAACACCAAAAATTATAAAAAGTTGAGAAATGACACCAAATCGTGACACCAAATGTTAGAATCAAAAAGACTTCGAAGAAAAGAGAATTGAGCTTGATCGTGAAAAGGAACTCCTCAAAAATTCGAGACTGTTGGAGTGATTCGAGACTGTTGGAGTGAAATTCCAACAGAACGTCCAAGAATAGATCAAGTCAGAACAATGTTAAAACAAATGGTTAGGGACGGGAGTCAAAATTTAATGGATTATGTTTTTGGAATGTTAGAGCAATATGCAAGTTCTTTAGAACAAGAGCCGATAAATTAAAATTGGGGGAATTTGTTGAACCAGAACAATTTAGTGCAGCAACAATATTCTTTTCTGATGTCGTTTCATCTACAACATTAGCTAGTAAATGTTCTCCTTTACAAGTAATTAAAATATTCGAAATAAATAAATTATGAATTAAAAAGGTTGTAAACACACACCTTTCACCATTTCTAAGCATTTTTTTAGCAGTTCCTTCTTCTTCTACTTCTTGTGAACGCATATTTTCTCGTTTTTCTCCTTTAGTATATGATTATAAACGAAATCGTTTTGATCCGCATACTATTTCCACACTTATTTCATTACAATCATTATTTAAAGATGAATAAAATTTTGTTGTTTTATACTTTTTCAATTTTAACAAAAAAATTCCTACTCGTAAAATTCTTTCAAATTCCAAAGGAGAGACTACACGAACGAAAATTAACAGAAAAAAAGAAGAGAAATATAATGGCAGAGCAGAGAAAAAAAGATACAAAAACGTTGATTCGCAGTTGTTTGGCGCAAAACGTTGATATTAACGTTGTTCTGGCGTTATGTATTTTAAAAAAAGTTGTTCGCGAATAATTGTTGATATTCGCCGCGAATCAACGAAAACGTTGATTTGTCGTTCACTACCTGATGATTTGTCAATTTTTTTCGTTTTATTGTTTTTTGATTTTTAGATTCCTTATTTATGATTTCTGAAAAGTCAGGCCTTGTAGTGCCTGTTGTTCTATGGGGGCCTAAGCCTCCTCGAAGCAGAATCAAACAAATCTCATCAATACGAAATGGCAAAATAATTCTGACGGGAAGTGAAGATGGAATTGTAATGCAATGGATGGTAGACGAATCACTTGGATGGATCCAACCACAAATGGTTATGTTGGCCCACAAAACTTGTATAAGTTGTATATCTCCTAATTCAACATCTGTTTCTGCATCGTAAATTTTATTTCGTTTGCTTATTTTATTTATTCCTTTTTCCAGGAAGTTCATCTCATGTTCAGAAGATGGGCATATTTGTCTGTGGGATTCTGCTGATGGACGGATAATTGATAGTATGAGAACGAATTATGTTCATAGGAAAATGAAGCCCTACGTAAGCTTTGCCTTTTTGTCCATTTTTCTGACAGATTTTTCTTACTTTTTGGAATTTGCCCTAAAATTCTTGAAATATTTCCTTCCTTTTAAGGCCTGTAAAAATCTCCATGAAATTCTCTTTTGTGTTGGGGACTATACCGATGTTGTTGCAATTCATCCACATGATTTGAATGTTCTTTATACCCTCAATTCACGTGCTGAACCAGATTGGCTGAATTCCATTACTTTGGTTAAACCAAACGAAAAGATTGGTAATTCTTTTTAGTTTTGACTTATCTTATAAATTTTAACTTTTTAGACGTCCTAATTGGTGTATCTTTGTCTGGCGTGGCTAAGCTTTGGTCCTTAAATGAACTAAATATGAAGGATAACACAACAAATATTTTATTTGAAGAAGAATCGAAATTTATAGCACCTAGGAATGTACATCGTATAACTTGTTCAGAAAAGAATGTTAGAATGATGTTGGTTGTTTGTGCTAATTCTTGGCAGGTTATTGGATATTTGATTTTAAGAATTTTTAGCCATATGTATAAGCAGGCATGGAAAAGGCCGAAAAATATCTCTTAAAAGTTTAACCTTCCTTTAAAAAACTTCTAGCGGGCCAGTGATTTTTTTTGATTCCCATTCATATTCCTGATATCATGGTTCCTCAACCGCTTCTGAAATCAGAGTTGCGGAACCGTTAGAAATGTCGAAATTGACAGGGTATTTTTTGGATCCGTTATGCTTTGGCAAAGATCACCGTTTAACCTTAATCTTTAAAATATTTTCAGGTTATTGATCCCAGCACCCTCGGCCAATTAGTGGTCTCCGAATGTGCTATAGAAGCCCTGGAAGGAATGATTGTGGATATTGACAAGGTTGCTATTGGATTTGCTGATTCAACTATTGTTTTGTTTCAGTTACCTAGAAGGTTTATTTTGTTAATTTTTTCTTTAAAAATTTTTTTTGAGTAAATTGGTTGGTCGACAAATTCGGGAGCGTTTTGGGGAGAAACCTTCAAACATTGCCGGAATTGAACAACCCTTTGTTTTTGCTCTATTAAAAAGCGTTGCTTCTCCAAATTTACAGGTTTGAAAAAATTTTTAGAAAATTTGAAAAAAAATTTCCAGCCTCTTTTAAACCCGGTCAAATTTTTCTTCGATTCAAAACTTTCTTCTGATAAAACTCATCGCCAAATTACTTATCGGTTGGATGAACAAAGCTCTTCTATCAGTTTTTGGCATGTTCCAAAAAATTTGGAATTGTTGGTTAGCGAGTTTGTGAGAACGCGACGTCCAATAGGTTTTCATTTTTATTTAAAAATAATTTATAATTTTTAAAGTTTATGAACCAACAATTAGACAGTGTCTTTCTGACGCTTGGAATCGACTCTCCCCAACCCCTCCTGCAATTGCCAATTTTGAGGTTTCTTCTAAAGCTAATTTTGAGTCTTCTATTAAGTTAATGTTTTCAGTCTGGATCCACCATCCAAGCCACTATTTATGTATCTACTCAAGATAAGTTGTTTCTTGGAAGAAGTGACGGTTCAATAATGGTTTTTTTTCCTTTTTTGAGGAGTTAGTTAATTTTTTTTATCAATTTTTAGACTATGAGTGCTTGCCAAGTAATAATGGTTGCATTATTAGATGGTTACAATAACGGTTTTTTTTTGCTTTAAAATTTTTTATTTCTAAAATTTTTCAGAATCCACTCAATTCAAAATACTCCCAAATGGTCATTCTAGTTCTGTGACTTGTTTTCTTTACCCTTTTGCTGAGAGCAATAGATATGATCCAAATTTATTACTTTCTGGTAGTGCTGATTTTTCTGTTATTGTTTGGAATGTAACAAATGATGAGAGGCTTCATCGTTTTTCTTCACAAGGAGGAACTATTACTCAATTGCTTGTTCCTCCAATTAATTGCAATGTAAGATTTTTTAATTTTTAAAATGTCCGCAAAAGTTGTCCGCAAATATTTGCGGATTATGAAATTTTGGGATTTTTAAATGTCCGCAAAAATTTTTCTGCAAATATTTGCGGATTATGAAGATTTTTAACATTTTTATTTATTTTCAGGCTAAACTACTCGATTGTGTATGTTGTATTGCTGCAGACAATTCTGCCTGTTTTGTTAGCTTAAAAAAGCTTCGATGTGTTCTTCTTGCTAGCAGACAACAATTTCCTATTGTTGATATTCGTTGGCGTCCTTTGAGTGATCAAATTTTGTTAAAATGTGAAGATGATTCTGTTTATGTTTGGAATATTGAAACAGGTTTTTTTGAGTTTTCCGGGATTATTTTCTAATTTTTTTAAAGGTGTACTTGATCAAGTAGTAACGGGATTAGCTTCTGATGAGGTTTATTTTGTGTTTTTTTGTTATATTATTTTTGCATATTTTTAAGATTTTGATGAACTCTTCCACTGATGAGCAACTTGGTTTTGGATCAGAAGATGAAAATTCTTTTAGCACTGCTTCACAAACTGCTGTTCAAATGTTGAGGGCACTAAAACAAAAGGATATGGCAGCGGTAAAAATCTCAAGTTTTCTTCCTCCTCCACCATCATCGGTTTGTATTACTTCTTCCTCTTCTTTTCGACGGGATTCTTCATCTAGTTCTTCTAATAATTTGTGTTGTTCTCCACCTTTTCGAGAACCTGATGACGAGGAAGAGGTTATTTTATGTACTGATGGTGGTAGTTGTTTTTCTCTATTCTATTATGTCAAATTAGAGTTGCACCATTAGGGAAATTGTTAATTTGGCCATGTTAGGGATCCATCCGAGACGAGATCGAATTCAAAAAATCTCTCTTAAGCTTTGTTTATATAAAGATAGCTTCGAGTCTTGCAACGGAAAATAACATGCAAAAGAATCAGAAACAAAATCGCGTGCGAATTTTTTCCCCGTTTTGTCAATTTTCTTTTCCGTCGTAAGACGGAAAAGAGACTCGATATTTGTCAATTTAATCCTTAAAATCAAAATTTAATAGAAATTTAGAGAAAATAAGCAGACGCGTGAGCTGGAATTGTTTGCGCCTGTTGAGCTTTTTGAACTTGTGTAAGATGAAGGCTCAAAATTAAAATAGAAAAAATTCAAAATTTTGGACAAACCGTAACATATCCGAAAGTTTACGAAATTCATTGCGCCGCTGGTATTGAAGACAAAAAGCAAAAGATTGACGAGCAATATGATGATAAATTTGTTCAACATAAACGTTATTACGCAACAAATCGAGACAATTGCGAAAAGTATCCCATTGAAAACGAAGCCAAGGACTGAGAACTGTGCGGTCCATTCGATCCTGTGGAACAGCGCCAGAGACAAACGACAACAACAAGCTGAAAAGGAGATAAATGAATGAACTAATAAATAAAAATACTTCTCTGGAGCATCAGCAACATCAAGATCATCAATTTCTTCAATTTTTTCAATAGAAGATTTTTGAGCTTCCAAAGTTTTTTGCTCAGCAAGAGTAAGGAAAGTTTCAAGAACAGTCTCAAGCGACTTTACAGCAACCTTTTTAAGAAAAATAGTAAAGAGAATGTATGGTTTACCCGAAGTCGATTACTGACCTTTGTCAGACACGAGACCTGATTCTAACAATTTTCCAAAAACAAATTCGTCCATTCCCCATCTAACCCTATTAAATGATTCAATCCGAAACTCGGATATCTGCTTGCCCGATTCGATGAAAATTTTGAAAACCTGACTAGACCTAGTAAAAGGATAAAAATTGTAAAACCTGTTGAGTTAATATTTTGTATTGATAAAGTCCATCCTTTGCCAGAGTTGAGTTGCGTAGGTTAACACAAAGCTCAACATATTTAAGCATAATTTGTTCGTATATTTGTGACCATTGCTTTTGTCGACGACCCTAGAAATGGAAAAGAACTTAAAAAAATTAAAAAATTTAAAACCTTGATTAAATCATGAAGCGATTGAAGCGCATCTCGTTGTTTCCCAACAGAAATAAATTCATGAGCTCGTTGCAAAGCCGCCTCAGGCTTATGACTTTGATAGTTTGCTCTCATAATAATAACCAAAAGAAAATAATCTCTATAATCAACTGAAAATAAGATAAAAAATTAAGGTAAATGCGGAAAATGTTAAATGACGAAAATTAACTCTTGACGAAAAGTCTGTTGTCGTTATGTATTTTTACAGCACCAAAAATTCAAAACGTCCATATTAACTAAAAATGTCATTTTGTCGTAGTGATTCTTTTGATGATTTGTCAATTTTTTTCGTTTTATTGTTTCTTGATTTTTAGATTCCTTATTCATGATTTCTGAAAAGTCAGGCCTTGTAGTGCCTGTTGTCCTATGGGGGCCTAAACCCCCTCGAAGCCGAATCAAACAAATTTCATCAATACGAAATGGCAAAATAATTTTGACGGGAAGTGAAGATGGAATTGTAATGCAATGGATGGTAGACGAATCACTTGGATGGATCCAACCTCAAATGGTTATGTTGGCCCACAAAACTTGCATAAGTTGTATATCTCCTAATTCGACTTCTGTTTCTGCATCGTAAATTTTTATTTTGTTTGCCTATTTTATTTAATCCTCTTTTCCAGGAAGTTCATCTCATGTTCAGAAGATGGGCATATTTGTCTTTGGGATTCTGCTGATGGACGGATAATTGATAGTATGAGAACGAATTATGTTCACAGAAAAGTGAAACCATACGTAAGTTTTGTTTTTGTCCATTTGTCTGACAGATTTCCTAAAATTCTTGGAATTTGCCCTAAAATTCTTGAAATATTTCCTTCCTTTTAAGGCCTGCAAAAATCTCCACGAAGTTCTTTTTTGTGTTGGGGACTATACCGATGTTGTTGCAATTCATCCACATGATTTAAATGTTCTTTATACCCTCAATTCGCGTGCTGAGCCAGATTGGCTGAATTCCATCACTTTGGTTAAACCAAACGACAAGATTGGTAATTCTTTTAGTCTTGACTTATCTTTAAAATGATACTCTAAGACGTTCTAATTGGTGTATCTTTATCTGGCGTTGCCAAACTTTGGTCCTTAAATGAATTAAATATGAAGGATAACACAACAAATATTCTGTTCGAAGAAGAATCGAAATTTATAGCACCTAGGAATGTACATAGTATAACTTGTTCGGAAAAGAATGTTAGAATGATGTTGGTTGTTTGTGCTAATTCTTGGCAGGTTATTGAATATTTGATTTTAAGAATTTCTAGCCATATAAGCGGGCAAGGGAAACTCCGGAAAATATTGCTTAAAAGTTTAACCTTCTTTCAAGAAACTTTTGGCGCGCCAGGGATTTTTTTTGATTCCCATTCGTATTCTTGACGCCTTGGTTCCTCAACCGCTTCTGAACTCTGAGCTGCAGAACCGTCAGAAATGTCGTAAGCGACAGGGAGTTTTTGGATCCGTTAGGCTCTGGCAAAGATCAACATGTGACCCTAATTTCTAAAAAATTTTCAGGTTATTGATCCAAGCACCCTCGGCCAATTAGTTGTCTCTGAATGTGCTATTGAAGCCCTTGAAGGAATGATTGTAGATATTGACAAAGTTGCTATTGGATTTGCTGATTCAACAATTGTTTTGTTTCAGTTACCTAGAAGGTTTATTTTTAGTTAATTTTTCTTTAAAAATTTTTTTCAAGTAAATTGGTTGGTCGGCAAATTCGTGAACGTTTTGGCGAGAAACCTTCAAACATTGCCGGAATTGAACAACCCTTTGTTTTTGCTCTCTTAAAAAGTGTTGCTTCTCCAAATTTACAGGTTTCTTAAATTTCTTAAAAATTTCCAAAATTAAAAAAATTTTTTCCAGCCTCTTTTAAACCCGGTTAAATTTTTCTTTGATTCAAAACTTTCTTCTGATAAAACTCATCGACAAATTACATATCGGTTGGATGAACAAAGCTCTTCTATCAGTTTTTGGCATGTACCTAAAAATTTGGAATTGTTGGTTAGCGAGTTTGTGAGAACGCGACGTCCAATAGGTTTGTCTTTTTTATTTAAAAATTTCAATATTTTTTAAAGTTTATGAACCAACCATTAGACAATGTCTTTCTGACGCTTGGAGTCGACTTTCCCCAACCCCTCCAGCAATTGTTAATTTTGAGGTTTCTTCTAAAGCTAATTTTGAGTTTTTTATTAAGTCAATGTTTTAGTCTGGATCCACCATCCAAGCTACTATTTATGTATCTACACAAGATAAATTGTTTCTTGGAAGAAGTGACGGTTCAATAATGGTTTTTCACTTTTTTTGAGGAATTTAATTAAATTTTTTTATTAATTCTTAGACAATGAGTGCTTGTCAAGTAATAATGGTTGCATTATTGGATGGTTACAATAACGGTTTTTTTGCTTTAAAATTTTTTATTTCTAAAATTTTTCAGAATCCACTCAATTCAAAATACTCCCAAACGGTCATTCTAGTTCTGTGACTTGTTTTCTTTATCCTTTTGCTGAAAGCAATAGATATGATCCAAATTTATTACTTTCTGGTAGTGCTGATTTTTCTGTTATTGTTTGGAATGTAGCAAATGATGAGAGGCTTCATCGTTTTTCTTCACAAGGAGGAACTATTACTCAATTGCTTGTTCCGCCAGTTAATTGCAATGTGAGATTTTTTAATTTAAAAAAAATGTCCGCAAATGCTGTCCGCAAATATTTGCGGATTATGAAATTTTTCAGGATTTTTCAAATGTCCGTAAAAGTTGTCCGCAAAATATTTGCGGATTATGAAAATTTTGAACATTTTCGTTTATTTCCAGACTAAACTACTCGATTGTGTATGTTGCATTGCTTCAGACAACTCTGCCTGTTTTGTTAGCTTAAAAAAGCTTCGATGTGTTCTTCTTGCTAGCAGACAACAATTTCCTATTGTTGATATTCGTTGGCGTCCTTTGAGTGATCAAATTTTGTTAAAATGTGAAGATGATTCTGTTTATGTTTGGAATATTGAAACAGGTTTTTTTGGAGTTTTGTGAGGAATAGGGTTTCCAAAATGGACCGAATCGGACCGAAAGATCGAGTCGGGCCTAAGATTTGCTCGAAAAAGACTCGTACGGCTCGACTCGATAAAGTTAGGCCCGAAAAAATGCCTCGACCGTCGGCCCGACTTGAAACGGCAACCCTAGTGAGGATTTATTTTTTAATTTTTTTAAAGGTGTACTTGATCAAGTAATAACTGGATTAGCTTCTGATGAGGTTTATTTTGTGTTTTTTATTGTATCATTTTTTGCTTATTTTAAGATTTTGATGAACTCTTCTACTGATGAACAGCTTGGTTTCGGATCAGAAGACGAAAATTCTTTTGGCACTGCTTCACAAACAGCCGTTCAAATGTTGAGGGCATTAAAACAAAAGGATATGGCAGCGGTAAAAATCAAACGAAATTTTCTTCCTCCTCCACCATCATCGGTTTGTATTACTTCTTCCTCTTCTTTTCGACGGGATTCTTCAGCTAATTCTTCTAATAATTTGTGTTGTTCTCCACCTTTTCGAGAACCTGATGACGAGGAAGAGGTTATTTTATGTACTGATGGTGGTGGTTTCTTTTTCTCTATTCTATTATGTCAAATTAGAGTTGCACCATTAGGAAAACTTGTTAAAATTTGTGGACATTAGTGATCCGTTTGCGTCAAAATCGTGTTCAAAAAATCTCTCTTAAGCTTTGTTTATATAAAGATAGCTTCAAGTCTTGCAACAGAAAATAACATGCAAAATAATCAGAAACAAAATCGCGTGCGACTTTTTTCCCCGTTTTGTCAATTTTCTTTTCCGGCGTAAGACGCATACGATTTTTATATATGCATAACATTATTTAGGTAAGCTTTTTCGTGATATCGAACTCGACTTATCCTCGATCATGTCTAATTTTTTCTACTTATTAAATTTTCACAAACTTCTTTCATGTCACTACTTGATTCTTATTTCCTCACTAGTTTTGTTTTTCACACATAATTTTTCCTTAATTTTTTTCACCACAAATTTCAATCATTAATATTCTATGATTAATTTTCCCTTTTTTAAAGATGAAAAAAATAATTGCTGGACAACATGGAACAGACAAAGAAAATGAAGATGATTCATCTACTATTAATAATAATACTACAAATTTACACCTCATATCTCCTCCCTTAGAAATTGTACAAATGTCTACATGTTCAGATACAACACATTTAATTTTATTTGATGTTAATGCATTAATAAGTTTGTTTAATTTTATTTTAAAATTTAAAAATAGGAACTTTTATTATCTCTCCAAACATTATCCTTTTTCCTCTCCCTTCTAAAAATTAAAATGGTCGTTATAATTGTCGGATCGGAACAGAACCATAGAAACCTCGGCGTGTTCATTTTGGTTAGGTTTCGAATACCATAAAAAATTTTTTCGGATAACTGAATGATTTCTTGGATCCGTTAATCCTACAATTTCATATTCGTTCAATATGTACCAGGGATCCTGCCGTTCCGATTCCCAAAAATCGGGAATTGTTGACGTTTTTTGGTTGTGGGCCTGCTTTTCCGATATCGGGAATTTCAGTTTTATGGCGGCAGGGTCTCTGCTATGTCATATTTAAGAAGGAGAAGAAAGGAAAATTTGGGGGAGATAATCGAATAGTGTCAAAAAAATTTTATTTTTTTAGATGGCCTTCTTATACTCGATTCATGTGATGATGAAAGAGAAAATTTTGAAAAAGAAAGAATTAGCATAATAGATACAATAACAAATTATAATTGTGATTCAAAACATCAAAATGGGTTATCAAATCCAAATTATTTATCATTAAAAGAATTGGCAACCAATAATAATTTAAATTTGAAACAACAAAATGGTGGAATTTCTTCCAGTAAAAATAATAATATTTTATTACAACAACAACCTTCACTTTATTTGGATACTGCAAAACTTTTAATTTCACTTTTACATGCTTGGGATAATGATGAATCTGTTGATGATATTGCAATAAATAGTTTAAAATTATCTAAACCAAAAATACCTCTATGTTTTGGTACAATTTCTAAAGGTTTGCAGAAAATATTTTTTAAAGCTTTTTTTTCAATTTACTCTTGAACAATATTAAAATAAAATATCGGACTTTGAATTTGGTTATTTCCAAAAAATTCCTCCTTCGTTGAGCCCTAACTTAACCACTAGGGAAGGGATGGGTAAAGCTACCTAGCGGACGGAACCTCTCCCGGTTCCGTCTTCAACCGATTTTGATTTATGATGCTTTTCCAGTTCCGTCGTTTTCTTTTAAAAATATGGCAGATTTTCGTTACATACGTTGTACACCAGGGGTGGCGCAAGTGCCACAAAATATGAGATTTACGAGATACGAGATTCTCAAAAAATACGAGAACGAGATAAAATGAGGTATGAAATCTCTCAAAAAGAACGAGATTTCACGAGGTACGAGACGAGCGCCACCCCTGTTTACGCAATTTATGCTACCCATCATTTTTACATTCGATTTTTTAAAGCCCAAGTTCAACTGCCTTAAATAAAAAAATTTTATTATAGGTTATGTTTCTCTCTACACACCATATTCTTCTGGAAAAATTCCAGCATTAGACGATTTTTCTTTTAAAAGTTTTTCAAAAAATATACATTGGCAAATGAGTAAAACATTAACAACAATTCATTTACTTGCAGTTGTATCACTTTCAAATACTTTAATGGCTTTGAAAAATCGTTATTATTATAATTCTAAAAGGATGTCTTTAAGGTTCGTTAAATATAGAGAAGCTTGTCTCCCTGAAACCCCGGTCTGCCACCCGAAACTCAATCTCTGACCCTGATGATTTTTTTCGAACCCCGTAACTTGTCCCTCTGAAACCTCGATCTGACACTCGAACCCCCATCTCTGACTCTGACAATTTTTTGTCGAGAACCCCGCCCGGGACCGTAAGCAGGTGGTGGTGGGATTCCCCGACACTTCGACCTCTGACCATCGACCCTGATCATCGACAAACCCGATCCTTTAGGTTCGGGTGGCTACTCTTATTAAAAAAAATTTTTTTTTAATTTGAAAATATGTTTTTCTTCTAGACGTTCTCCTTCATCAAAATCAACAGAAGAACAATTAAGTGAATGTGAAAGTCACAAAGTTAAACAAAGTTGGTCAAATATTGCTGCATTACATTGTATTCTTTTACCGGAAAGAATAAAACCTAAAAATTCTTATGCTTCTCCTAAACTTGATATGCTTGCAAGAAAGTAATGGAAAAAATTATTTTTTTAAAGTAGGATTGGACCTATATGTTTTAAAATTTGAAATTGTGATATTTTTTGCCAAAAGTTAACAAAACCCGAAAATTTTTGAAAATAAGTGATTTAAAAAATCCTCCAAAAGTAAAACCGGGACTTAACTAGAATTCAAATCCTAAAGCTTGTGGGAATCGTTTAATATGGTCCATCTTTAATTTTAAAGGGTATTATATTTTTTCTTTTATCTCACAGATGGCAAGACAGTTGTATTGAAATACGTGATGCTGCACATGCTCTTTTAATTAGAGAATTGAATCGACTTGGCCCTGAAGGTTTTTTTTTGAATCATTATTATTTTAATTTCTTCTTTTTTCTCAATAAAGGACGTCAACAATTAATCAAAAAATGGGCCAATTTTCTGCCCGTATTACTTGATCAATCAATTTCTATTTTTTCAACACAAAATGCTTCAACTACAAATCCACCTTCTTCTAAAAATTTGAATAATTTCGCCAATATAGAATATAATCCAACAGACTCGCAACAACCAGACTCATTATCAGCAATTTCAAGTACAAGAATATCTTCAGCATCATCAGTATCTTCTTCAAAAAGTCCACCACCGCCACGTCCAAGTGTTCCACCAATACCTCCAAGATCATCAAATTCTACACCTTTACCACAAGTTTTGCCTTTAACATCTATTGAAGACAATAATTCTTCTTCTTGTGATTTTTCAACAACAACAAATAATTATTCACATAAAATATGTGTTAATCAAAGTAGTAAAAGTACTTCAACAATTAGTGGAGGAGAAGGAGGAGAAAATAATACCAATAGTGATGTTACTGAACAAACAACAACTATTGCTTTCGCCTCGTCTTATAATACTTCAACAGAAAATCAACAACAACATGAAAGTTCTACAATACTTGTAAGGAAAATTATTTAAAATAAAAAATATTTTATAATTTAATAGAATGATCAATTATATTTGGGTGGAATTAATCAAATACGCAGAAATCAGGCAACAGCAATTATTTTTCTTGGTGTTATGGGTATTTTTTTTTATCATTTTTTGATTTTTATAAATTACCGTGAATGCTCTAATTAAAGCCCGACTTTATGAGAAGCCTATTTTTAATAATAGACGTTCACCCGAAGAAGACCCACCGAAAAATAAAAACACCCTCTCTAATTGAGACCCACTTTATAAGACAGCGAGAAATATATGTTTTCTTTCTAATAGAAACCCACTCTCTAATAGAAGCCACTCAGGTGACCTATTAAAAATATAACCCCATGGCTTGTATTAGAGTTTTGTGCTATTTAAAATTTAGTAAAGCACGCCTAGTATTTTAAAAATAAAAAATCTTTCTAAAAATTTCAGGTGCTGAATTTCCCAATGATTTACAACGCCATTTGGATATTTGCCGTGCTACAGCTCATTCATTATTAGAATTATTGTTATCACCTACAACTGTTTATCCTCCACTTTTAATTCCTCAAAATTCACTTTTGAGAAGAGCAGCGATAGATTTATTAGGAAGAGGATTTGTGCTTTGGCAGGTTCTTTAGAAAAATTTTTTGTTTGTAAAATGAATGTTTAATTTTTTAGCCTCATCTTGATTTGCCAAAAATGCTTATTGGATTACTCAATTTAGCTGCAGAGTGCGAAAGGCATTTGCCCGCTGGGTAAGCGAATTTCTATTTGGAAAGAAAAAGTTTCCTTTTTAGACCTCTACCTCCTGGAATACAACTCTCACCTGAAGCTGATGCTTGTCGTACAGCCAGACATGCTTTATCACTTATTGCTTCTTCACGACCTCAAGCATTAATTACTGCACTTAATATGGAGGTTTTTAAATTTTTTTTATTAATTTTTGATTTGAAAATTAAATTTAGGTGATTCGTTATAATGCAGTAGCTCAACATCAAACAATTCAACATCCAATACCCAGCCCTTTAACAAAATCAAGAAATGAAGTACTTAGGCTTTTGGAACAATTATCAGAAAGGCAATACAATTTTGTTGTTGATTTAATTGTACAGGTTTGGTTATTAGTTTTGTTAAAAAATATTATTTGATGAGCTTAGAAAAAAATCGGGAAAAAATTTTCCTGATTTTTTCTGGTTTTGATTTTGTGGTTTGGAAAAAATTAAAACGACCGTTGGGCATTTTTTTATTCTGATGGATAGAAAGTCACAAAAATTACTCCTGAATTTATAAAAAAATTTTGGTAAAAATGACTTTTGATGTTTATATCTGGGTTGCCAAAGAGAGTCATAAAAATTTCTCCCTTGACTTTTTTTTATCTTAACGCCGTCACTTTCCTTGAAAAATTTTTTCAAGAATTTTTGATCTTTTTGATCAATTATTTTTTAATAATCTTTATTTTTTTAATTTAAAGGTTGGAGATATTCTAGTCCATTGCCTTGATTTGTCATTACTTAAACAACGTTCTATAACAGATTTATTCCCTCCTATTGCAAAGTAATAATTTTTTAGTTTAATTTATTTTATTAATTTTTCAAGATTTTATATGGTTACTTATTGTCCAACAACACGTCGATTAGCATTTGGTGGAAAGAATGGAACTATAGTTATACATGAATTAAGGTTATCTAAATCACAGGTTTATTTGGAGTTTTTTGGATTTTTAAAAAATAATTTTTTAGTCAGTTAAAGCCCACAATGTTCCAATCACTGCATTAGCATTTTCTGAAGATGGAAAATATTTGGCAGCATATGCTGCACAGGAAGCAAAAATTAGTTTTTGGCAAACTCAACAAACATTTTTGGTATTTTAATTTTTTATATTTTTTTTCAACTTAAAATTTTTTGAAAAATTTTAGAAAGATTTTTTTCAAAAAAAAAAATTTTTTTTAGAAAAGTAAAAAAATAAAAAATTAATTAAAAGGGAAGGAATCCAAAATTTTTTTTTTGGCTGTATTAGAAAATGCCTAAAAATTAAAAAAACGGTTTTTTGCTAATCTTTTGAAAAAAATTTTTGGAAAAAATTCATGAATTAAAAAAAATTTTTCTAATGGAAAAGAGAATTGGTCAAGGTCAAAAAATTTTTGGAAAAATTTTTTGCAAATTTTTCACTTTCAAAAAAAATTTTTTTAACAAAAAAAATTTTTTTTCAATTTTCAAAAAAAAAATTTTTAATTAAAAAGGGAATGGGACAAAGTCAAGTTAGATGTGCTCGAATGCAACCTGCTCCAGGTGAATTTCCAGTAATAAGTCCTGGTGGAAGTTATCAATTATTTCGTGCAAGGCTTGTTTGGATTAATTCAAAATCTTTGACATTAATGTTACCAAATGGGAAAGAAAATAGATTTAGTGTTTGAACAAAGTTTTTTTTTAATTAATTAAAAATTTGCCTAGTTTATTTTTTTAGTTATAGTAGATGCCCAAAAAATTTTTTTATTATTTTTCTAACACACACAAAAAATTCACTTCCTATTTTTTCTTTAAATATTTTTTATGTTTTATATAAGTAAAACAATTCTCTCTTAAAGAATACACTTAAAAATTTATTTTTTTATTTTTGCTAACAAATTTTTGTGACAAAAATCTTCCTTTTTTTTTATTTTTTATTTTTAAAATATTTTGTACATAATATATATTTTAATAGAGATCGGCCAGGATCTTGATCCAGACATTGTGTGATTTTTTACTGGATCCAAAGTCAAGCTCAATGCCGATTTTTTTTTAGTATTCCTCGATCTTTCCTTGTCTTGGGGTTAGTACTAGGTCGTTTCATAAAAAAGTTCGTTTTTTTCAAAAATAAATTTTCAGAGAAAAATTGATAAATCTCAAACAAACTCAAACAGATAAAAAATCTGACTGTACTAAATAATTGCCCCGTGTCTTAGCAATATTCTTAAAACAGAAAAAAGTTTGTGGATACCTCTTTTTAAAAAAATCTGACCCCATTTCATAAGCACTGTCTACCCCACCGCAGTCTCGACCTCGGCGTCTTCAGTCAAGTGCCCGTCCCGTAAGAAATTTTTTAGAGAACTGAAATGATGTTGATCTGATAGAGCAGACTCAGGGCTACAAGGGGGGTGGGGTAACACTTTCCAACAAAGCTTATTTGGGGTATGGCAGGTCGTCAAAAATGAGCGGTGTAAAGGGGCGTTATTTTAATGGAAAACCAGAGGTCTAGTAAGCAGTCCCTAGCGACATTGAAGGTAACAAACGAAATCTTCCTGGGTAAATTAGTTAATATGTATGTTAGAGTTTGTAATGGTACCAAGTCAAAGTAGCTCCGTCATCAACGGATCGAGCACCATCCAAAATAATACACAACATACGTTTTTTGGGGGGTTGGTAAGGCGGAGGAAAATAGGGTCTTAATATTTTTTCTTCCGAATAATTTTTTGTGTATTATTATCGTAATTGGTATATGTTTCAACTTAGGTAACAATCCGGTTCCATGAATAACCCTTTCGATTGTTATCCAGGCTTAAAAGGCAAAGAAAAAGTCCTTGTTATTTTTGTCTCTTAGTCGGTTGGTGCATTACTCTTTTTGTCCTCCTCGGCTCGCGATCCGTTTTTTCGAACAATTGCCATATTGTACTTATAGAGCAATGTCCCCTCTACAATTCTAATAAAAAATTATCCGGATATTGTTCTAACCGGAGAGCAAGGACGCGTTTGTTTACAGTCAGCCGTCTTCACGACCCATGTTTACGTTTGGTCCTGCCGCTTCATGACCAAAATTTTTTGAAATATTTTTGAGCTGCACTAGGTTAGACCACATCCCTGCCTATCGTTTCATTAATTTTTCTTGCTTCCAGCTTTACGTTATTACTTTGTTTTAATGTGATGTGTAAATGCTCCCAAATAAAACCCCTACCCACGCTCATTTCTGGAGGCATAAATTTTTTTTGGTCTTTTCTATTTTCAAAATTTTAGTATCATTATAAAGCTAAGACTTTGGGCTACAAAATAAGATAAAAACAAAATCGGATAAAAATAGTTATCACTCAAAAAACATGCGGTGAAAAAAAACGAACTTTTTTATGAAACGACCTAGTAATATAGTCACTTCTCTCAACCAAAATTTAAGAAAGTTTTAAGATTTTTCAAAAACTTCCGATCTCTCTAATATATTCAATTTTCTGATAGAACCTTTCTTTAAAAAATATGCGTGATTTTTTTATAATTGCGTACTGAGTTTACGTAAGAAAATTTTCTTGATCTCTTTTCTTTTTACTAAATTCTAAAAAATGTTTTTAGTCTATGAAAAACTCTTTTTTCCAAAATTCTATATATTTACATATATATTTTTTTCTATTTTTCATTTTTCGGCTTTGTAAATTAAAAAAAAAATTTTAGAAGAAAAAAAATATTTTAAAAATTTTTATTTTATTTTTAATAAAAAAGGAAATGAAAAAAGTTTGCACCATTGAAAGAAACAGTTTAAAAAAAAGAATAAATAACAAATATGAAATTAATTTTTAGTAATACACTGCGGTGCATATGTTTATGCACACTAGTTTTTTGTTCATAAGTTTATGCACACTTAGTCAAAAAATATGTTCTATATGGCAATCGAAAGCTTTATCTGTATCTCAGTTGACATGTTTCTGCATTTTTCGAAATTCTGATATTTTCGAAAACTTTTCGACCGGTCTAACAGGTACTACATTTTCAACTTTTCGAAGAAATTTTTTTGAGGTCTGTAAAATATATATGTGATTCTCCTCTAGATTCTACATATAATACAAAAAAATCATCCAAATCGGTCGAGATTCGAGCGAGTTATGAATTTTTGAAAATCGAAAAAATACCATATTTTTGCCATTTTTCGTAAAAAATCGCGTTTTTTTCGATTTTCAAAAAATCATATCTCCGTTCCGGAAAAAGATATTTCTAAGCGGTTTTGTGGTAAATACTCACAAAAATATGCTTTATCAAATGGGTTTGTTAAATTTTTTCCGAAAAATTTTTCTGAGGATATGGGATTTGGTATATCCGGTAGATCCGGATTATCTCGGCCAATTTTCATTTTCATGGAAAATGCAGAAACATGTCAACTGAGATACAAATAGAGCTTTCGATTGCTATATAGAACGTATTTTGTTGCTAAGATTGCATAAAATTATGAACAAAAAACTAGTGTGACCGATTTGGTCACACTAGTTCTCGACCGATTTGGATGATTTTTTTGTATTATATGTAGAATCTAGAGGAGAATCACATATATATTTTACAGACCTCAAAAAAATTTCTTCGAAAAGTTGAAAATGTAGTACCTGTTAGACCGGTCGAAAAGTTTTCGAAAATATCAGAATTTCGAAAAATGCAGAAACATGTCAACTGAGATACAGATAAAGCTTTCGATTGCCATATAGAACATATTTTTTGAATAAGTGTGCATAAACTTATGAACAAAAAACTAGTGTGCATAAACATATGCACCGCAGTGTATTTTAGGTGAGCATTTTCTAAAAAATATATTTACCCGCGAGATCTTAAATTAAAAAATTTTTTTTTAGATTTCTTTTTTATTCTTTAAATGTTCTGTGTGGACAATCTTCCAAATCATTTGAAAATCTGGCCAATTGGAACTCGCCAAAATCTCGTCGGATTTCTCTGAAATGGGCAATAATTATTTGTGATTTGTGGTGGGTTTTATTTTTAATAAAAAATTTTGGTGGAACAAAAGCAAGATTTTTAAAAAGATTTATTTTAATATGGAAATTCTTTGAAGGGAGGAAGGATTTTTGTGGAAGACGGTTTTTTGAGATAAGGGGAGTGGGGGGCTCAACCTTTAATTTTGAATAATTTCTATGTGGATATTTTTGTGAATAACTTACTAAATGTACCCACCCTGCTTAATTTTGTTTTTTTAACTGAGGGTCGAGAAGTTTGAAAAAATTTAAAAACAGAATAGGACTTGAATTGAAGAATGGGGAGGGGAATGTTTGAAGAAGGGTCTTAAGAATATTCGAATGGAATATCAGGAGGGCCTACTTGCCCAATTTTGAATTTAAAAGCAATTGAATGGGAGGGGGTGGGGGGATTTTTTGGATTTCTTGGGAGGATGAAAAGTGGGGGGTCTAATTAACGGGCTTTTTTAATTACCTGCTTAATTCAAGCATTTGTTTCTGCAGCGAATTATTATCTTCTATTAATTGTTGCTCTTTAATATTAATTTTGTCTTCATTATTATTATTTTTGTCTTCCTCATCATCATCAATAGGAATAAAATGTGTATTTTCCCCCACACTAGGCAATAATTTTATATTTTTGTTGTTTTCTGCTCCCCAACTTGTAGCAGAAACTGAAGAAGCATAAGAAGAAGAAAGGGGAGCAGAAGCAATTTCATATTCATCCTCGTAACCAATAGAATGGGATACTGATTGACGCCATTTTAGGGTTTTTAATAATTTTGCTGTTTTTGTTTTTAATCTTTCGTGATTGTTGTTGGTAGTGGTAGGGGAGAATTGTTGCTAAAAATGGAGAAAAATATAGTTTAGCTTCTTTATAAGATGAGGTTTTGCGGCTGAAAATTTTTGTCTTACGAGGAGGTGTGTGTTAAAGGAAATGAGACGTATTTTATCTAAGAGGCTAGGTGTCAAATAAAGGTGAGTAAAGGCGAGGTGCATGTATCTTAAATGGGAAGTGAGATGAACCTTAGCTTGAAGGTGAGGTGTATCTTAAATAGGAGGTATTGCTTAAGCACCTCCTCCACCTACTGGCCAACCAAAATTTTAAAAACGTATGTTAAATGGGGGTGTAAAACTAACTAGTATGTGGCATGGGGCGGCATCCCGTACGGGATTTTGCGGAATTTCAGTTTAAGAGAAGAACGGGATTAGCGGGATTAATCCCACGATTCCATCCCGTTTGATCTCGTCAAAAATTATCCCGTTACGAAGTCCCTCAAATGTGATTTTCCTTCAATCTATAACAACTAACCATTGACCCAATAGATGGTGAGCAACTTCTATCAGCTTCATTTCCATCAGACCTGGGCGAAACTCAAAATTTTTTTCTGACGAAACGAAACGAAACAAAATTTTTTAAAAATCGTTTCGTTAACGAAACGAAACGAAACAACCAAAATCTTACGAAACGAAACGAAACAAAACGAAACATTTTAATATTCAAAAAATTTTCAAAACTGCATTTATTTCGAAATTATTCGACCTCAAATACGTTATTAGTCGACTATGACTTATAAATGATTTAGTTATTGGTTTATTTACAACAATTGTGTCCCATAAGCCAGGCCCGTAGCAAGGAAAATTTTCGGGGAAGGGGGGGGGGGTCAATCATTTTCGAAGCCAAATTTTTGGCGACGCTTTTTTTTAAATAAAATTGAATATTTTTCAAGTAAAATTTTATTTTAAGCGCCGCAGACGAAAAATTTTAAAATTTTGAAAGGCCGTAGGCCAAAAAATTCACTATCTTGCTCCATTGCCTACCCAAATTGTCTCCATATCTCCATTTCGAGAGGAAGGCGATATAAGCTAGTGCTTCGCCGGAAGTTCCGGTTCCAGTATTTCCGCAACTCGCAATCCGCAATTTTTAAATTATGATGCGAGTCCGGTAATAGAATTTGTCGTCGATTAAGTAATATGTATATGTGGATTAGGGAGTGGAGTATAAACGGATTTGTAGTATATAAGTAATTGCTATCTTCCTTTTTCAGCGCCGCAGGCGAAAATTTTGACAATTTGGGAAAGCCAAGAAGCCGAAATTCTTTTTTTTTCAGCGCCGCAGGCGAAAATTTTTTAAATTTTCAATAAAAGATGGTAAATTTTATAGATTTTGGCCTTAGTTTAGGCTTAAAAAATTGTTTCGTTTCGTTGAAAAATCACAGGTGTTTCGTAACGAAACGAAACGAAACAAATTTAAAAGTGTTTCGTAACGAAACGAGACGAAACAGTAAAAATCATACGAAACATACGAAACAACGAAACGAAACGAAACGTTTCGCCCACGTCTGATTTCCATCACATTTAATATTAATTCTTTTATTATTATTAGCAGCAGGTCTGCTACTATTACTTCTCCAATTTCTATCATTATTCAAAATAAGTGCTTGTCTTAATCTTTCAAGTTTTGAAATACTTTTCCTTTTCTGATTATTAAATTGGAAAAATGAAGATAACGATAATCTCTTATCATCTTCATCTTTGTCAATAGCAGATTCAAAATCTGAACAGCACGAAGCTGCTAAAGAACGTTGACTATTTGTAGCATTTTCATATTCTGACATTGAATGATGGAGGTGGTGACAATAATAACGACCATCTATATCATTATTAAGTTTATTGTTATTTGTCCAATCCTCTCGTGGAAAAGGGCATTCAGGTTGACCATGATTAGTTATTTTTTGAGTAGTGGGAACACCTGCCATTTCCTTGGGTAAGAAAATTTTTTTTAATTGAGGGAAATTTTTTGGTACTTTTCCGTTATTCCTAAAGGCTTTTTGTGTATTTTCTATCTTTTTTTGCGGGTACATTTGTCTCCTTCATTTCCCACCCTATGTTATTAATGGTTATTAATGGCATATCTTCGGATGACGTATTTTGTCAATATTTTTGAGTTTCTGACCATTTCGAGCTCTATATCTCAGCCTAAAGTTGCAAGCCTCTCAGGATTCTGGTGTCATTCGATTAAGCTCGTCGAGCTACTTCAAATGGTATATTTATATTTTGTCAATATTCCTGAGTCGTTTCTGAGTGAAGGCTTCTTGTAGGGATAACGGGGGTTAATGTAATCCCTGTAGGGACAACGGAAAAGTACTAATTTTTAAAGGAAAATTTTTTAGTCTAAAAATTTCACTTTTAACATTCTCTCCATTCTATTTGCTGCTTTATTTAATCTTTGTAATGATGTAGTATTATTATATCCTCCATAATCATCCCCAGCAAGTAAGGAAAGGGAAAATTCTGATCCACTAAATCCACCATTTTTACTAGAATTTTTGGAAAAATGTCTGCTGCGTTTATAGGGCTTTGTGGTTGTTTGTTTTTGTTGTTTTCCTATTAGTTTTCTATCTAAACTTGTGTTGGTTGAAGGATGTGAAGAACGATAAGCTTCGTTGTTGGTGGAAATTGAAGAGGGATGTCTCCATAATTTATTTTCGAATGTACCCATTTTTGAACGTTCTTGAGTGTGTGGATGATAGCCTTCAGGATCAGAAAGTTCTGAGTAAACATCAGCTCTGTCTGCTTTATATTTTGGGTTTTTATTGTTGTTAGTAAGGGGTGGACTTTCAGGGAAAAGACTGAAAAAAGTGAAAGTGTTTTTATTTTTTAGATGTATTAGGGGTAGCATCTCGTTCTTTGGGATCGGGAGTGTCTGGGTTTGTGAGGTAGAGACTTCGGAGAGCTTTTCTAGTAATCCAGAATTTTTGCCAAAGAAATCGTAGGGGTTTCGGAGGTGAGGGTTTTTGCCCAACTCGGGGTTTGCGTCGGGGTTTGGGGTTTAGTTGTGATAGAGCCTTCGTGGTTTGGGTCGGAGTTTTTGCCAAAAAAATCATAGGATCGGATTGTTTCCTAGTTTTCGTTTTACCGATATTGTCCATTAGCAACCATTTCAGGAGTTACCCATTCTAATTCAAGCGAATCAGTTTCTAAATTTAAATCAATTGAAAGTAGTTCTGAAGAGCATAAAGATTGAGCTGATGAATGAATATTGTTATTGTTGTTAACACCCGAATTCTCAATCAAGGCGTCTTCAGATAAGGGATTTGCTCGAATGTGTGGTTGATTTGTTGCTGTTTGTTGACTACTTTCTTGAATATTTTGAACGTTTTTTGCTTCGTTCTCATCCTTGTTTGTATTATTTTGTTGTTGACTATTGGTTCGATGAGGAGGCAAAGGAGGGGGTAATGGGGAAGTTAAAAATTGAGAAGCTGTTTGGTTCGAAGGAGAGTTCAACAATGAATAGGCAACAAGTCCAGGGCCAACACTTAAATTTTAAATTGGGTATTTGGGTGATTTCTGAACTACCTTAAAGCACTATTCTCATCAAAATGAAATTGGGAACGTGGACGTAATGCAAGAAAAACATCTTCGGATAAAAGGACACAACTACCGCCCAAAGCGCTTGCTGCCTCTGCGAGTTTCTGAAAAGATGAGATTTGTTGAGCCCTAGTAAAGAGGAGAGAACCTTAGCACGTGTATTAGGTTGACCGAGTAATTCATATCGAGGTTTATCACCTCCTACAACAACAGAAAGAGCTGAACCACAATCCATTCCAATAGCGATATCTAAAGCTTCAGACTCTGCCAAGTCTTGAATAAATTGGGCGAGCTCTGCCAGACTTGAAAGTTGTTCGCCAATGGTGCAAGGGGCATCGTGGACCTATAAAAAATTAATTTTTTGGGGGTTTCCTAGAAGAATCCCTTTTACATTCTTGGCAAGTTCAGGCAAAATTCCACACGCAGCTGTATAAAAACAATGAGATGTTCGAACCTTCTCTAATCTTGAACTTTCACTTAATTGCCCCAATCTTTGATCAATTTCACAGACAAGTCTGTTAAGCCTATCAAAACCAAATTCACCAACCCAATCACCAGGACGGCCAATTTTGGCACAAAGAATGCCAACTGAAGGGCACAGATGAGAAAAGGGTTCATTTCTCGATCCAAAATTGAAGGCGATATGTGAAGGGAGTGCTAAAAAGGGGAGTTTTTTTAAATTGTAGGTAGAAGGTTTTTAGGTACTTGTGCAGTTTCCGTCCCATAAACTCCTTCCCTCTTCTCTTTTTTTCTTATAACGTGACATTTGGTTCAGTATTTTCGTTTTGGGTCTCCTTATGGAAGAGAGGAGAAAAAGGGGCGGGATTATGGGGCGTAAACTGCACAAGTCTCGGTTCTAAAATTTTACCATTCCTAAGTATTTGATCATTAAGAAATTCAGTTCTCTCCAACTTTTTACCATCCTCTACTCCTTTAAGAAGAGCTAAAAAGTCCATCCTTAACAACAATTCATTTCGGCGTGCCAACAAAAATATTAAAAGAGAAAGGCCAATAAGCAAAGCTAAAATATCCAAGCGAGCCAACAAATTTGGATATAAGTCAAAATGAGTTAAGAAAATGTGTGGGCAAAAAAGGGAAATAGCAGAAAGAAGTATAAGTAAAAGAAGTGAAGATGAAAGACGTAAAAATGCTGAACAGCTTGAAAAATAGGGGGGATATTGAGGGAGTAATGAGCTCGTTAGCTTACAGTAACATCCAAAGTGCCAGAGAAACAGCTGATAATTGATGGGGCTGGCAGGGGGTTGAAGTTATATCTGATAGTGAAGGTTCAGTAGGACATGAGAACTGTTAAAAATTTTTAGAAAAAGTTTTTTTAAGTTCCCTACAGTATTAGCAAGCCCACAAGTACATAGGGCAGTAAGAACTAAGAGTACGGTGACACAGTAACCAAGAGACGTTCGCGTGACGAAGTGGCAAAAACTCTGAAAAATCAGCTATTAAAATCTAATAATAAATTTACTTCAAGAAAATTTGTATATAGAGCTAACAAAAGAAGAAACATCAGTATAAGAGCCAAAGCTAAAGTAGCCAAATTTGGCAGCATCCGAGGCATCGCTAAGGCTATTAAAAAATTTTTTTTCAAGTCCATTCTCTTCTAAGTACCTTGAAAAAGTCCAAAAAGAGCAAGAAATAAAACACAAAGAGCCAATCCAGGAATTAACCATCTGTCTGGTTGAGCATGATAAGTCCGTTCCAAACGGGTATCAATAAATTTAAGTGTTAAAGGATTAATTCCAGGAAGAAGGGGAGGCCCAGTAGCGCTGTCTAATTGGCGACATGATCCAATCCTAGGAAGTTTAGATGAACGTCTAGAAGGGCCGGAAACAGAAACTAGGCGCCCTTTTGATGCAAACGGATTAGTAACACTTCTTTTTGTAAAAGGTGTTGTAGGAGCAGGAAATGTAGCAGAAACATGTGTATTAAGAGCATTAGAAAATGCTGATACCTACTTTTTAAAAATATTTCTGATTTCTGAAGGGGAGGGGGAAAAATGAAAGGGGTTTATACTTTGGGTTGTTCACTACCGGTTAACTGATGCTCCCGGCTTTCAGTTATGGTCGGTTTCGACCCTCGGTCAACGGTTTAGATTTCGGTTACGGTTCGATTAACCGACCGTGAATAACCCTAGTTTATACTTTTGGTTGTTGCTGTTGTAAAAGTCTAAGTAGTAATTGTTGTAATGTAAGTAGGGATAATCTCCTTGAAGGTGTTGGAAATAGTAATGGTTGAACAATTTGAGAAGCTTCTGTTGTTGTCAATAATTTCCAGGCTCCTTGACCCATCTTTATTGATAAAATAAATAGTTAGTATGTTAGTTACTTGGGGGTTGTACATATGGATATGGAGTCGGGATTTGAGTGGATATGTGTGTGGATATTAATTAGTGGATGTGCGAGTGTGGGCTTCCAGAGGTCCTACCCGTTACTAACCCTATTCACCAAATACTGTTTATATGTTTTATTGATGATTGATATGATAGAGTGAATATCGATATTGGAGTAGGATGGATTGAGTGAGAAATAGAATTGAAAGGTTTTCGTAAAACTAATAGAGTGTGGAAAATGGAACTGACGCTTGAAATAGGATTTGAATTAAATAATAGGATATTGAACATTTGGACTGAATTGAGGATTGGACAGAACTGAGATACACTGGATTGGACTGAACTGAGGATAAGCTGATATTGGACTGAGAATGAGATAAACTGAACTGATTATTGGAGGGAATGAAAACCTTATAAGTTGGGAAAAGGGGAGTGAGAAGTGGGATAGGCAATAGTAGACTAGCTGGAATAATGGAGATTGTAAACATGATAAGTTTGGGAAAGTGGTTGAAACTAAATGGAAATAATAGGAATTAATATGAAAGGATAATAGGAAGCGATTGGTAATAAGTGGAAATGAAAGGAGTTCACATGAATGGATAATGGGAAGTGATTGGGACTAAGCGGAAATGAAAGGGGCTCACGTGAATGAATAAGGAAAAGGTGAGAAAGAATATGTGATTGTAAGTAATGACTGAGCAGGATTAAACGGAAGTGCAGAGGCAAAGTCCAAAGAGAGAAAGTTATTAATTTATAAATGGGAAGATAGGAATGGGAATTAGAGTCTGGGATTTGAGTCTAGAACTAAATTGGATTTGGTCCGGTTCTGGGATACGGGGTTACAAAATTATAGTATTATAATTTGGGGCTCGGCCCTGTCTAACCCTCGACCCAGCCTAAATCTCGACCCTGAACGATTTTGTCGCCCCGACCCCGACATTCTCACCCCTCCCCCATCCCATCCCCAAACTTTTCGACCCCTAAAGGTCGGGGTCGAGCCCTATTTTAATTTTTGGGGTAAACGGGACAAAAGGGTCAGAGACATTATTTTACACACTAACTCGTTCAGCAGCAAATTTCCCCCCAGCCAAATGTCTCCAAGTATCTTCAGAAAGCAAAATTGCACCAGCCGGACAATTTGCTTCTAAATGAAGTGCAGCATCTATAGCCATTCCCATAACATCGTAATGCCAACGTCTAGAACCAACAATTCCGGCAGACAAACTCCCACTTCCAATGCCAACTCGAATTTGTAATTGACCTTCATTGTTGTTGCTGTTGTTGTTTGTTGCCTCACAAAATGATTGGCACAAATTTAAGAGATCAACAGAAAATTGACAGGCAATAGCTGCCGCATTTTGATAAGAGGAAATGGAGGATTTTTGTTGTTGACCGTTTATGGCATTTTCTGAGTCGGTTATGGCCAAAGGAAGCCCAACCAGCGCTACTACAATTTCTGAACTTGTAGCTGGAACAAGTAAAAGTCCACTCTCTTCTGCCAATTTTGAGACTCTCCAATCAAATTCATTTAAAAGTTTGGCAGAATCTGGGGGTTGTAATTGAAGTAATAAATTAGGTAGTCCATAAAGATGAGCAAAAACAACACTGCATTGATCAAAATGTTCAACAAAAACGCGTGGAACTTCGGATACTCCTAGCTGGCTTTGGACTGAGCGAACAATATGTGGAGGTAGCGAACCAGACAAAATTTGGGCCTTAAAAAGTTTTTTTGAAAAATTACAGTAAAAAATTACTGAGATACTTACCCTCTCAAATAATTACCCCATACCTAACGAGAGGATTTTTCCACCCTCCTTTAACTCCCTCCCCTTTAAAAAGCATTTATAGCCTGTCTTCCTTCTAGCCTTTATAGCCCTTTTAAAATAATCTCAAATAATTACCCTCTCCCTTTTACTAACCCCCTTCAGTCAAGGGTTGACACAACAATTACCCCCTCCTCCTTTAAAAAGCCTTTCTAGCCTTTCTTCCTTCTAGCCCTGATAGCCCTTCTAAAAGAATCTCAAATTATTACCCCCTCCCTATTAATAATCCCCCTTCAGTCAGGGGTTGAAACAATTCTTACACAGGGCATTTATTTGAGTAACTACGATAATCTAGGGTTTTTGAGAAATTATTTTTTATCTCACCATTCGTCCAACTTCATTTTGTAATTCAGATTCATTGTCTAAAGCATGCCTAGCATTTAAAAAAACTGCTCGACCAATTTTCCTGCCTAATTTTTAAAAAATTTTTATGCCAAAAGGCAACAAACTAGTAGTGAATGAATAAAGGCCAACAATATGTGCCCACAAATGTGCTAACAATAAAGCAATAGTTTTTGTCAATCCAATCCCTTCATTCCTTTCATCTTCACGAATTGCGAATAGGACAACACTACTCAATTGTAAAAAAGAAATGGCCAAACTCATTGTAAAAGTAATTAAAAGTTGAAAAGGAAAGAAGGAATATAGCAATAAAAGAATGGATAGTGAAGGGAGTAAAGCTATGGCTGGCCAGAACATTAAAATTAAGGAATTTGAACATAACCAAATTGCACAGAAAGTGACTAGGGAGTGTTGAGTTGATGATGAGGCGCAAGCTAGGCCGAGGGCGAGTGCTTAAAAATTAATTTTAGGATTGATTTTTGAGTGATCAGGGACATGATCTTCGATTTTCTCTTTAAATTCCGCCCCTCCCCTCCCTCCATCCATTTTTTTATTATGTACAGAATGGTCAGACTTCGCCTTAAATTCTACTTGATTATACTTTGAGTATGCCACAAGTAAATCGAGGGAAGTTAAAGAAGGAAGTCTGACCATTATGTACATATTAAGAAAAATAGAGGGAGAGGAGTACGGAACTTGCTATTATTTAAATTTCTGCCAATCCTCTAACAGAACCTCATCTCTAATAGAAGCACACCCCCAATATAAACATACCCTAAGGTTGGAGTTGGAAATCTTTGCATATCTGGATCCTATATACGAGCCTAAAATTCCGGATATCTAGCCCTTTTTTGGATCCTACACCCTACGTGAGGATTGCAAAATAGAAGCAAATGTGGTTCTATTAGAACATTTACGTTAATAAACTCGTTTACCAAGTCCAACAGAAGCAGATCCACTCAACCAAAAAAGGCTTGGGCCAGGTTCTGGAACACGAAAGAGAGCAAGAGCTAATTGTATAGGCACAAGAATAGTTAAGAGTTTGAGTAGATCACCAGCAGAGCGGTGAAGCAATTGATGTCGAAAAAGTGCTTCTAATTGGGTACATCCAAAGGGTTGTGTTTTTAGTAGGGAAGACATTTTTGGTTAAAATAAATAGGTAAATAATTATTGACCCTTTGAAAAAAATTAAAAATGAATTGGATTAGGTATACGAAAAATGGGATAAGTAAGATAATATGGAGAGATTTTAGTCAGTTGGGATAATTAAGAGATTTTTGCTGGTATATGAGATAAGGGAGATAAGAGCAAGAGATTCTGGTCAAGTTGGCTTTTCTGGTATATGCGAGAGAGCTAAGATGGGAAGGATGGGATAACTGAGAGCTTCTGATGGTATACGATAGGTGGGATAAGATGGAGAGGATATGGATGGCAAGATAGGATTTTTGTTGTCATATAAGATAAAATGGAGAAGGCATGGTTTAGATGGGATAACTAAGAGATTTTGTCCAGATGAGATAACTAAGAGTAGGATGAGTGTGCTAATATGGAGAGGGAAGGTCAGAAGTACTACGAGAAATTATGACTAAATATAACAGTTTGAGGAAAAAATTTTTCTTTAGGATTAAAATTCTATCAACCTAATTTTTAAGAAAATTCAGCCAAAAATATATAGTGAATATATGTATGTTCTATTTTATTCAATTCATTTTTTTGGTTTAAAAAAAAGTTTTTGCATTTTTAATTAAAAAAACTAAAAAATAAAATTAGGAAAAGAGAGAAAAATGCATGGGAATGAGTACAAACATAAAAATAAATGTTGGAAATGGCATAAGGTTTTTGAGGGGAAATAAGGAAAAAATAGTAAAAAAAGGTAAAAAAGCCCGGAAGTGAATAATAATAATAAAATAGGAATAAAAATGGAGGGGATAAATAGGAAAAAAATAAAGAGGACATGGGGAGATAAAAGCTTTTTTGCTTTGAAAAAGAAGGAAATGTATGGGACACAATTTTATTGCCGTTAAATTTTTTAGGGAATTTTTGGGGATTTTGAGGGAAGATTTCTTGGCTATATAATAATTATTTATGTTTTTTTTCCTTCAAATCATTTTTATTTATTGAATGTTTTGGCTGTTTTTTTAATGACGGGTCTAGAGTTGCCAAAATGGACCGACTCGGATATTTGGCCCGAAAAAAGAGTAACCCGTACCGGCCGACTCGAAAACGGCAACTCTTGAGGGTAAATAAAAAAAGATTTTTAAGATTTTTAGATTTAATAATTAATAATGAAGAGGAAAAAAGGGTCAAAACTTGCAAAGTTTTAAACAAAAAATGATTTTTAGAAAATTAGAAAAAAAGGTTTTTTAGACAATTTTTGATTTTTAAAATTTTTTATAGTTGGTAATATAAATTTATAAAAATAGAAAAAGGAGGGATTGAGAGAGGGAATGAATGTGTGTATTAAAAAAGATGATTAATAAATTATTGAAAAAATAATAAAATTTAAAAACTTTAATAAAGACCCTCTCTCTTAAGAGATCTTTTATCAAAAAAATTAAAAAAAATTTCTGTAAAAATTTTTAAAAATTTTAAAATCCAGGGGGTAACCTATTCAAGTTGATTAAATACAAATATATGGAAAATAAGAAAAGATTTGTAAAATTTCCTCCAAGTTTATGGCCAAATGACGCCTCTTGATGAGGAGGGAAGGAGTGGTGAGAGAGAGGGAAGGGAAATGGGGGAAATCAAATAATAAAATAAAAAAAAATTTTGGAGAAAAGGGACTTTCTATATTTAATTTTTTTGAAAAATTTTAGTGAAGGAAAAGGAGAAGGATATGACAACTGTGTTTATTTGTGTGTGATATTTTTAAGAGGACTTCCAAAATATATTATAAATTTATTTATTTTGGAGAAGATTAGAAGATTAATTTTTATTTTAAAAAGCTAAAGGAGAGAAGGAAAATTAAGGGAGGGGAGATCGAGAAAGTGATCGATTAAAAATCCTTCCAATTTTTTTCCAAATTGAACCAATCAGTCGAGATTAAATTAAATAAAATATTTGTTTGTAGAGAAAAACCAAGATTTGAAAGTGTGTTTTAAATGAATGATAATTTATGAAGGGAGGGGAGATTTGGATTAAAGGAAGAAGGGGGAGGATGGAGGCAGTGCTGTTTCGAAATTTCGAGGTTTTTTCTTTTAATTTTCGTTTTCGACTTTTAGGTTACTCGATTCGATATTTTCGAACTTTTTTCGATTTACAAAAATATTTTTGTTTCAAAACAGCTCGGGGGAAGATTTGGGATGAAGGAGAGATAATTTAGAGTGGAACTGAAAGTGTAATTTTAAATGAATGATAATTTAAGAGGAGAGAGATGTGAGGTTGGTTAGGGGAAGATTTGGGGATTGAAGAAGGGAGAGGGGAGATTTTGGAGATCGAAGGAAAAAATTTAGTGGAAAGATTTGTCTAAATCAATAAATGACAAGGGAAATAAATTAAGAAAGCTATAAATAATATTATTATTAAATATATTTTGATCATTTATAATCGACTTGAAGAGCTTTATTAAAAATAGAAAAGATGATTGAATGTTTTTGGATGTTTATAAAAATATATTTATTTAAAAAAAAGTAGCGGGAGAAGGGAAGAAAAAAAAATTTTGAGGGCGTTTAGTGCGCAAATCGGGTGGAAGAAAGGAAGGAAACACAAAAATTTTTGTTGTTTTTACAAGTGGGAGGAATTAGGGGAAAAAAGAGAGAGAATTTAATTGAGAAAAACATTCAAACGGTCGCTACCTCATTTAATTGAAATTTAAAAAAATTTTATTTTGGAGGGAGACCTTGCACATTTATATAAAAATGAGCAATTTTATGAGGTTAAAGGAAGAGGGAGAAGGAAAACAGGAAGGGAATAATAGTCGAAATTGTGCTTTTTTATTTATTTAAAATAATTTTTTCACACATAAAATTTGTAAACAAAAGGTACAATTTAATTTTCAAATTTAAAAAGGGGAGGAAACGAATTTTTATTTGAAAGGCAAAAAAATTTTGGGAAGGGTCAGAGGGTCCTCTGATTTTTTGGGAATTATTTTTTTTAATTTTCGGATTTGAAGGAGGGAGGGAAGGGAAGTAAGGGGGGGGGGAAGGGGAAATTGAATTTTGAAGGAAAAAAATTTTAAGAGGAGTTGGAGGGGGTATAGAATTTTTATTTGTAGGGTAAAAAAATTTAGGATGGGTCGGGAGGTCTTCTGAATTTTTTAGAATTATTTTTTTTTAATTTTTGGATTTGAAGGAGAAGGAAAGGGGAGAGAATTGAGGAACGGGGAGAGGGACGGGGGAATTTAATTCTTATTTGGAGAAAAAATATTTAGAAGAGGCTAGGGGATCTCATTTAGCCTCTGATACTTCCTGGGAATTATTTTTAAAATTAAAAAAAATTATTTTTATTCAGCCAAAATTTAAAAAAATTTTTTTAATCGAAAAAACAGTTAAGTTGAATTTTAAAAATAATTTAAGAAAAATAATTAAAAAGTATTATACCATCCACTAATTTAAAATTTAAAGTAATATTTTGTATTATTTGGTAGCATCTGAAGCAGTAAACTGAACAATGAATCCCTTGAAAATAAATTAAATTTATTAAATAATTTTTTTATTAAAATGAATTTATGGGAACACATACAGAGACAGGGACAATAACTTACAACCTCCTCCCTTTCTTAATTGAACCTCAAATTTTTTTTTAAATTTTTTAAAATGAATTTATGGGAGGGGGTGGGGGAATTTATGGGAGAAGGTGGGGGATATTTGACTTTGTAAAAATTATATAATGCAAGTTTAAGAATTAATTTAAGAGAACAAAGAAGGATAACCTTACTAATTTATCCCCATCCTTTAGTTAGTCTCAAAACAAATCAAAATTTTTTAAGTTAAAAAAATTTTCTTGTTAAACCTTTGCAGCCATTAATGAACGCCTCCGTACCCAAACAGTATATCTAGCTGCCCAGACAGGCTCAAATAAAGTTTGACAAATTCGAGATGAATCGGGATCAGATTTGTCCTCACAAAAACAATGAAAGACCTGAAAAGAATTTTTGGAAAATTTTTGATTTTTAAAAATTTTAACAAAACCTCTTTTAATGGAAAAGGCTTTGGATCATTGTGCGTTAAAAGTTGAATTGAATTTTGTTTAGCATAGGCTTGAAGCTCTGGATTAACCTTTTGGAAAAAAAATTTTTTATTGAATTTCAGGTCTAAAATTTTGTTGGGTAATTTTTAAGTCAAAAATTTTTTTTTAATTTAGGTAAAATTTTTTTAATTCTAGAAAATTTTTAGAATTTTTTTTTGAAAATTTTAGACCTAGATTTTTTCGAATTTTCAGATCTAAAAATTTCTTCGAAAATTTCTTGACCAAGAAAATTTCTTAATTTTGTTTTTTCCAGGTCTAAAAATTTTGAAAATCTTACTGCATATAAAGACCGACCCCTCCCCCCCCCCCCAATTCCTCCAACACTTTAATTAAAAAATTATTTTATTTAAAAAAAACTAACCACACAACATCCATCAATAAAAACATGAACAATTCCTGGTTTATGGACAGCTTTTTTAAATAAAAGATCAAGCTCAGGTAATTGAAAATCGGCAACCCCCATATACAAAACCTTCCGTTGTGCTATCAATCCATTTTCTGTTTCTTTCCAAACACGCAAAACTTCATTAAACCATTTATCGTCAATTGAATCGGGAGAATTTGATTCTAAAAAAGGGGAAAATAAAAATTTTTTGGAAAATCCGCAAATTTTTGTCCGCAAAAAAATTGCGGACAAAATAGAATTTTTTAAAATTAACCTGATTCTGGAAAGGATAGAATTAATTGTTCGATTGAATCTGTTTTGAGTTGTTTTATTACAGCCTCTAAAAAATATTGGAGAGAATTTAAGAAATAACAAATAAAAACTTTCTAGGGATGCTCCCGACGGTGGGGTGTCATAGAAAAAATGGTACGGAATCTAAGAGAGGGGGAGAGGCAGCTCCAAAAGGGGAGAGGAAGGTGGTTCAAAAAAGTTTCCGATTTATCGACTTCAACCCTCCAAAAAATTCCTGGCTAAAAACCCAGGAGCTAAAAACCCTCCAAAAACCTCTCAAAAACCCCTTGAAAATCACTTACCAACAGCATCTTTAATATAATCATAATCAAATTTCTCAAGAAAAAGTTTTAAAGTAATTTTCAAATCTTCTCTTTCATAAACATTGTCACAATGTTTTTTATCAACTAAAAGAAGCATTCCATCATCCCTAAAAAAAGAAGGGGTTTTTTAAAATTTAAAAGAAAAAAAAACAAACCCAACAGAAATATTTGAAGGTAAATTATTCAAAACCAATTTAAACGTTTCCTTCAGTTCCTCAGCAGAATTTGTAAACCTTTTAAGCTTCAAATCAACAAAAGTATTAATATTTCCTGTGTGTATACGAAAATGTTTTAGTTTGTTTAATTGGTCGATTAAAGCATTTAAAGTTGTTGAAGATGATTTTTCTGTAGAATTTGAACCTTCCATTGATTTTTGTTTGTTTAATTAAGAATGGGTAGATCTGTTTAAATAAAAAAATTAGAACAAATTGAAGGGTTTTATATCATAAAATTTGTGAGAAAAGCTAGAAAATTTGTGCTGCAACACAACGTTTGTGCTGAAACAATGTTTGTTGTGCTCTCTACCAAACTTTGTGTACAACACAAACTTTGAAACTCTAAAAGATGACTTATTGTTAGACTCTAAATGATGATGAGAGAGTATGGTTAGAGAAAAAAAACTTTTATGGATGTTTTTAAAAATGAGGCCTGTTTAGGTATTTTATATTTTTACCTTTTGACATTTTACTTTTGGCTAGAAAAAATAATAAATGAAATAGTGCGGTGAGAGATAAAAAGTAGAGGAATATTTTGAAAATTATGCCTTTTTAGTTATTTTCTGTTTTTACATTTTGACATTCACCTTTAACTAGAGAGTGGATTAAAGAGAGAATTAGGGACGTTAGACAAAAAGTTGAAGTAGAGTCAAAATTTAATAAGGTTGGCTTGTTTTTGGCTTCTTTTTTGGACTGTTTTCAACTGATTTTTTTCATTTTTTAAATATTTTCTTTTGTTTTAGACATTTTATTACACTTTTAGATGGCTAAAGCTGAAAATAACGATTCTGATGTAAAGCCTTCATCTTCAAATGAAGCAAGTTCGATTTGGTCTCAACATGTTGCAGATAATGGACGGATATATTTTTAGTAAATAATTTTTTTTGTTTTTTAAAAGCTTTCTTTTAAAGCAATAAAGTGACAAAAGTTTCTTCTTGGACTAAACCTGATGAATTAAAGACAAACGAAGAGGTTTTGTTGAAGTTTTCTCTTTAAAAACTCATTTTTACTTTAAGAAGGAAAAATCAGTTTGGAGGGAATATAAAACGCCAGAAGGAAAGACATATTATTACAATACTGTGACAAAGATTACGACATGGACAAAACCTGAGATATTAAATGAAGGTAATAATTTTATTTTTCGATGGTTAGGGTTGGGTTCTGGATCTGATAAAAATTCAGTTTGGATTAGGAATGTCACAGGCTGAGGAAAAGTTTGGGTGGAATAAAGCCCAGATTTCGGGTCCGATCTTTTAGGTGAATTAATAGGAAAGTTGGCAGACGTTGGAATATTCGTGGGTTTTTTTGTGAAGTAAAAAATTCGGGTTTTGGTTAATCCGAGGCATCCCTTGTTCGGATAACGGATCCGGTTATTCGGAAATTTTTCGATCCGCCGACCCTAACCATGGTTTTTTTAGTTAAAGATGAGAAACCTGAACCAGCTCAAAATACACCAAATTCTGAAATAGAAAAAGCAATGGAAGCTACACTTATGGCATTTGACGGAAAATCTGAAGACAAAAAGAAAATTAAGGTTGAGGAACCGAAGAAAGAAGAGCCTGAGGATGAGCAGGAAATTAATTTGAAGAAACGCCAAATTGAAATTTTTAGAGAAATGCTTCAAGAAAAGGTTTCGAGAAATTTTTGACATTTTCAAAAGAATTTTTGTAGGCTAATGACCGTCGTATAAATACAAACATGAGTTGGGAACAAGCTAGTAAATATATTCAACATGATGTTCGTTTTAAAATATTACCCAAAGTTTCCGAGAAAAAACAAATTTTCAGTGCATGGAAGATTCAGAGATCAAAAGATGAAAGGGTGAGTTTCTGTTTTATTTTTTTGGATTAAGATGTTTTTTATTTTGACCTTCTGGTTTGCCTTAATGTCGAAGCACAAATTTATGTTGAGCCCAGGATACGCCCCGTCCATCTTTACATCCTTATTAGTAAATGTCTCATGTTTTGAATTTTTAGTCATTTTTGCCTAAACTAAATAACTCGAATTCTTGGGTCATTTTTTGTAAACCTTTCCTTCTCTCTTTTGAAATACTAATTTTTTTTATTAAATTTTTTAAATTATGAATTATTCTTTTTCTTATAGCATGAACGAAGAACAGCAATTAAAAAAGCTAAAGAAAATTTGGAAGAATGGTTTATATTTAATTTTTAAAACGAAAAAAAAATTTTCTTTTAAAGGTTAATGTCAAATGTAAGAATGAAGCCAACCCTAAGATATCATAAAGCTGAAAAATATTTTGCTGATGAGCATTTATGGAGAGCTGTATCAGATGTTGAAAGAAGAGAAATTTTTGATGATGTTAAAAAAGCAATAATAAAATTGGATGCTGAACAGAAAAAAGTGACAAAAGAAAGAAATATAAAAACTTTGGGTGATATTTTGGAAGGAATGGATGCTATAGATCATACAACAACTTGGGCACAAGCACAGAGAATTTTGATTGAAAATCCGGATTTTGCTAGAGATACAATTTTACAAGGTTTCTTTTTTTGGTTTTGGGGAAGATTTTGGTGATAAGAGGAGGAATAACCACGACTATTGGGCTGGCCTTTATTTAAAAATATTACTGACTTATGTGGTAATTAGCATTAAAAATTAAAGACTGATCATAAAGTGAGCTACCCTCTTTATTAGAAAAAGATTGAAAAAAATTCTATTGGATTTGTGAATATATTCTGGTCATTAGCGATCAGGCTCTCACATTCCTAACAGAACCCCCTTTCCTTTTATTACTTTTTTGACTTACTTGAAATTGCTTTCCTGAGAGATTTTTTGCATGTTTTTTGATTATTGTCTAAATTTTCTTTGTAGGTATGGATAAAGAAGATGCTTTAATTGTTTTTCAAAATCATATAAAATCTGCTGAAGGTCATTATTTAAAAGAAAAGCAAAATGAAGCGCTTAGAATAAAAAGAAGTGAACGCAAAACACGTGAACAATTTATTCAATTTTTATCGGAATTGTTTGAAAGAGGATTGGTTTGGTTTTTTGTTTTAAAATTATCTAGTATTTTAAATAGGTTAGGCTACTGGAAAAGTAATTTCGAGATAATTTTTCGCTTTACGGATTTTTGGGGGACACGCCCCGATTAGTCGCGGGCCAACTAGTCGCGACCGATTAGTCGCAACGCAATTCGTAACTCAAAGAAACATGCAATTTTACGCAATCCGCAATTGTGTATGGCCCTGGTCTTGAGACTTATTCTTTTTTTGTGTATAATTCTTGTTGATGGGCTCCTCTGATAAACATTATTTTTTAAAAATAGTTTAGAAAATATTTCATACTCAAAAAAATTTTTTTTAATAAAGATAACACCAACAAGTACATGGGCATCCTTATACCCAACAATTTCTGCAGATCGCCGTTTCGAAAATATGTTATTAACAACTGGTTCAACATCATTAGATTTATTTAAATTTTATGTAGAAGATTTAAAAAATCAATTTTACACTGATAAAAAAATTGTTAAAGAAATTTTGGTTCAAAAAGAAATTGTTTTGAAAGATTCTGTGGCTTTTGATCATTTTCAACAATGGATTAGAGAACATCCTAAAGGAAAGAAAATTTCTACAAACAGTTTAAAATTTTGTTATTATTCTTTGTGTGATAAAGCTATTGAAAAGGTGAAGGAAAGTGAACGGGAAATGGATAAAAAGGTTTGTGAAGTTTTAAAAAATTTATTTTATGGGGTTTCTGGGTGGTTATTACAAGGGTCGGAAGTGACTGTAGTGCGGAAACTCGTAGCTTTTGGGATTGTAACCGATATTTGTTTATAACAGCACTCAACTACCGATACTTTGAACGGCCAGGCAGTGTTTATAAATTTCAGATTTGCTCGTACTCGTATTTCGTACCTAAGTACGGATACGAATTTTGGTACGAGCTTATAAACACTGACGGCCAGAGGTCGGTTGGTCCAAAGACATTTTACAAAAAATGGATTGGGGTTGAGGTCGTTGTTTTTTATAAGTTGTGGACCTCTATCAAATGCAACAAGAAATAACCACCTTTTCATTGGTGAGGGGCTGCATAAGCGATAACCTCCTATTTTGTGATACACTTAATTTTAGTGTACGTTTTTTAGCCTCAAGCGTGTGCTTATAATAGTGAGTGAGGTCTGACTGCACATTCCCGTTTATTTTCTTAAATAAACTTTATTTCCCCAAAATTTTTTTAGAAAAAGAAATTGGAAGAATCCTTTATTAGTCTGCTCCAATCAATTACTCCACCAATAGAACCAGAAGCTGAATGGGAACAAATTTTAGAATTAATAAAAGATGAAGAACAATATAAAGCTATAGAAGATGACCAATTAAAAGAACAAATATTTAATTTTTATATAAGGTCAATACAAGAAGCTTGTGGACATTTTCATGGGCCAACAAAAGCAAATAGTACTACTACATCCTCATCTAAAAAGAAGAAAGAAAAAAAGAAGAAGAAAAGAAAGAGTGAAGAGGTTTGGAAAAAAAATTTTTTGGGAAATTTAGAAAAAATGTTTTTTGCGAACAAATTTTGCGGATTCTGTATAATTTTTGCGGACAAATTTTGCGGATTCTGTATAATTTTTAGTGCTGATTCTGAATAATTTTTTTTCCCCTCTCCCGAACTCGATCCCATGGCTATTTTGCAAGATCAATAAAACAAGGCTTTTATTAAGTTTTGATAGAGTCATGTTTTGTTAAAATTATTTAAAAGTTTGACACTGGGGAAGGAGCGGCATCAAGGACGTAGCCCCCCTCTCCCGAACTCGATCCCATGGCTACACCCTTGAGCTCCATAATCAATACCTTTTGTTAAAATACGTTTTGGGGTACGATTTTTCGACTCCAAACTATATCTTATATTATAGTTAGGTCTCCCCCACTCAGTACTTAAATTTTAATAAAATATTATTTCATCAAACCATGAATGGACTTGTTGATGACTTTATTAATTTTTAGTTTTGTCTGTCCGCAAAATTCGTCCGCAAAAAATATTATTTTGCATTTAATAAAAATTATTTTTAGGATCATGAAGATGATCGTGAACGTAAACCAAAAAAATCTAAAAAGAAAAAGAAAGAATCAAGTTCAGATGAAGAATGAAAATTTAAAATGTTTAACTTGAAGTTGTGTGGTTTTTTTTAAAAGTTCGATTTGTTTTTATTTTTTTTTAATAATATTTATCAATTTTGGAAATCGTTTTTTAATTTTTATGAGAGTTTTATTCAACTCTTTTTAATTTTTTTTTAAATTTTAACGTTAACTTTTTTGGTTTTATATCATTTTTAGTATCAAAAAAGAAAGTTATGGCTAAATCTACAAAACAACAACAACCTTCTGATTCTAAAATGGTTTTTTTTTAATTTTTTAATTAAAAAAGATTTTTTTCAAGGTTAGTTCTGAACTATTTATTTTGACATATGGAGCATTAGTCAACGATTTGATAAGTGATTTGGAATCCCCCGAGGAAGTTAATCGTCAATTGGACAAAATTGGTTATAATATGTTTGTTTTTATTTTTTCTTTTTATGAAAAAATTTTAGTGATTTTTACGGGTTTTTCCTTTAATTTTTCATATGCCAAATAAATTCTTGTTAATTTATTGTAATGCAAAGGGAAAAACAAAAAGGCAAAAACGCCTACTTTGGTGTAGTGGGATAATTTTGGAAAGGGAAACAGGTTCAACCCGTTTGGGGAACACCATTTTTAGTCAATTTATGCTATGCGTGTTTGCTAATTAATAACATAATCCGCCCACCTCTATCCCAAAAAACGAAAAAAATGTCTAAAGTCTTTCGTGAAATTCCAACCCTATACAAATAATAAAAATTTCTTCAGGGGTCTTCGACTTGCAGACGATTTTCTTTCTAAAAATCCTCGTATTGGTAGATGTTCAGATTTTCGTCAAGTCATGGAGCTTATATCAAAAAATGGATTAAAAACATATTTAGGTTTTTTTCTAATTTTTAAAATTACTTATTAATTTTTTGAAGGTGTTATAGCCCAAAGCAATCAAATTGGAAATGTTGGTGATGAATTTTCTTTAATTATTGACCAAAACCCATTGACTGAATTTGTTGAGAAACCTGTGGAATTTAAAGATTTGTGTTATTCTCAGGTAAAAATTTTTTCTTTAATTTTAAATAAAATTTAATTTTTTATGATTTTTAGGTTATTTGTGGATGTATAAGAGGAGCATTGGAAGCAATGCATATGGAAGTGCAGGTTTTTAAAAATTATTTTTTTTAATTTGGAGGGGTTATTAAAAGTTAATGATGTCGAAAAACATTTTGTATTGTCTTTAAAAATAATTTTCCATAGGCGGAGCCGAACCCTCATCGATTTTCCCAAAAATTATCCCACTACACCAAAGATGACATTTTTGATGGGACTGGAGTTTTTTGCTGGGCTTATTTTCCTTGTGTTTTAGGGGCATCAAAAATTATTATTTTTTTATTAAATAAAGGTTACTCTTGTTGCTGATCTTCCTGATCCAACTGAATTAAGAATTAAATTCCATAGAATTTTGCATGAATCAATCCCTGCTGGAGATGAATTATAAATTTTTTGAAATATTTTTTCGGGTTGTTTTTTTAATATTTAAATAAATTATTTAAAAATATTTTAATCTTTTTCGTCATTTAAAGTTGATTTCTTTATATTTTAATTTTTTTCCTACTAAAATTTTTTTTCCATTTAATTTTTATGAATGACATTTTAATTTGACAAAGAACAGAAAACAGAACAAAAATGGGCTCGTTGTCTATTCAACCGCCTAGCGGAGCGATGAGAAATCTTACGGAAGTAGGTTTATTTTTATAAAATATTTTTTTGGGGTTTGGCACTTTTTGGATATCCCCTGACCCATAGTTTGGGATTCCGTCAATTAATGTACTAAAAAGATTTTTAAAATAGTTTTTCTGTGACTCTAATGTCCTCAATAAAAATTTTGGGTATTTTGTCATGATTAATGCAAATTCTATTTATTGTCTCCCTTTCTATTGCTTTTTATTTTATTTATTTTGTGGTTCTCTTTTTAATCCTTAAACGTATTCATCAAATTCCTCAAATTTTATTTTTAGGTATTTGTTTACCTTCGAAATGCTACAAAACAAGAACAATTTTTTGCTGTAGATTTTGAACAAAAACAAAATTCAGGTAAAAAAATTTTTGAAATTTTGGATCAGGATTTTTTGATTTTTTTTTGAAAATTTTTTTTTGGATTTTTTGAAATTTAAAAAAATTTCCCGGGAAATTTTTAAAATTTTTTCTACAGAAATTTTGTTCAAAAATTCCTCGAACTTTTTTCAGAAATTTTTTTTAAATTTTTTTAATTTTTTAGAAGATACAGTTCGTTTAATAAATCTAAATGAAGACAAAATTTCTTATAACAAAACCCCTCCGGCATGGATTAATGTAATTGATGAAATTAATTATGAATTTACAAGAATTAAATCGAGAATATTTTCTTTGAGAGAATTGCAAAATGTTTGCTTTTTTTAATTTTTTAAAATAATTAAAAGAAATTTTTTTCAGAAGAAATTAAGAAACCCTTCAATTGCTGATGATGAAATGACTTCAGAACAAGTTAAAATACAAGAATTGACTGAAGAAATAACTAACATGTTTAATCATGCTAGAAGACTTATACGGTTCGGGAAATTTTTTTATAAATTTTATGCCGACATTTTGTCCTAATGGTTTATTGTACTATAAGGTCATCTAGCTTTCTTTTTGAATTTCTTGTGTTTATTATATCAGGTACATTTGGGTTTTCGGGTTGGGGAAAAATCCATTGAGAAAATGTCAGGTTTCGTTTTTTGAGTCGGAAAAATTCGGCTAGTCCGTCTGGTCCCTGGTGTACATTTGTGTTTAGACGGATCAGGGAAATTTCTCGGGTTGTTTCTCGGTCTGGTTTCGCTTCTGGAAAAATCTGGATACCGGGTAATCTGTCCGAGTTCTGAAAAACCTAACCTGACGAAATGCCACTTTGCAGTTAAACAATTTTTTAATTTTCCTTAAATTTTTAGTTTGTTGGAAGATTCAGATAATATCAGCGTTGGTGCTCTTGATGAAATTAGAAAGAATGTTATTTCTAATATGATGCTTACTTTGACTAATTTTATTAATGATTTTCGTGTTAGGTAAAATTTTACATTTTTTTAATTAAAAAAATTTGCGGACTGTCCGCAAATTTTTTGCGCACAGTCCGCAAAAATAATAAAAAATTTTCAGTCAATCAGATTATTTGCGTCATTTGGATTCCAATAGTAAATTGGACTCATTTCTTGTTAAATCAGATGCTACAATTTTTTCTGCTCCGTCCGAAATTCCTGTAATAGAAGAAGAACAATCAATTTTGCAAATTCAACAAATTCTTGAAAATGAACATGTTACAAAAGTTAGAGAAATGGAAATACTAAAAATAAGTAGATCAATATTAGAAATGAATGGAATATTTAAAGGTTTTTTTTTGAAAAATATTTTTGAAATTAAAAAAAATTTTTTTAAAAGATATTGCTTCAATGATTGTTGATCAAGGAACAATTTTGGATAGAATTGATTATAATGTAGAACATTCTTCGACTAAAATTAAATCGGCTATGGAAAGGTTGGGGAAAATTTTTTATCATTTTCTAAAATGAATGCAAAAATAATTTTACAAGATTTGAGATTACGTAGGACGTCATACTACCTACCGCCGAAATACCAAACCTTTCAAAATCTGCCGAAATGCCAAAAGTTCAAGTAGTTGGTATTTCGACGTTTGTTATTATTAGGGACAGCCAAAACATGCAAATGCATGTTTTGTATGCGGATATGCCTTGAAGTGGGAAGCCCAAAAATGGTGTTTTTACATAGGTACGGGCACTTTAGGACCCGGTTCTTAATGCATATATTTGCATATTTCGACCATTTTGTGCATATTTGCATATTTGTGCATATTTTGGTCCATATTTAGGCTTTTTTGTAAAATTTTGCCAAAAATTGACCAAAATTTTGAAATTTTTTGGTCAAAAAAATTTTTTTATAAAATTTTTTTGAAAAAATATTTTCGAAAATTTTTTGGGGAAAATTTTTTTCCCCAAAATTTTTGCAGAAATTTTAAATATATTAAATCCTTTAGAAGTGTTCATGAAATGTAAAATTAAAGGCTAAATTAGTGTTTTTAAATTAAAATATTGATTTTTAAAGCATATTTTAACTATTTTTTGGTGCATATTTCACTGCATATTTTGGCAAATTTTGCATATTTTGATGCATATTTTGGGCTTTTTCGGTGCATATTTATGCGTATATTTGGCAATTTTCCGTGCATATTTTGGCTGTCCCTAGTTATTATACGTCTGGTATTCTGGAGACATGTGTAAATGAGACATATTTTTTAAAAATTACGGATTATATTTGCGTTCATTTTTCTGATAGAATAGATTTTTGCGGACAATCCGCAAAAACAAAATTTTTTTTTTGATTTTTCTCGTCAAAAAATTTCTTTTCAGTGTACAAAAGGCAGAAAAATATCAAAGAGGCAATAAAAAGATGCACTTAATTGTTTTACTTGCAGGATTTGCCATATTTTTGATACTTTTAATTATACTTACAAAATTCTGATCTCTCATTTTCTATAAAAAAAAGAGTTTATAAATAGAAGATTTTAATTTTTTTTAAATTTAATTTTTAAGGGCTGAAATCTATGCCTATTAAAATATTTTTTAAAATTTTTTATAATTTTTAGCTTTTTTTAATTTTGAGTGTTTTGAAAAATGTTGCACAGTCGCAAGAAAGACAAGGAAAGCGATGAGGCTAATAGAGCAACAACGTCAAACGTAAAAAATTTTTTTGAGAAATTTTTTTGAAAATTTTTCGAAAAAATTTTTTTTTTATTTTTTAGGCTCACAATTATGTCCCGAATTTTAATGACTTGGAAGATTCAGAATTGGATGAAATAATAAAGAAAATATTGGTTTTTTAATTTTTTAAAATTGTCCTTAAGATTTTCTTTTTAGATGGATAACATTAAACAAAAAAATGTTGAGGAAACAATGCAGGCTCTAGATCGACGAATGAAAATTCATTTGTGTCAACAACAATATCGTCTTCAACGAGATGATTTTGGAAAACAGGAGGTTTGGTTTTTGATTTTTATTTTTGGAAATAGTAATTGGGTTCTGGAAATTTATCTGAAAGATTAGTTTTAAAAAATTTGTGTTCGTTGGATAAGGACACGTATCACAATTTTGGATAAAAAATTTTAAAAAAAAAGTTCATTTCCCATTCCATAAGATTTTAAAAATGTTGGATGTAATAGGACTTCCCGTCCTCAGAAACCTCGTCGATTCTTATCGGCAAAAACCCCGACCTTAACATTGAAGGCTCTACCCCTTCCGACTACTAATTTAAATAAATTTTAAAATTTTATCATCTTTAAGGGTCCCTCTTTCTACTGTGAACGAATGAAAAAAGCGCTTGAATCAAAAGATGATTTTAAAGAATTGTTGCAAAGCTTGGGAGTTATTTTGAGTACTCAAAATTATCCTTGGGTTGAAGAGGTTTTTTTGAAAATTTTCTTGATAATCTTTTTTATAATTTTTTTAGTTTGGAAGAGAAGGAGGTTTTCAACTTTTAGTTTCAATGATGTCCAAATTATTGGTCAAAATTGAACGTTTAAAAAGTGAAACAGATTTGGGTACTACTGCTGCAGATGATTATGTTTTTTGTTTGAATAAAATATTGGAAATATCTAGAGCTTGTCTTAATTGTGATGTAAGGAAATTTAATTTTTGGCTTTAGTGCAGTTTATGAGTCCAATCAAAAAAAATTTGGGATTTTTTTGTGTTTCTAAGTTGGGGTATGGTGATTTTTAAAAATTTAAGAAATTTTGGGGGAGGTAAGGAACGGTCCCAGCCCAGGGGGGCGTAGGTCTTGAACATGAAGACTTACGGAATCATGACACAACTTTAAAACAAAAATTCAAATTTTTTCTTGATTGGACTCATAAACTGCCCTAGAGCCAAAATTTTATTTAAAAAATTGCAAAAAAATTTTTTCTCTAAAGGTTGGTATTCATTTCCTTCTTCGCCCAAATTCTCGTCTTTGCAGTAAAATGATTGAAGCGCTCTATGTGGCTATTGACTTAAAATCTGAAAGATCACACAACATCCCTAGCGACGTAATAAAACCTGAAAAACCACACAATCTGCCGATATGTGATCAATTAATTGTGTCGATTTTAACACTTTTGGCAGTAATTTCTTTTATGGGAAAAGATGATGGATTTGGACAATCTGAAATATCAGGGTTTTTTTAGCTTTTTATTTTAATTTTAAAGTTGACCCTCATTTTAATAGTTATCCTTTGGGGACGGAAAAATTTAATCCTATAGTAATGGGGGCTATTTGCGATCAGGGCAATGCGCAATTGCGGGTTTTAAAATTGCGGATTGCGTTTGCAAAAAATTTTTCTCCAATTGGGCCCAACCCTGTTTGCGATAGCAATTTTCACCTATCATCACCCTGTGTGCGGGCAGGAAGCCTGATTTTCTAAAAATTTTCCTATCGGTTCCAGATACGGATATTTGAAAGATTTCCCAAGGTGCGCCAACTTAACCTAGCTACTAACCAACCTTAGGAAAACGTATCCCGTGGGTAGTTAAGTCGGGTAATGTGAGTTCTATATTGATAAAGGGGTTCGACTCTATTAAAAAATTTTTCTAATTTTTTTCTTTTCTTTTTATAGAAATTCTCTTCTTATAAAAGACATGACAACAGTTGCAGAAAAGAAAAATTTCAATTCTCGTTTTGCTTGTATTGTTAGATGTTTACATTTTAAAGATAAACAAATTACGGTTTTTTTAAAATTTTTTTTCTAAATTAAAAAAGAATTTATAAGTACAAAGCTTTGGTTTTTATCAACACTTTATTGTCATGTATTGATGACAATGATTGGAGTGTTCGTATGTTGTGGAGAAATGAATTGATGTCTGCGGGATTGAAACCTTTACTTCCGGTAATTTTTATTAAATTATTTTTGGGTTTTATCATAGTTTTTAGGAAAATCCGCAAGTTTTGTCCGCAACTTTTTTGCGGATTTTTTCAAAAAAAATTTTTTTTGTATCGTCTGCAAATTTTATCCGCAATTTTCAATTGCGAATTTTTTCAAAAAAATTTTTTAATTAATTAAAACTAATAAATTTTTTAAGAGTATTCGAAAAATAGCAGAAAAAGAAAATGAAACTATCGGATTGGCATTTACTTCATTTGAAAATGAATTGAAAGCTGATTATGATGAATTACTCAATCGTTTTGAAAATTTGTACGAAACTTTTTTTAATTTTCAGAAAAACTTTTTGTTTTATAGAAAAGGAGATGTTAGCGATGTTTCTGATTGTACAAATATGCTAATTGCATCATGTAAAAATACAGATTGTGAATTCATTCTTCAAGAAATTTTTCTTCGTTTGCTTTTGGTTAATGATAGAAAATATAAAAGGTTTTTCATTAATTATTTTTTGTTAGTAGGTGATGTTTATGGTTTCATTTTCTTTTAGGTTTTTGGATGTCCTACTTTCCCAAGGTTTTCCATGCCCGCCTTTTCCAAAGTTTTTCCAGGGTCCTCTACATGGAATTTTTTCAATTTTTTTTCGGGTTCCGCTTCACACGAGAGTCTCCTTTTCCACGAGTCTTTTTCCAAATGTTTTAAGAACTCCAAAAAGTAACCCTTACTAAAGCTTGGAATAAATGAAAAGGGGGCGCCTAAACGCCCTTATCGCTAAAAATAATTAAAAATAAATTTTTTTACAAAATTTTTTTTGTAGAGAAGTCTATCTAAAAATGTTTTTACTGTGTGTATCAGAAATTGCATTTGGTGATATGGGTTATGGACCGAATTCAAAACAATTCAATTTTAGTATTCCAATAGGTTTGTTAAAATTTTGAGGATTTTTTGAAAAGAAAAGAATTTTTTAAAGATGATACTTTGGAAAAAATTGAAAATCAATCAAACGAGCAACTCAATAAAAGGCTTGAATCAGCTATACAGGACAAACAAGAAGCTTTTTCTGTTCAACTTCAATATTATAAAAAAATACAGGAATATCAAGAAGAAACTAGCATGCTGAGAAAATATGTAAAAAATTTTTAAGGGGTTAAAAATTTTCAAAAAAAATTTTTTTTGCAGTTAAAAAACAAGGGTGACGCAGGAAATGCTGTTCTTCCACCTGAAACAGTTTTTAACTTGCCTGCTCCATCAGAATTAACATTGTCAGAATTAGAGAGATTTCCTAAACCTAAAAGTGTCCAGCCTACAAATTCTTCTTCAATGCCTCCACCACCACCGCCACCCCCTCCGCTTCCTCCAAATTTGTTGAAAAAGGGGGGAGGAGGAGCTGGAGGTCCTGGGCCACCAGCACCGCCGCCGCCACCACCAAATTTATTGTCAAAATTTGGAAAAACTGCTCCTGGTGGTGGTCCACCTCCACCGCCAACACAACTTTTGCATAATAATGTTGTTGAGATACCTGAATATTTGAGGAAGAAAAAAGAGAAAATTGCTGAAATTCCAATGAGAAAAATCCCGTGGAATGCAGCTATTGTAAGTTTCTTGATTTTATTTTGGGTCCTTTTCTCAGTCTCTAAAAAAGTCCGCAAATTTTATCAGCATTTTTTGATTTTCCGCAGTTCGGTATTTCGGCTTTTGGTACTACTTGCGGATAAAATTTGCGGACAACCGAAAATTTGCGGATTTCTTTTGCGGACTTTTGTAAAATTAAAGGGATTGGAACCAGACCTTTTAATTCTTAAATTTTTTTTAATTTAGATTAAGCCAACTAATTTAAATAAAGAATCTCTTTGGGCGCAAATTGATGAAGACGAAATTGCGACAGATGATGTTTTCGATTTCTTAAAGATGAAGTATTCTGCAACGAAGTATATTTTTTAAAATAAATTTTAGTCGATAAAATTTTTTAAAGTAAAAGTAGTACAGCATTAACGAACGATACAACCAAAAAACATTCAAAAATGAAGATTCCACTTATTATTCAAGATCAAAAACAATTACAAACATTGGGTATTTTTTTTTTTTTGAAATTTTGAGGAAATTTTTTAAATTTATTTTTTAAAGCAATTCTCCAAGGCTCGTGTAAACTAAGCTTTAAAGAATGGTATAATGCTCTGATGGAACTGAATGAAACTGTGTTACATTCCGAACTTGTTGGACAATTAAGAAATGCTTTACCGTCAACAGACATTTTGAATAGATTAAAGGATTGTTCGGAGGCAGAAATGCAAAATATGCCCGAAGGAGAACAGGTTTTCTTTAATTTATCGAAATCTGACTGGGGTCGGACTAATGTAAGTTCTGGGGTTTTCTTGTAGCTAGAGCTCAGATTAAGGCATTTTGTTGGAGTTACTGGTTTTTCTTGGAATCCATAGAGATTAAGCTTGAACTGGACCAAGGCCAGGCTATTTTCTTGGACTAGAGCTGTCATTTTTTGACTTTTAGATCTTTCTTGAACTTTACGCCTAAATCGTTAAATCGAAAATTGTTCCAGACCCAGACTTTCTTCCCGTTCTCTGACAACCTACTAATAGAAAACGTCCTAAAAATTTTAAATTTTTCCTTAATTTTCAGTTTATTGCAACTTTATCAAAAATCAAACATTTACCAATACGTTTGGAGGCAATACAGCTTTGGCTTTCATGGTCTGATCAATTTTCTGAACTCAAATGTGGAGTAACAACAATTGCGGAGGCGTGTGAGGTTTAGAAATATAAAAAATTGTTTTGAAAATTTTTAAAAATTTTAATAGGAAATAATAAAATCTCATGGCTTAAAGAATTTTATCAATCTTGTTTTACTTGCTGGAAATTTTATGGGAAGAGTAAAGAGTTCTGGTGCAACATTTGCTTTTGAATTAGGAGCATTAAATAAGGTTTGTATTTTTTAATTTTATTTTTTATTTAAATTCAAATTGGGTCAACCCTAACAAATAAGTGCTGAAATTTGTCGACCCCCATCAACTCCCAAACGGTTGAATTACCGAAAAGGTCAACCCCAGAATGTCAAGATACTTAGAAGGTCAGCTCAAAATATTTGGGCTGATTATGAATCATTTGTTTCTTGGAATTAAGGGACATAAGATGGAAATTATCTCGCGAAACTGTCAGATAAGGCAAAATAGGCAGGCAAACACTTTTTTAATCTTAAGTCTTCTTTTTGCTCCCAAATTTTCGGGGTTGTCCTTACGGGTGTTGACGGGGTTTTCCCTCTTTTAGGGTGTACCCAATTAAAGTTATTTTTTTCTAGTTGGTAGATACAAAAGATTGTGAAAATTCTGAAACACTCTTGCATGGTCTAATATTTTTATTTCATAAAAAATTTGATGGGAAATTTGACAAATTTGTTGTTGATGATTTTCATCATGTTTCTAAAGCTTGTAAAATTGATTATTTGGATTTGGAAAAGTCTATGAATTTATTGAAGAATTCTGTTAAAAAGGTTTATTTTTTACTTTTAATTATGGGAATGAGGAATTAAATAAGGTTTTTCTCATATTTTGGGACAAAATGTCACCTAGAAAAGTTAAAAATAAATTTCTCTTGTTTTTAACAATTTTTGGGACGAAATGTCATCCTTGAGAATTCCCTCTGGTTATATTTGGTTTTTGTGACGAAATGTTACCTAAAACCTAGAGAATGAATTTCTCCTGATTTTGTGCTAATTTTTGAACAAAATGCGTTAAAAAATCTAATATTAAATTTTTTTAAAGATTTCAACACATTTGTTAACCTACCAAAAACAAATTGCAAATGATTGTTTTCAATCAAAAATAAGTATCTTTGTAGAAACGGCACAAAAGGATTTATTTGTTATTGATTCGGTTTTTTTTAACTTTTTTAATGTTTAAAAATTTTTTTCTAACTTTAAAGCTTTGGGAACATATGACATTAAAATGGAAATCACTTGTCACGTATTTATGTTTTGATCCGAAAAAATATCCAATGGAAAGACTTTTTGGCGATTTAAATAATTTTGTGTGTCAATATCAGGTTTATTTTTTTTTATTAATGAAAAAATATTTTGGGGGTTTCTATGGGTATTTTTATAAAGTCCGTAAGTTCTGTTCGCAACTCATGGGGACGAGCCTTAATACCAAAACTCCAAGAGATTGTAAGTCCTGGTTGTTAACAGTCTATGGTTTAGGGGGGTGAGGAGCAGGACTGTGCGCCAAAATTTTCGCGTGGCGCGCCAAACGCCATGACGCACAGCCCTGGGGAGGAGGGGTGGTTGGTATTTCGGCGTCTTTGGGAGGTTTGATATTTCGGCGTTTGGTAGTACGACATCATACCATCATTTTTTAAATTTTTTCCCTTTTAAGAATGCTTGGACACAAGTATCAAAATCTTTGTATAAAAAATCTGAAGGAGGACGTAAAGAAGCTAGTTCCAAAATTGATAAAAGAAGAAAACCTCTTCATCAAATTCAACCAGAAATGGCTAATGAAGTGGCTAAAAAAGCTAGGGAAAGAATGAAAAGTAATTTGAATCAAAGTATGGATGGTGGTGGAGGAGGAGGTGTTATTGATAGAATTGAACAAATGCTTGTTGAAGGAAAATATAGGCCAGATTTACCTGAAGGAGCACAGAGGAGGTATAGAGTAAGAAGGAAAGGACAGCCAACAGTGCAGGTTTTTTTTTGCAAATTTTTTTAATATTTTTGGGACGAGGGGGTGGGTTAAAAGGTTAAGGCTTTTTAGGCTAGTGTTCACTATTTTTTGTATTATATAAAGTAACTCATTTGGAGGACTTATGTCCTGAAAGCCTACCTTTCTGAAGGCTCTACCAGCTTTTTTTGTTAAGGTCACCCTTAAGTTTTGTGGCAGAATTTGTTATTTTGTATGAATTCCCTTGTGAGCTGGGTCTAACTACATCTAAATCAGTCAGTCTTAGTAATCCCATAACATAATTCCGGCTAACTTTATTGGGTAAAAAATGGTGAATTTTCATTACTGGCTTGTTTTATTTTATTTTTTGGCGGAAGGGTTCTTTGGCTCATCACTACAAAAAATATGAACCAGAGTTTACAAGGGGATTCATTTTCATTTTTTAAAAATTAACTCTGAATAATCAAATAATTTTTTAATTTTTTAAGAAAAATTTGGATCCTCCTCCTTCAAATAAACAACAATTGGAGCAACAGCAACAACAACCTACTAATAATAATAAACCCTTGGATCCACCACCAAAATCTTTGGATCAACACAAATCTTTGCCGCATACACCAAAATCTCCATATGTGGCAGATGCAGTAAAAGCTCCAAGTGCTGTTGAATTATTACAACGACTTAGAGGATTAGATCCGTGACAGTTTAAAAAGGCATTTTATTTCTTATATACCAAAAAGTAAGAAAAAAATTAGAATAATTATTCCCGATGATATACAAAAATGTAAATAAAATATATTTTTAAGGGATTGGACAAGGAAATACTAAATAACCCAAAATTGTTCCGAAAACCACTGATTTTTGATGAGTCACTTTTCTCTTTTCCTGGGAGTTAGTCTAGGGTATTCCAAGGCTGTTTTTACTTCATTTAAAAAAATTTTTTGATTTAAGGACCACCTAGCATCGATTCGTTTGAGTTGGAATTATTTCCGAGATGGTCTAGCATGGTCATTGACCCCCCATCATTGACCCCCATGGGTTTTCTCTAGCTTGGTCATTGACCCCCATGGATTTGACCCTAACATGGTCATTGACTCCCAAGGGTTTGGCCCCCCATGGATTTATTCCACAAAGCGTTATTTCGCCAAATAACTTTTCGGGTTTCAATCACATGCTTCTGGAATATGTCACTGATCTAATTTAAAAAAATCCAAGTCCAGTCCTTTAAATATATTTATTATTCTTTACATTCCTCTCTTTTATTGAATATTAATTACCAATTCACTTGCTCGCTAATTTTTGCCTTTTATTATTATTTTATTTAAGCTCTTTCCTCAACACTTTATGGTTTTTTTTGTGATTATGTTTTTCTTTCATTTATTTCACTTAATTTTCAAACGAAAAAAATTAATTTAGACTCTTGATTGTTCTTTCTGCCTTTAAAAAATTTTTTTTTTCATTTTTCGGCTGTGCCTAGAAAAAAAAAATAAATTTTGGCCTTAAATAAAAATTTTTTTCAAAATTTTTTTGTTTTAATCAAAAAAAAAATATTTTTCTATCTGAATTAATTATTTTGATAATATTTTGGTTTATGTCCCCCTTTTTTCCATTTTATTTTTTCTGACCATTTTGAGTCTTTTTATAGTCAATTTACATATCATTCGAAGGAGATCTTCGAGCTGATATGAGTTGAATGTGACGCTAAGATTAGCTAATTTCGATGATTTTGGACAAAATTGGGAGGCTGAGGATTCGCTGAGACTATACACTAAAATAGACTCAACTCGAAGAGCTTTTTCGAATGACATAAAAATTTCTTAATATAACGAAAAAAATATGAAGGAAAAAACGAGGGGGGGCATAACCCAAAGTATTACTAATATATATTTTTTAAAGACTTTTAGACTTAGAAAAAAATATTTTTTGCTTAAAAATGAGTTATTATGGAAATGATATTTATCGATGGTCATCGAGGAAAGCAGAAGATGAGGAAAAGGAAAAGAAGGTTTTTTTTAATTTTAATGAATTTAAACAAAAAATTTTATTAAGTATAATGAATTGATGCAACGACAAAAGGAAGGAAAAGCTTCAGACACTGCTGTTGAGAACGAGTATGGGTTTTATCTTTAAAATTTTTGTATAAATTGAATCCGAGGGTAGTAGAAGGGCTGAGCAAGGGTCTGAACTCATCAGTGCACAGCGCAGAAAAAATTTTTTTGAACTAGTTAGTGGATTCGAAAATATATTAGGCGATCCAGACTTGTTAGAAAGTTTCACCTTTAATTTGTACAATTAGGTCGACTTTCAAAATGCCCAAATTTTTAAATGACCCATAAGGGAGATTCTTCTTTTTTCGTTTTTGTCTTTTATTTTTTCTGAATTAAAAACGTGGACCGGGCTTAAGGGGATTATAAAGACCAAGAAAAGGGGGAGACCAAACTGATTTTTTTCTAACGATAAATTTTGGTTTAATTTATTTTTTAATAATTTGGATTCAATTTAAATTTTTTTTATTTTTAAAATAACCTAAAAGATTTGCAGTTATTTTGAAGGGGACGATTCTGATGAAGATAATAATAATGTTGATGATGAACATGAAAAATCTGATGATACAAAAATACAAAAGAATAAGAAAAATGGAGTTGAAAAAGAAAAGGAAGATGAGGAAGATGATGATGAATTAGATGCATTTATGGCAGAAATAAATAAACAAGCACAAACAGAAATACATGAAAGTCGACAAAAGGTTTGAATTAAGTTATGGGTTTATGTGTAGTAGGGAAGTGTTTAGGGTTAACTATTACGGGCCTAAGGGTTCATTTTGTTTTTGGCCAAAAATTTGTTGGGATAATCTTTTGGGGGTTTTTTCAATTGTTTTTGATCTTTATCGCGTTAAATGTATTCATAGTGCACCAAATAGGCGTGGGCCTGACTGTTATGAAGTTGTTGGTTTGACTCCGCTTTCCGAAATTAATTTTTATTTTATCAAATATTTTTTTAAAATGGGTTCTTTCAATTTTTGAAAATCCTTATTGACTTTTGAAAAATTTTTAAACTTTTTTTTTCTAAGTATTTTAGGAATTAGGATTAGTTAAGAGCGTTTTTGGTGTAATTGGGTGGTGTTTGGGTGACTGATAATAAGGTCGTAAGTTTTTTATTTTGTGTCCAGAATTTTTCTAAAATGATTTTTTTAAGTTTTTAAAATTTTCTTTTGACTTTTGAAAGTGTTGGGGCTCTTTTTATTAATTTTTAAGAATTCTTTTAATATTTATTTTTATATTTTTTAAGGAAGAACACGTAATAAATACAGGTGACTTTACAGGAGGACAAGAAGGAAGAGATGATATTGAACAAGAAGATATGCAAGAAAGCATGATTAAGTATTTTTTTAAAATTTTTTTAATTTTTAAATTTTCTTTTAAAGATTTATGGAAGAATATAAAGAAAGACATGCAAGTGATGATGAAGATGAAAATGTTGTTGAATATGATGAGGAAGGAAATGTTTGTTTTTAAAATTTTTTGATGATTTTTGAAATTGTTTTTTGAAGGTTATATGGACATGGAAAAAGGAAATTGATCCTCTGCCCCCTATTGACCATTCGGAAATTGAGTAAGACAAAAGTTTTTTTAAATGTTTTTTCTGTTATGTTGAGTGTTGAAAAATTTTTTGTTATAAGTTTTTTTTATTAATAAACAATTTTTCTGATAGTATGGGAGTATCAATAGAGGATTTTTGGGGACATTTTTTTTTGTTTCGGCATTTTTCCCTTTGGGAAAAATTTGGTGGCCTTTCCCGCTTTTCGGGGGAGGGGGAGGCTTCAGCCCTCCCGGCTACACCCTTGTTAGGCCGGACTTTAAGGGTAGTACGTGAATCAAGATCGATAGATCAAAATATCTGATTCTGGATAACCAAGTCTTTTGTCTAAATCTTGTCTGTGTCTGATCCCTAGTTAGAAAATTCAAAAAAATTTCCTTTAGCAAGATAAAAAGAAAATTTTTTTAAATTTCAGATATAAACCTTTTGAAAAGAATTTTTATTCTGAACATCCAGACATTGCAGATTTGACATTACAACAAGCATTTGAATTGAGGATTACATTGGATGTATTTTTTTAAATTTTTATTTAAAAATTTTTATTTTTTTCAGATTCGTGTTTATGGACAAAATATCCCAAAACCAGTTGTTAGCTTTGGACATTTCCAATTTGATAAACCTATAATGAATTTAATTGTTAAAAATGAATTTGAAAAGCCTACGCCTATACAAGCACAGGTTTTTTTGTTGGAAGAAATTTTTTTGGAAAATTAAAAAAATTCTCAAAAGAATTTTTTGAAAATTTTTTTTTGAAATTTTTCGGAATTATTTTTGGAATTTTTAAGAGTTAAAAAAAATTTTTTTTGGAAATTTCTGAAAAATTTTAGAATTTTTTTTGAATTTTTATTTTACTTTTTTGAACAAATTTTTCAAGTGAAAATTGTTTGAAAAATTTTCTGAAAATTTTTTATGGAAAATTATCGAGTTTAAAAAATTCTCAAAAAATTACTTTCAAGGCAGTTCCAGCAGCTTTATCAGGCAGAGATGTTTTGGGATTAGCAAAAACTGGAAGTGGAAAAACTTTGGCTTATATATGGCCTACAATTGTGCATATAATGAATCAGGAAGAATTAGCACCGGGAGATGGACCGATTGCTTTAATTGTTGTTCCGACAAGAGAATTGGCTATTCAGGTTTGTGAAAAATTTTTTTTGAAAAAATTTTTTGAAGAAAATTCTCTGAAATATTTTTGAACTTTTTTAAAAAATTTCGAAATTTGAAATTTTTAAAATTTTCCTGAAATTTTTTTGTGAAAATTAAAAAAAAATTTTTGTGAAAATTTTTTCAAAATTTTTTTAAAATTCGTTGGGAATTTTTTTTGAATTTTTTTTAAAAAAATTTTTGGAAAATTTTTCAGAAAAATTCCAAATTTTTTGAAATTTTTAATTTTTTGCGATTTTTTTTTATAATTTTCTCAAAAAAATTTTTTTTTGAAATTTTTAGAATTTTTTAAACCTAAAAAATTTCTTTTTTTAAGGTCTACAACGAAGCAAAGCGTTATACTTCCCTTTACAACATTGCTCTAGTTTGTGCTTATGGTGGTGGATCCAAATATGAACAGAAGAAAGCTTTGGAAAATGGAGCTGAATTGGTTATTGGAACACCTGTAGGGTTTTTTGGAAAATTTTAATAGTTTAATTTCGCAGGGAAGAATAATTGATCTGGTTAAAATTGAAGCAACAAACTTTTTAAGAACAACATTTCTTGTGCTTGACGAGGTTTGGATTGTTTTAAATATTTTTTTGAGATTGGGTTAAAGCCTTTCTCCCTCTTTCCTTCCTATAAAAAGCAGCGCTATGGGTGAGTGGGGACTTGGATCAAAATTTCAATTTTGTTGATCTTGGGGATTAACTGTAAGATTAACGAGTAAAACATGGATAGCTCTTACTGGGTATGTAAATTTTTTTAGGATTGATTTAGTTGTCAGAGCCACCCTTCTCCCTCTAGTAGACAGCAAGTCTCCCTATCCTCAAGTTTCCCATGAGGATAAGGAGACTTGAAAAAATCGTTTTTATCTACTTTAGAGACGTTAATGAGCTTTTACCTTTGCTCTATCCTTTGTTTTAAACACCAACTATCTAAAATCTTCTAAATTCAATTTTCCATCTTTTTAGGTTGATAGAATGTTCGATTTGGGATTTGGTTTGCTCAAATAATTTAAAAAATTTTCAAAAAATTTTTTTCTTTTAAAGAAGCCCAAGTAAAATCAATATCAGATCATATCCGTCCAGATAAACAATGTTTAGTATTCAGTGCAACATGCAAACCAAAAATTGAAAAATTAATAATGCACGTCTTATATAATCCAATAAAAATTTTGTGTGGAGATATTGGTGAAAATACTTGTGTTCAACAACAAATAATAGTTTTGTATAATCAAGAAATGAAATATGAATGGCTTTTTAGAAATATTGTTAATTTTATTACAAGTTTGGAATTTTTTTAATTTAAAAAAAATTTTTTTCAGTGGGAAAAGTACTCATTTTTGTGACAAAGAAAGCAGATGCTGAAGATGTTTCAAAGAAATTGGCTTTGAGAGATTTGGAAACAGTTTTACTCCATGGGGATATGCATCAGCAGGTTTTTAAAAATTTAAAATTAGAAAATTTTTAAGTGGCTCGAGAGGGTCAGACCCCAAATGGCCAAAGATTTTCATTTTTAAAAAGAAATTTTTTTCAAACCACTTTCAAGTGGACTATAAGGCCTATTTTTAATTTTTTTAATTGACTCGAAATGGTCAGATCCCAAAATGTCCAAATTTCATTTTCCAAAAAAAAAATTTTTCGAAAAACTTCCAGGGAACACAAGATTGGAAGAGGACCTTTTACTTTTTATTTAAAAATTTTTTCAGGAAAGAAACGAAAGAATAACCTCATTCCGAACAAATAAATCTGTTTTGGTAGCAACAGATGTAGCAGGTTTTTTCATAAAATTTTTTTATAATTTTTTCCAATAAATTTAAAGCAAGAGGATTGGATATCCCAGAAATTCGAAATGTAATTAATTTTGATGTTGCTAGAGATATTGATACACATATTCATCGAATTGGAAGGACTGGAAGAGCTGGTAAGATAAAAGAATGGGAAGGGGAGGGAGGAAAATGGGGTTGAATATTTTTAATAAAATTTGAAACAAAACGTCAAGAAATACAAAAAAATTATTTTGCCTCTATAGAGGATTTTAGTTAAATTAAAAATAATTTTTCACGGATGGGGCTCGAACCTCCACCTTTTATACCGGAAAAACTAAGGGTTTACCCACTACACTAAACGAGTTGTTGGGCTTTGGAAGGCCATATCTTGGCCAGATCAAAAAACAGGCAAAAACGGCTAAAAATCCTTGCTAGAAAAGTCACATTCTCTATCGAATGAGCCCGGTCTCGACCGTTTTTAGCTCGGACACCTCGCAAACCCTCCTTGTAAAAATGACTCCCCTAATTTTACCAACAAGAAAAAATCCTCAGTTTTGCCAATAATTTTATTGGAAAAAGCATTTTTAGCCTTATTGACAAAATATGGGTTTAGCAAAATGCGTGGACACGGAAAAAAGATTTCTAATTGATTTCAAATAATTTTTAAAATTCATTTTAAAGGTCATCAAGGCTCTGCATATACTTTGGTGTTAGAAAAAGATTCAGAATTTTGTGCTCATTTAATTGAAAATTTAAAATCATCAGATCAAGAAAAATTAATTTCTAATGAACTTGAGCAAATTGCGTTAAAATGCCAGTGGTATGCAAAAAGACAAGAAAAAGAAAAAAATTTGAGTGGAGGAAAAATGACAGATGCAGCAGGAAATTATATTGGAATAAATCAATTTAAACCTAAAGAAAGGCCTGGATTTGGACTAAAAAAGACTCCTACAACAAGTGGTGGTTTTGGTTTAGAAGGGGGATCGTCTGGAGGAGGTGGAGGAAGTTCTTCAATTTTACAGAATCAACCAAGGTTTTTTTTTTAATTTTTGGGGGGATTTTTTTGGAGGGGGGGGAGGTGGTAGATGGTTTTCTTCGAATATTTAAAGGAATGTAGTTATTATTTGCATTTTTTAAATTTTTTCCAAGGGATTATGAGAGTTTTTCTGAATATTTAGGGGGTGGAATTTGAATTTTTGAATGGATTTCTAAAAAGCTGAGATGATTTTAGGGATTTCTTTTTTGACATTGATTTTTTGGGTAAGGTATTTTGTAAAATTATTCTTTTTAGTATAACAAAACAAATAGCGAGAGCAAAAACTTTAGTGGGAAGTGGAGGAGCTGCAGGAATGAATAAAATTGATATAATGAGATCTGCACTTAAAGTATAAGAGTTTTTAATTTTTTTAATTGAATTGACTGGGTATATAGTAGGGATGTCACTGGGTTAGAAAAGTCGGGTTTCGGATCTTATTTTCAAAAATCGGGTTTCGGGTCGAAAAGGTCAAGGTTTCTGGTTGGGTTAGTTGTGGAGGATTAAGAGGGAATCGCGTCGAGTTTCGGATTTTTGAAAATTTCTCGGGGCGTATATCGAGTCAAAAAAAGTTCGTGTTTCGGATAACCCGTGACACTCCTGGTATATTGTAGTTTGAAATATCAGAAAAAATGTTTTTTCTAGGGAACATTTAAACATTCATTTCAACCTTCATCTACTGATGAATTTCATTCACGTCTTGGAGCAAGTGATCCTAGACCAGAATGGAAAATTAAATTGGAAGAACAAGCAGAAAGAATAAATAGAGAAATTAAAGAAAAACAGGAGGAAGAAGAAAAAGCTAAAAATGAAGAAGGAAAAGGAGAGGAAGGAAAAAATCTTCCACAAAAGAAGAAAAGTCGATGGGATAGATAAATGGAAAATTTTTTGGTATTTTTAAAAATATTTTTGGTCATTTTAAACAATTTAAAAGAAGAATGTGGTAGAGGGTATTGAGGGGGAGAAAGACAAAATTTCATTTAGAGATTGGTTGGGGATCCAGACCGCGTGATCTTTCCTGGATCTAGAGTCAAAATCAAAGCCTTTTTTCAGTGTTCCTTGATCTTTTCTTGACTCAAGACCAAGAATCTGGGCAAGATCTTCGACCAAAATCAAGAATCAAGGGTCTTAAAAATTTCCTATTTCTAAACCAGAAAATATGGAAGGAACTGGAATAAAGGTATTGAGGAGAAACCCAAACTTTACCAGAAAAAAAGCAAAAATAAAATTTTTAAAATTCATACCTTATCAAAAAAACAAACTTAACAACAACAAAAATGTAAAAATCTACTTTTAAATACTTCCCCAAAAGCCTAATTCTGTTGTTGTTGTTGCACAAATTGTTGGTCATCAATACTATCCAAGTCATGTTTGGGTTCATCTCCAGTAGCTGCAAACATTTTTCTTCTGGAAATAAAGGGGAAATTGAGGAGGGAAAAAAGAAAAAAATGATCTTACGCTCTTTCCAAATCTTCTGGATAAAAAATTTTTCTTACAGGCTCATCAATTTTAGGCCTTCTAATATTAAATATAGGTTCTTCAAATGGTGGATGTGCAGAATATGCGTCAAACCAAAGTGGTCGATCTTCCCATTTTTGATTTCCAGAAGTTATAACGCCTAACACTCTTTAGAAAATTTAAAAAAATTATTTGAGAAATTAAAAAGAAACCTTCCATAAATAGAACCAGCTCGATGAGATCGCATTAATATTGTAAATTTTGATGACATTTTTTTCGGTTGTTTGTTTGACTGCAAAGTTGATATTTTAAAAAGAGAGATGTTTCTAAAATTAAAAAAAGAGGACATTAGATATGGTAATAAAGAATGCGATATAGAAATTTTCGACATAAATCGACTGTCGAATTAGATGCGATTTTGCTGCGTTTATGGGTGAATTGTGTTATTTTCCCCTTTTTACCATTTTCAAAATTTACCAATTTGACATTATAGGAAAGTATGCGAAATGTAATTTATTTAAGTGAAAATTTCATTTTGTCAACAACTGTAGTGATTTTTGATTGACCAATTTTTCTTTAGTTAACTAGAAAATTGGTAAACTTTAGTTTTAGTTTTATGATTTTGAGAGGGAATTTTTTTATAATTATTTTTTCATTAGTTCATGCACGTTTATTTTAGTGTTAAGTCAAATAATTTTTAATATCACAAATCTTTTAATAAAATCTACAATGGAATTTCTTGAGGATGAAGATACGAAGGCATTTTTTGCGAAGCTTGAAGAAAGTCCTGAAAAGGTTAATTAATTTTGAAAAAATTTCATTTAAATAGTTTTTTATAGGAGGAAATTGATAATTCCTTAAGTGATGATAATTTATCAAATGATACTGCCGAATTTTTTGATCAATTGGAGCTGGTTGAACATGATAACAAAAATGTTGAAGAAGGTGAGGATTAGGAAGTTTAAATTTAATAAAGGGCCTAGTCCTATTTGGAATAAGGGGACAGAGGGGGTAGATGGGCGTTTCCCCAGAGGCACTGAAAGTTGGGTTGCTGGATCGATCGACCGCTAGATCGACACAGACGGAGATGGAGCTTATTGTTAGTTGGAATGATCGTTCAACTAGATAAGTGACTCACAGTCTTGGAGGACGATTGAAGTGATTTTCCCTATCTGCCTTGGGGTTGTAAATGTCCTCTATATGCAGGGTTCTAAAGGAATACACCTTTCAACTTTATAACATCGATTATTATTTCATTTTAGATTCTAACATTAACGAAGATGTTGGTCATGAAGTTAACTTGGAGGTTAATGAAGAAGTTATCAAAAATGTTAGTCTTTATTACGAGGATGTAACTCAAGAAGTTGATGAATATATTAGTGAAGAAGTTAATCAAAATATTAGTCTTCATGAAAATGTTTGTGAAAAACGTGACGAAAATGTTAGTCAGGAAATTAATCAAGATGTTAGTGAAGAAAAAGATGGATGTGAACAAGTTACGGAGGTTATTAGCGACGAAAAATTTGATGACTTTTTGCGTGATGAGACAGATGTACTTTTAAATGAATTTATGGCTAAATGGCGAAAATTACAGGATAAAAAGAGGTTTGTGTTTTTGACTTTCTGTTTGAGTAGTCTTGGACATTTTAAAATAATTAGTGAGCTGGTTGAGATAGGAGGCCAGTTCATTTCATTCTGGCTCATATCAGTTCAGTCCCGACCCTATAACTCATAAAGGGATGGTCACTTCTTAATTTTCTTGGTACCCTTGGATAGAGAATTAAACACCCTATAACATACCAAAAAATCTAAAAATTTTTTTCGGACCGAAACTTTTCCAAGAAGGCTATTAGATCAGGGTGGCCCTTTTACCTCATTTGGGAGGCATTTGCCTCCACTCTTTTCCCCACTTTACATTGCCACCTTTTTGAGAAGCCATGCCCCCTTTTAGCGGAAATTTTCTTTGTAAATATTCCATAATCAAGTTGATTCTATTCAAATTTTTTAGGGAATTCTTTAAAACGGAACTCAAAAAAATGGAATTGGACAATGCTTTATCTGGCCGAGTGAAAAAAGTTGGTTACAAATGGAACGAATATGAAAATGGGACCACGAACGAATTACGCAATGCCTTGAAAGAATTAAGAATCTCAAAAAATTAAATATAATCTTGTAAAGTAGAAAAAAAATAGAAAAAGAGGGGTGACCTCGAAGTATCACACCTTTTTTGTAAATTATTTTGGCTATCTCATTTTTTTCTCAGGACCATTTTTTGAGAAGAAGCGAATTTAATTTAGATATTTTTTTCTATAAATTATTTCCCAAACTTCACCTATTTCTTTTCATGATTGTTTTGATCACATGTATTTTTTTCTCTCTTAAAAAAGAGAAAAAATTGGTGTCAAAAATCAACACATATTCAAAGTAATTTGTCTGTGGACATAGGCAAAATGTGTTGTCCTCGTACTCTTACCATTTTTAAAATTTACCATTTTGACATTGTAGAGAAATATGCGAAGTGTTTTCTTTTTGAGAGAAAAATTTCATTTTGTCAACAAATGTATTGATTTTTGATTGACCAAATTTTCTTTTGTTAACTATAAATTGGATAATTTTAATTTTGTTATTTTTTTGTTTTTTTTTAAATTGTTTTGATTCCACGTATATTTTTTCTTTAAATTAGGTTTGTTGTCGAACCGCCAATGTATAGAAAAACTTTTCTTAACCGAAACCTTTAGACAGTGCCGAAACTCGACATTTCTTAGTTTTCGATTTTTTCGGTTTTCACAAAGAACCCTACATTAGTGTTGTCGATTCGGAACTGAACCGAATAATCGAAGTTCTTCGCTTAATTTCGGATATCCTATTGTTTTTTTCTAGTAGTCGACAACATACCCCTTGCTCTTTACATTACACTTTACTTTTCATAATAATCAATCTTTTTTTTGTTTATTTCAGAGTAGACAACGAAGATAAATGAATTCACAACCTTCTAATGCTGAGGGGGCCGAGGAAAACTTTCGAGATAATAAAAAATCAGACGCTGTATCAAACTTTTCTCGTGGTGCAACTCCAACAGTGTTAACTTCGTTTAGTGAAGCTTTAAATGAAAAAAATTTTGATGAACATGAAATGAGGGATGTTCAGTTATATGAAGAAATTTGTTCTGAAGAGGATTCGAAGAAGTCAGAGGATGAAGGAGGGAATGTTTACAATGAGAAGATTGATGGAAGTAAGCAAGATGAGGGAGGGGAGGATGACAATGAAGCAGCGACCTCAGAAAAACATTTGGAATTTGTGAGTTGTGAATTTAAAATTTTGTTTAAGAGACGTAGAAAAGTCCGCAAGTTTTGTCCGCTATGTGAGGTTTATGTTTTTATGTTGTGGTACTGAGTTCAAAACCGCAGGGAAAAATTGATTTTTTCGCTCTTAATAAGGTCAAAGTTGTTTTTTGTTTTCCCTTGACCTCCTACAGGGCGTCCGTAAATTATACGACCACCTGCATTTATTATAATATCTTATCTTTGATATGATATTTTCACTTCATTTCTTTTTTATATTAATTAATTATGTAATCAGAACTTGTTATCAAAATTTCATTTAAATATTCTGAACCATCTCTCAGAAAATTAAATTTAATTAAATGTAGTTGATTTTCAAGCGTCCGTAAATTATACGACCACCCTGGATAATTCTGTATTAGATAATAGGAAAAATCTACAAAAAATTATCAGAACATAACTATCAGTATACATAAGAAATACAAAAGAAACGAAGTTGAAATATAATCCCTTCATCGAGATCTCAAAATCCGAAAATCAACGGAAAATCGAGGTGAAGGTCTTTAAAAAATATTTTCGAACCCTTATGGACTAAATTAAATTTTGATTTTATACTTTTCTGAAAGCCCTTTAAATTTGCTATAAGAAACCCTTATTGTTAATAAATCGCAAAATTTTACTTGGAAGATATTCAGGGTTAAATTCAATGGACATGAAAATCATTAAATCTACCCCATGAAATGCCTTTTCTTAGCAACTTAGAAATTTAATGAAGTACAACTTAATGAAAAAAATTTTCTGTAAAATAAAAATTGCAGGTATTATAGCAAATTTAAAGGGCTTTCAGAAAAGTATAAAATCAAAATTTAATATAACCTTAAAGGGGTAGAAAAATTTTTTCAAAGACACTTACCCCGGTTTTCTGTTGATTTTCGGGCTTCGAGATCTTGATGATGGAGTTATAATAAAACTCCGTTTCTTTTGTATTTTACATTAATATCAATAGATATGTTTACCAGAATTTTTGTGGATTTTTCCTGCTATCCGAAACATGATTATCCAAGGTGGTCGTATAATTTACGGACGCTTGAAAAACGACTACTTTTAATTAAATTTAATTTTCTGAGGGATGGTTAGGAATATTTACTTGAAATTTTGCCTAGGAATTCTGAATACATAAATGATTAATATAAAAAAGAAATGAAACGAAAAAATCATGTTAAAGATAAGATATGACAAAAAATACAAGTGGTCGTATAATTTACGGACGCACTGTATGTTCTTTGATTTAAAGTCAAGAATTTTGTTAAGGGTGATTCTCCTCTAGTTTCCGGCCTCTATTTGGCCGCATAATTTAAAAGTGCTTTAAATCTAATTTTCTTAATTTTTTAAAGGAATCTCTTTCACAAATTAAAAATTCTCAATTGGGGAAGACAGTTGTAATTCATTCAAATGACGAAACTCCTCAAGAAACTTTTTCTAGACTTAAAGATGCTTGTATTGAAGGAACTCTAACTTATGAAGACATTATGGATGGACTTTTTAATACGGTTTGTTGGGGGGTTTTTAAAGTAATCGAAGGATTAGTTCCGGTCGCCAAAACACTTTTCGACACCCTCTTAACGATTATTTTGTTCTCCGGTTTTTCTCGGTTGTTGGTGGGTTCGGGTGGATTCTTACATAATTTAAAGGATGCCCATCAAAGGCGACGTGCTATTTGGGTTGAAAACGTTTTTCCCCGGTTTGGTATTTCGACGGTTTTTGGTATTTGGTATTTCGACGTTTTGGCCCTTTAAAGATGCATTTTTACTTTATTTTTTCAGTTGGTCGGCGGCCCATTTGACTTGGAATCTAGATATGTTCTTCAAAATTGTGAAAATGTTAAATTAATGTTAGAATTGACTGATTTATGTCCCCCTAAAATTCAGGTTATTTTTTCTCTAATTTTTACGAATTAAAAAAAATTTTTCTTTTAAAGGCAGAAATTTGGAGCATATTTGTTGCTATTGTCAAAAAGAGTTTTTTGAATTTGGAAATTTGGTATATTTTTTTTGTACTAAAAAAGAAATTTTTTAAAGTTCAAAATCTGGACTTGTTTCTCTTCTCTTGGATAGATTACCTGATGCTGATTTTATTATAGCCGATTTATTTATTCAATTACTTACAGTGCTAACTGGATATAGTATTTCTGTTAAAGAATTTAAACATTTTTTGAAGTCGTTAAAAGTGGACAATAATTGCTGGGTAAGTTTTTTTGATAATAAAAAATGTCTTGCGTTAATGCTACGCTTACATAAAAAACGCGCGCGTCTTGCGGCAGAAAAGATAATGGGAAATGAGGAGAGTAAAAGACGCCGGCGTCTTGACGCTTTTTTTGAGTGCTTACATAAACTGCGTCTTCCGCCGGCGTCAAGACGCCGGCGTCTTGACGCTTTTTTTGCGTGCTTACATAACTCGCGTCTTCCGCCGGCGTCAAGACGCCGGCGTCTTGCCGCTTTTTTTGAGTGCTTACATAAACTGCGTCTTCCGCCGGCGTCTTGACGCCGGCGTCTCTTTTTTTAATTCAAACATGTTTGAATTTTTTGCGGCAACTTTTAGCGTCTTGATCATTTCTCGGCCAATTCTAATCCGATTTTCAAAATTTAAAAAGATTTTGAAAATTCAATTCATTCTCTATCGATCAATATAAATTTTATATTTTAAAGTTAAATTTTATGGGTTAAAATTGATTTTGAAAAAGGTATACCTTTTGCAAAAAATATTATTTTTTTTCGGCAATATTCGGGTTCGGGATCCGACTTTTTCAAAATTTGAGTTCAGATTCGTACTCAGCATATTTTTTTACCCTAGAAAAACCCTTTTTCTTATTTTTAAACTTTTTTTTTCGCAGGGACCACGATTCTCCGGGATTGCTTTTTTCGATATTTTTGAGATGTCTCATATGTGTGAAAAATTCAGCTTGGTCCCCCCTATGGTTTTTCTATTTTATAGGACCTATATTCGGGCCCGGGAACTTGTTCCAAGTTAGTTCTAGTTCCTTGGATCCCTTGAAATATCCGGATATCACTAAATCCACTTAACTCAATTCAAATTCTCCGATATACACATAAGTCTTCCTTTTCAGCTTTGAGAAATTCGGAGGCCAAGTAACTAGATTTCTTCCTTTTTCAGCGCCGCAGGCGAAAATTTTGAAAAATTTAAAGATCCTTAAGCAAAAGTCTTCCGAAAATCCCGAAAATTAAAAAAAAAGTCCGGGATCCCGAGTCGGGATTTTTTTCTTAACCGATGCCGTGACGTGATCCCGAGGGATAAATCCCGAAAAAATCCCGGATCCCGAATGATCCCGACAATCACAAAAATCCGGGATTACGGGATCCCGGAAAATCCCGTCGGGATCCCGTCCCGCGCCGACCTCTAATTAGAATATTTTACCATGAAGTTGGATCGGTATCATGGCAGGATAAAATGATTTAATATTTTTTGTTCAATTTAATTTCAATAAAATATTTGTTACAAATTTAGTACGCAATTAGTGCTTACATAAAAAACGCAGCTTTTTGCGGAAGACGCTAGGCGTCAAGACGCCGGCGGAAGACGCAGTTTTGTGCTTACATAAAACTAGCGTTTTGACGCTTTGCGTCTTCCCGCTTAGCGGAAGACGCCGATTTTATGTAAGCACGAAACTGCGTCTTCCGCCGGCGTCTTGACGCCGAGCGTCTTCCGCCGGCGTCTTGCGTTTTTTATGTAAGCGTAGCATAATGGGGTTCGAACCTCTGTCATTTTTGGAGGTTGACCAAAAATTATCCGGCTACACCAGAGAATTTAGTTTTGCAAAATTTTCTTGTTTAGTGGCGAGTTTTTGGTGTGATTTGTTTTAATTGAATAGTAAAAAATATTTTTCGTTAGATGGGTCCGAACCTTAGTCACTTTTGGTGGGGGACTAATGTAAGCATTATCCAACTACACTACGGAATTGAAAATGCAAATTTAGCTTATTTTAATGGGTGTTTTCGTCGTGCTTTGTTTTTGGTAGTTGGATTTCATTCCCTATCCTCTGCAAAAAATCGTATCTTATAATGAGGCCTTTTCTAACATTTTCCAACTCTCTCAAACTGTTAACCAGTTTAAAAATTAAAAAAAAACTTTTTTTAAGAAACGCAATTCAATTAAACTACTCAATGTTATGGCAGAAATGCCTAAACGTGAAGGACCTGATGTATTTTTTGCTTTTCCTGGAAAAGCTTCTGCGGTTTTTTTAAATTTTTTATATTTTTTTAATTAATTTTAGGGAATATTCATTCCTCCATTAAATCGTTGGCCACATCAAAATGGATGGACATTTTGTACTTGGTTCAGAATGGATCCGCTAAATAGTGTTTATTTTGAAAGAGAAAAGCCTTTCTTGTTCAAGTTTGTTTTTTATATGTTTTTTGGGGTTTTCGTTTGAAGATTTTTAAGTCCATAAACCACCATAATTAATCTTTTTTCGATGCATAGCAGGCCAGGTTTGCATCTCTCTGTCAAGACATTTTTTAATATTTTTGTCGTGCTATAGGGATGGCCTGGCTACCCGGTCCGAAGAAAATTTTGGAAAGCCCGCTTTTATTGAAAACTCGACCTATTCGTGATGTCTTTGGGTGTCCCATTTTAATAAATTAAAGTTCTTGTTAGTTTTTTCAGTCTAAATTTTTTTGTCCGCAAATATTGTCCGCAAAAAATTCTTTTGTTAAATTTTAAATTTTTTTTCAGTTTTTCAACACCTAAAGGAAATGGATATTTTTCTTATTTTATGGGCTCTTGTTTAGTCTTACGTTGTATTAGAGCGCCTGGAAAAGAAATTATGCGTTGTATAAAATTTGAATTTATGCCTCGTAAATGGTACCATATTGCCTTAACTTTTATTTATTCTCGTTGGTCAAAAGGAGAAATTCATTGTTTTGTTGATGGTTGTTTGGTTGAAGTTATCGATTCTAATTGGTTTGATTTTTTGATTTTTAATTAGTGATTGGCATGGGACGGTCTAAATAATTCTGTGAATGATTTTTTCGGGTCATCTAATTATTTTTGACTGAAAAACCCAAGGGTCGTATTTTGTCAGACTTGAGCAGACCTGATTTACCCCTCTCTGTCAAGACCTTTTCTAGTAAAATTCGTATTTAAAAATTCGATGTTGGAGTGTGCGTCAAACCTCTAGCACCTCTGGTGTTCCTTTGCTGAAAAGTCTACCGTTTATTCAAAAGCAGTCGGACAAGGCTGTAAGGTACGCCCTTAAAACCCCAAAGGTTTGGGACACAATCTATTGTATATCTTTGAGATCCGATCCCTCGATACACCCTTGTGTCTTGCCTAAACTTTACTGTCTATTATGATTTGTATTTAATAATTCGACTATATTTATTTTCTTTTTTATAGGCTAGTTTCTCAAAACGAACATTTTGACCATTGTTATATCGGTTGTGGACATGAAGAAGATGAAGGAGAAGCTTTTAGTGGACAAATGGCTGCAATATATGTTCTTTCACAATCAATAACGCCTCAACAGGCAGCTTGTCTTCACTATTTGGGATCTTCTTATCAGTCACATTTTAAACATAAAAGTGAATCTAATTTACCAGAAAATTATAAAAAGGTTTGGAAATTTTTAATTTTTTTTGAAAAATGTTTTTAAAGTTGTTATTCGATGGAAAATTGAGTGAATCAATTATTTTTTCATATTGTCCGAAAGATTGTCATGGGCAGATGGTTTTGTCACACCCGCCGGTGATTTTTTAAATTTTTTTTTGAATAATTTTGGAATAATTTATATAAAATTTGGAATTGAAAGGAATGACTTGAGCAAGCGATTAGTTTAGTCTGAAAAAAATTTTTTTCGAGAATAAGGATTGATTTTCGGATTCCTGATTTAGGGACGTGAATTTTCAATTCAAAAATGGTTTGACCTATCCTTTTACCCGCACATAAATCTTTTTCTTCATGAACTTTTTTAGTGATTTTATTTTATAATAGGTTTCATATTTATTTTTTGATTTATATTTTGTCCGCAAATATTGTCCGCAAAATCTCTAAAAGAAAAAAAATTAAAAAATTTTTTAACCTTTGGTTTATATTTTCTTCTATTTTTCAGAATACTTCAAAAAATGCTACAAATTCGTATTTTGTTCAAGTTCCTCATGCAATTATGAAAAATGTTTTTTAATAAAATTTAAATTTTAATCATTCTGTTTTTAAAGGGTGTAGAAGTAATAACAACCCATTCAATACATAATTCTTTACATTCTGTTGGTGGTATCCAAATGCTTTTGCCTTTGTTTTCTCAAATTGATATGGCAAAAGAAGAAAATATTGAAGAGGAAATTTGGTTTGAAAATTCTATATTTTTTTACTTTTTGGGATCAAATGTCCAAAAAATTTTTTCTGTTGGATTAAATGTCTGAAAGTTTTAAAAATTAATTTTTTTGGCGGGCACAAATCACTACCTTCTAGCCAAAAAAAATTTTTATTTTCAGTGGGATCAAATGTCGTAAAATTTTGATTCTTTAAATTTTATAGTTCAAAATTACTCACTGTAATTGCTACTTTGCTGGGAACTTCTCTAAATTCTCAACAACAATTTTTACAATGTCGCGGATTTTCTGTCATTTCAAATTTATTGCAAAACTCTTCTAATGTTCATTTAAGTATGAACCTTTTGGAGGTTTCTTTAAATATTTTTTAAATTTTCTAAAAAATATTTTAGACATTTATTTCAATGTCTAAAGCTTTTGCGAATTTTAATAATGGATTGCCTTTACTTAAACAATTGGTAGAAAGTGTTTTTCTTGCATCACATTTGTGGTTGAAAGCTGAACCTTTAGTTTGTTTTTTAAATTTATAATTTAAATTAGGTTTACGATCAGCTTTGGGACGGTTCACGGTGTGATTGTTCGATTTTCAAGTAATCACCATGCTGGGTATGACCGTAAGAGAGAGAGAGTTCCGGAGTCGGTTTTGGTGGCGCTGGGCTTTGGCATTTTGTGATTCTGCCGCAAACGACTCCGTAAGTAGATCTTATGGTCAAACCCCTCAGCACTGGTGATTACTTGAAAATTCTCTCCAAAGATTTGAGTAAAAATGAGGAGAGACTGGTTAATAACCAATCATCCATTCTGTAGTTGAATCCTTAAAAATTTGTTTGGGTATTTTCTGAAATTAAGACACTTTTTTTGTCTTTTTTAAATTCTTTATTCTCAAAAAGGTCCAAGTTCGTTTATATACATTTTTGGCAAATGAATTCTTTTCAAATATTGATTTATTACAAATTGTCCGTCGAACACAAACTGTTGTTATTTTAATGAATACTTTGAAAAAATATTGGATAACATTGCCATATGGATATATTGAAGAAGAAGGAGAGGAAGATGGGGAAAATAATGCTCAAAATAAATCTCCTGCAAGAACTAATAATACAAATTTTGATCGTTCAGCAATTGTACATGTCCGTACTTGCATATTAAAATTAGTTTACAATTTTACTTTTTTGTGTTGTGAAGGAAGTGAAGAAAGGGATGATGAATTACAATGCATTTTTAATTTTATTGCTACGACTAATGAGGTTTTTTGGGAAATTTTTTTATTTTTGGGGAATTTTTGGGAGGTTGATGAGTGGGAAGAAGGTGGGGAAGATTTTTTAATATTTTAGTAGCGAATGGGGGACTGGAAATACATGTTTGTTGTCAAAGTTTTTTGGAATCAAGGAGCAGAGACTTGGAAAATTTATTTTTTATCGGAATGGAAGATATTTAATATTCTAGTAGCGATAGGGAGAAATAGATTTGACAATACATTTTTGTTGTAAAATTTTTGAAATCTAGGAGAAGATACTAGGAAAATTTATTTTTTTTTATCGGAATCGAGGGGAGGGGGAAATTTTGTTAAAACGATTTTTTACTATTCTTCGTTGACTGGATACACCTTTTGGTTACTGAATATTAAAAAAATATTTTTTTCAGGATGACAATCTTTACGATGTCTTAACTCAAACTATGCAACAAATATCTGATCATCCTGCAATTTTGGTTTTTATTTTAATTAAGTTTGAATAATTTGTTTTATTTTCAAAGGTTCCTGCATTTGACAAAAAGAAAGTTATTTGTATTATTTTTAATTTAATTAGTTCGCCTAATGAATTGATAAAAATACCAGCTTTGAAAATGTTTGGATATTATTTATGCAGATCTACACAAAAGTTTGTTTGATTATTAATCTTTTTTGGTTCACCTTTCTAGGATTTGTGTTTGGTAAAATAATTTTCGAATCCGGGGACCGAATTTTGGATTTCCATGCCGAGCGAGTTTTTTGCATTTTTTTCGAATTACTCGGGAAAAAAACAGGATTTGAGACTGATTCGAGAAAAACCTGGTCGGATCCGGTCCTGTGCGGGCAAGTTATCATCCGTCGCCCTTTCCTAACATTCTTTTTGTTTTTGTTTTTCTTTTTATTTTTATACCAAAATATATTGACAAATGAAACCTAATTATTTTTTACGACATTTTACGAATTTGTGTTCTTAGAAAACTTTTGAGGCTTATTTTGGACAAACGGCATTTACTCTAATTAAATTTCAAAATTTTTGGTGGTTTTTGAATAGGGGATCATTTTTTTATTATTTTTAAATCGTAAATTTTTTTATTATTTTTAGACGTAAAAACGAATCAATCAATCAACGGAATTTATTTCACTTATTAACCGATAAATTAATGCTCAATTGCCATTCTCTTTCACTAGCAACTTACAACGCTTTATTCGAAATTTTGGTAGAATTAGTTTGTCCAGAAATTTTATTTGTAAAGCATGAAGAATTGCCAATAGAAAATACAAGATTTGAAAATCCTCAAATTTTAAAAGTTGTTGCACAGTTGCTAATTCAAAGCGAAGAATCAAGTGAAACATTGAGAGTCAAAAAGATTTTTCTTCAAGATTTGATAAGACATTGCAAAGATTGTAGAGAAAATAGAAGGTTTCTTTTTAAATAATTTTTATGGGGGGGGGGGGGGGGGTTTGATATTTTTAAAAATTCTTTTGAACATGAAAAAAATTTTATGGGTGTTGATTTAGATGGGAGATATCGTTTGAGCGGCTTCCCTGTTCAATTGCCAACCTAATTTTACCAAACTTGTCTTAATTTGTAGGATACAAGGGCGTAGTTACTTTTCTGATCATTTCCCTCCTAAAATTTTTTCAGAGGGTGGGGCTATAGCCCTAGAAGCGCCCCTCCCCTGGCTACGTCTTGGTGGGATATTTTTTATGTGTTAGGTTTTAGAACATATTTTCAAAATCAAATCCGGTTTCCATATTTTCTTTGGGTCGGATTTTGGGCGAAAAAATTTCGGGTTTTGAGACCCTTGTCTCTGGTGCCAAGTATTATGTGTATCTAAAATGAAGGTTGACTGTGATTACTAATTTATTTTTTTAAAGAATAATACTTCAAATGAGCGTTTGGCAAGAATGGCTAATTTCTCTGTCTTATATTTATCCGGAAAATGAAGAGCAAAAAAATGTTTCTGAACTTGTTTTTCAACTTTTCTCAATTCTTTTATTTCATGCTATACGTTTAGAATATGGTGGTTGGAGAGTTTGGGTATTTTTTAAAATTTTGTTACAAATTTTTTCAATAAAGGGTGGGAATTTTCCTGAAATTTTTTTAAATTTTGGGTTCTTTTCCAAAATCCGCAAGTTTTGCCTGCAAAAATTTGTCTGAAAATTTTTTGAAATATTTTTGTTATTGCCTTTTAAGTAACGTTATCCATAGATTTTTTTTATTTTATAATTTTCAAAAAAGGTCGATACAATGGCAATAGCTCATTCAAAAGTTTCATGGCAAAAATATCGCAAAAATTTGACACAAAAACAAGAAGAAGATGCTCGCAAAAAATTGGGAGAAAATATTAATTCAAATGATCAATTATCTTCTTCTGGTGGTGGAGTATCATCACTTTATAGAACCCCAGATTTTGTTTGGTCTCAAGTACAAATTCAATTTTTAAATGATTTATTGATGTTAATACAAGCTGTGGTACAGGAATGGAAAGAGTATTTTTTTGAAAAATTTTTTTGTAAAATTTTTTTAAACATTTTTAAGTTCACCCAGTCCAATTGCTGACTATTTAAATAATTCGGATAATCATGTAAATTAATTTTTTTAATTATTATTTTTTAAACAAAATAGGTGTCTACTTATTAGGTCGTTGTGAGGGAGGGAGTTTTAGTGAATAAATTAATTTAGGTTTAAAAATTTTACTTCGATAAAATTTTGTGTCCTTTTTAACGCGTGGGCTGATTCATAAAAAACATTTTTTCTTCCATCTTTTCCGAAGAAATTTTCTTTTGATTTTAGATTAATAGTATATGACTTTTAGATTGACTCTTTTTGGGGGTTAACAATAAGTTCCTTATTTTAAAAAATTTATTTTTCAGGTTTTCATAACCAATACAGTTCATATATTTTCCCAACTTGCTGACAGTTTAGTAATGGCTTGTGGAGGTTTATTTTAATTTAAAAAATTTTTGAAAAATCAATTTTTTCAGGTCTTTTACCATTGCTTGCAGCAGCAACAGCGCCAACGGTTAATTTAATAATTCTTTTTCTCTTAATTTTTTTTAATTAAAGAGTGAATTAGAGCTTTTTGATACAACCCAACAAGAATTAGATATTTCTGATGCTGCTTATTTTTTGGAAATTTTTGCAGAAATTGCTGATGTTTTTATCTTTACTTCTCCACTTACACTTAATGAATTGGAACAAGAAAAAAATATGCCAGCTGGAGGAATTTTGAGACAAGCACTTAGATTATGTAAATATTATTTTTATTTTTTCAAATTTGAAAATTAGGAAGGTTTGGGATTTTGTTTGTCAAATTAATATACTGTCAGGCACACTTCATTTTTAGATGCCGCAACAATTTTGCACTTTGGACTCTATTTAATGTAGCCTTCATTATAAGAGACAATTTTTTGAGCTTTAAGGGGATATTTAAAAATGAAACAAAGTTTCTAAAAATTGAATTCGATCGTTGACATTTGTTATTTTGACTTTTGGTTGTCAAAAATTAAATTTGATCCCAATTTGAATTCTCTTAAGCAATATTTTTAAAATTTTTCAGCAGCAACATCGGCAGTTCGAGGAATTTTATCAAGTATTTTAAGCAACAATGAATCTATATTTGGATCAGAAATTAATTCCACAAAATATGAAGCAATTAGAAACTTTATTAAAAATAAGTCAACAAATGTGGAATTTAAAGATCAATTGCTACAAACAATGGATTTGCAACGTCTAAAAAATTTAATTTATAGAGATATGGTTTGTGAGAACTCTTTTTAATTAAAAAAAATTTTTTTGACACTGACATTTGTCAAAAAAATTTTTTTTGAAAATTTTTTTGACACTTTGACATATGTGATTTTCTAAAAAATTTTATATTTATGAAATTTTTTATTAAAAAAAATTTTTTTAATTTTAAAGGAAGAAGTAAAACAAGCACAATTTTTGGCCCTTTCTATTGTCTATTTTTTGTCAGTTTTAATGGTTTCTCGTTATAGAGATATTCTTGAACCTCCACCACAACAACAGATAAATTCAGGAGGAGTAGTTAATTCTGCAAATAATTTAAAGAATAATTCGGTGAATGATGGAAAGCAATCTGGTAAATTTTGAAAAAATTTTTCAAATTGGGATAAAATGTCCAACAATTTTTTTTTTGCAAAATTTCAAGTATTTAAAGCAGGAATCCTTTCGTTATTATTTCAGAAATTGAAAATTTTTTGTATGTTGGCGGTAAATTTTTTTCGGAAGGATTTTTGCATTTAAGTGACCGGCGCCGGACCGGACTTCGGCCGGATTTTCCGAATTCAGGGTCCCAAATTCGGGGTTTTTTTGAAATTTCCGGACTAAAACCGGACCGGATTTATTCGGAAAAATTTGACCGGATCTGGTCCGGCATGAGTGTGAAATCCAAAATCCGGTTTCCGGGCCTGGAAAAATTATTTGCCGTTCACTATTTATTTTTGCTAATCAAGGATGAAATGTCTATCTAAAATTTCAAAAAAAAAATTTTTTTCCTAGTAACCAAAGAACTTGCCAAATTAAATTCAATATCAGAAGAAGATAAAAATGAAGATGAAAATCATTTGAATAATGAAAATGAGGACGAAAAAGAAGATGAAGTTGAAGAAGAAAGTGTTGATGAAATAAATTCTAATAAAATGTATGAGGAAGGAAATGAAGAAAAAGCCAATAATGAAGTAGTTAAACAGATTTCATCAATTCAGTTAAATGAAAATTCTAATGAAACGAATAATAATAAGGATGAAAATTCGGATACAAATAAATATGAACCTCATCATTTGACTAGGTAAAAAATTATTTTAAATTTGTTTGCAAAAAAATTTGCGGACAGAAATTTTGTCCGCAAAAAATTCGCGGACGTCCGCAAAAAATTTTTTGTTCGCAAAATTTTTTGTTTTAATTTAAAAAATATTTTGATATTTTTCAAGTTTAAATCGACCCGATTTGGTTCTCTCATCAAATGAAAATTCTATTGAAAGAAGACGTTATCTTACAGATAAATTACAAAAATCAATAGAACCTGTAATTCCTTTATTCCGAGAAATTTTGTGTGATTTTCGTTCCTTTCTTCAAAAAACGTTATTGGGAACACATGGACAAGAAATTATGAATGATGTTAGAGGTTTTTTTTTGTTTTTGGAATTTTTAAAAATTTTTTTTAATTTTTAAAGTTATGCACACACTTAAAAATGGTAGTGTAATAGAAATTGTAATGCTTTTGTGTTCACAAGAATGGCAAACTTCGCTTCAAAAGCATTCTGGTTTAGCATTTATAGAGCTGGTTAATGAAGGTTTGTTAAAAATTTTTTTGAAAAAAAATTTCTGGGAAGAGTTTTTTTTTAATTTTCAACTGGGTTGATCACTACCGTTTACTAAACGGTACCTCTCGGTTTTAGGTTATGTCCTGCTTTCGACCCGCTTGATTTCGATTTGGGCAACATTCCGTAAATAACCCTAAATCTGCACGTTTGGGATTTTGTGTCTTTTCCTGTTTCCAGTTCCTAGAACATTTTTCTTAACACTGTTAGGAGGGAGCTCTGCTTATTTTTAGGTAATTTTCTAGTCACTTAACATCCTAACTAAATAATTATTTCAATAAAAAAATAATTTTTTTATTAGGTCGTTTAATGGCTCATGCTACGCGAGATCATATTTTGCGTGTTGCAAATGAAGCAGATTTTATTTTAAATAGACTTAGAGCTGAAGATGTTAGTAAACATGCACAGTTTGAGGTTTCTTTTTAAATTTTTCTTTTGAACATTAAAAAATTTTTAATTTTTAGAGTGAAGTAAATGATCAATTACAGCATAGAAAAACAGAAGAACAACTTTCTAATCAATTAATAATTTCTGCTAGACGTAGAGAATTTATACAATCAACTAAATTTTTGGAAAAAATTGTAAATATATTAACAAGTCCAACAGGCGCTTGGTATTCTGATTTGCAAAAAAATATGTAAGAGAATTTTTTTTAATTTTTTAGGGTGTGAGAATTTTTTTTAAATTTGGATTTTGGTTATTTTTTGGATTAGAAATAGGATTGATATTTAAATTTAAGAATATGGTTCTGCTCCTTTTTTGACTCCAAAAGTCTACAAGTTTTATCCGTATTTGCTCTACTGTTTTTTTGATTTCTAGAAAAACTGATTTTTTAATCTTTATATTTGTTCATCTATATTAAGTTAGCACAAACCCGGTAAACCGCCCGGTTAATCTTTCCCTGTGGCGGATCTTTTTCTCACTGCTCTTCTTTCCTCTCTTTTTGATCCGCTTCAGGGAAGAATTAACCGGGTGCTTAATCGGTGTTGTGCTGCTCTAGTTTATATATGTAGCAGTGATTTACGGATTTCCTAAATACCGGATACCTCAATCCGAAACCCTGACAATTTTTCGATCAGAAATCTTATTCGGATTTGAAATGTGTGAGAATTTTTTACCTGTGATATTTCTACTATATATAGGAGCAAAATTTTTTACAAAATCCAAGCTAGAATTAAATAGAAAGATTGCGGATAAAATTTGCGGACTTTCGGGATCATGAGAAGATGAATAATTAAAAAATATATTTTTATTAATTAAAATTTTTTAGGCCAAAATTTGAAAAATTGGATGTTTGGGAAGATGATTCACGTATGAGAAGACGTTTTGTACACAATCCTTATGGTCAACGTCATTCAATATCTTCAAATGAAAAAACAAAAAATTTGGAAGAAGAAAAAAATAAAATTAAAAAAGATGAAGATTTAAATAAATTATTAAAAGATTTGGCAAGAAAAATGATAGCATCTGGTGGTGTTTCTAAAACAAATAATATATTGCAACAATTTGTTGATGAAACAGAAATTGAGAGATTAATTAGAGAAGAAGAGAATAGTAATAGTGTTAATGCTTCTACTACTAACAATGCTGCTTCTGAAAATAAAAATGGTAAAATCAGAATTTTTTGTATTTTATTATAAATCAGAATATTTCATTAACCGTCAGAATATAAAATCAGAATTTTTGTATTTTTGTATTTTCTCTTAAAAAGTGTAATTTCCTAGAGGAAAATCAGAATTTTTGTTTATTACAAGTCAGCATATCCCATAACACAAAAAACCAGAATTCAATGAATTCTGGTTTAAAAATTCTGATTTTTTCTTTAATTCATCAGAATACTGGTTTTAAAATTATGATTTTTTCATTAATTCATCAGAATTCTGGTTTTAAAATTCTGATTTTTTTCTTCTGGAATCCATCAGAATTCTGGTTTAAAAATTCTGTTTTTGTTTCTAATGGTTAATGGGATATTCTGATTTATAAAAAAGAACTTCTGATTTTTCCAGAATTACTTTAGTAATCTAGAAGATTTTTCCTTGGTTCTAGTTTTAAAAAATCGGAATTAAATCAGAATTTTTTCTAAAAAATCAGAATTCCTATTTAACTTTTAATTAAATTAAAAAATAGTTTATTCTGATTTTCAATTAATTTATTTATTTGCAGGTCAATCAACCTTCAGCACCTTTGCTAAACTAATAGCCCCAGGCGTTATCGTTCCAGGTAATTTATACATTAAATTAAAATTTTTTGTATAATAATTTTACATTATATATTTTTTAAAGGAACAATTACATTAACCGGTTCTGATTTGTATTTTGATGCTGATGAAGATGACCAATCATTTAAACAAAATTTACAGGTGGGGGAAAATAATTTTTTTTTGTTTTGAAAAAATTTTTTTGGAGGTCGAGAAAGTTGAGATTATTTTTTAGTTTTGGGTTGTTGAGTAAATTTGGGAAATTTTAATTTTTGGGGGTTAACCAGCGCGCGAAAAAAATTTTTTTTTTCTAAATTGTTAACACGACTTTATTTTTTTTCTAAATATTAGAGAGAAGGGGGGAAAATATTTTGAGGGATATTTCTATTTCCTTTCCTCTATATTAAGTATATAATTTTTGTGTGCATTTTTGGGTAAATTATATTTGACGGATATTTGGGTTGACGTCCTCATGTCAAAAGATGTCATTCTTCTCTCTCTTACTCTATTTAGGAGAAAAAGATTTTAAATACTATTAGAGGTTGAAGAGTTTCTTTTTAAGATTTTAAAGTAAAAATAGCCTTTTCATACCATCTTTTCTTTTCTATAAATTCTTTTTCTTCTAATTGGCGGCCTTCATTTTCTCTTGAGTCATCTTAAATTTTGTCTTTTTTTTGTTGTTGATATTTTTCTTGATTTTGTATAGTTTTTTTGGAACAAGTTATCTCGTTTTTTTCTTGGTTGTTGCTTTTTTACGTATTAGCAGTCTATTAACTTGTTTAATTTATTAAGAGACTAGAAAAATATTTACAAAATTATTTAAATGTAGTAAATAACAAGATTAAGAAATGCTATATAATACAGTCACACTTATAAAAATAAAAGCTGATAACGAAATTTTTAATTAATGGGGGAATAGAGTTGTTGGCTCTTGGAAAATCTTTTGGATACCTTGGAGCTGGACCAAAAAATCCTCGGTACTTCGGGTGTTTGTCTTTGGTTGACTGTAATATATAATTTGAATAAGAAGAACAAAAAATAAAATAATCCCAATTTATTAATATTAACGAATTTGTCTTCTTCTTTGGCTATAATCTCTCTAAAGACTTTACATCCAACATTAATTGTCTCACTAATGCCCAGACAGCTTTTGCACTTTCATCTAACGATTTTGTTGACTTTCCTCTTAATAAATCTAAATGAGGTAAAAAGAAATGTGGGCATCGTCGACATTGTAAACAGCTAACTAATTGAAGTAGAATTCCTTTAAGAAAAAAATTTTTTGATTGAGATTTTAAGTAAAATTGGGAGCCAGACATACCGGGACGTACATATTGGGATTGTGGTGACAAAAATAACTTTTGCAATATTTACGTTAGTTTTGAAACAAAACTTCTCTTCAATAGGGCAATATACTAGTGCGGCTTTAGGCTAGGATCCAGAGACTTTAGGCCATGAAACTGGTATTATCGCTGTTCGTATATTGAAATATCGCTATCTTTCCGTCCCTCTACGTCTGGATCCCAAAAGATTTTTATTCGAACCAATAAGTCTATCTCCAATACAAAAATCATGCCATTCATTATCACTATAATGTTTTTCGCATTCATAAAGTACCAAATTTTTAATCAAATAATTTGTAACACTTGACCCAGCAAAATTTAAATGTCTATCTCTCAAAGTTTTTAAAATTGAAAAGACACGTCCTCTATTAATATGTTCAAGTAATATTTGTTCTGCTTGTGTCATACTAATCATCCAAGCATCACCTTCCATCATACTACTACTGCTTGAATTTGTTGTTATTGTTGTTGTATTTAATTGTTGGGATTGGGGCTGTTGTAATAATATTTGGTTATGTTGTTGTTTATTTGTTATTGTTGTAGTTGTTGAGGAAGAAGAAATTGGCCATATATCTTTACTTAAAAGATTAAATCCTTCAATTCTAACTTCTTTTGCTACTTCAGCACTAGGCCATTGTATTTGGGGACTTGGCCAATGATTTGCTGAACGAGGCCAAATCCCGTTGCATCGAAAGGCGCAAGTTAGCTGAAATCAGCAATTTTGATTCTGAAAATTTCTATGAACCTGAACAATATATTTTCCATAAACTAAAAGTTTAACATCATTCCCCTCTTGTAAAAATTTACATTTTTCATTAAATGGAGGTTTTTCTATTGTTTGTGTAACAAGTGTTTGAAATCGAGAACGTATCTTTCTTGCAGATAAATATCCACTTGCAGTAATAAATTCAACCCATAGAGACATTGATCTCTTACGTCCATCACTCAATTTTAAAACGGCACAACCAGGAATTGATCCATCATCAACAAAATTAAAAACTCCCATCTTAAAAAGTTGAGAGATTTTTTTTATACGAAGGCATGGCTTCTGTGGTACGACTTCCCCGTTGAACTTAGTTGTGAGGTTGATCGTAGTGGGCGGCTCGGAACTGGGATAGATCCGCAGCTAAATTTTTGAGTGTGGAGGGGATATCGTTCGCTCTGTCCCCTTTAAATCAAGCTTATTATGCCTATAGTTTCTTTGTGTTGGCAAAAACTAAATATTAATTTTACTTGGTTGAGATATAGTATAACTTCAAATTCATTTGACGAATGGACTTCTAACTTTAAAATAATTTAATTTTTTGATCCAAAAATTTTTTCTATGTCTACTTACTCCTTCAAATAAGCCATCATTCTTTTGAATAAACGTTGAGATGAATCGGGGTTCCTAAAAATTTGATTTTGAGATTTTTTCGTGGGTTTTGGCGATGAGATGACTCTCTTTTAATCTCTCTTCTCTTTATTTGAAAAACTAACCAAATGCTCAACATTTTTAAGTACATCCTGAATTACTTCACTAACTAGAATTATAGCTTTTTGTATTTCCATTTTTCGGGCTTGGACTTTATCATTAATAAATAAATTAATTTGTTGATAACAAGCTGCGTTCTGACAAAGCATTTTTTTATTTTACTGCTAATTGTAAGATTAAAGAAAAAATTTTTAAATTTGAATAGAGATCGGACTGTGAGGTCGTACGAGAATCGTATAAGAAGTAATCCAGATCTCGCTAACCGAGATCTATAGGTTCGAACTTTCGTACCGGTCCGATTGCTAGTTTAGAATGAGCTGACATAAAACAATTAGAATGAGCTATTAGGGTGTGTCATAAGTTCGCGTTCACTTTGATTTAAAAATTAAAATGGCATTATTATGATCAATCGAAGGCTTAATCAGAATCTAGTTTGACATGTTTGAGCGTTTTTCTCAAAAGTCAAAATTTGCCAAGCTATTAGGGATTTTGCTATTAGGGATATTTGGGAGCTATTAGGGATATTTGGGACTCCCCCTAATCTAATAAAATTTAACGTGAAAGATTTTTGTGTTTTAGGATTTTTAAAATTAAAAAAATTGTTTGTCCTAAGTCATAATTTTTTAACCATGTTAAAAAGCTTGCTTATATTAAATTTAAAAAAACACGGAAATTAAATATAGATAGATATAACAAAAATTATATACAAAATAATTAATTAATCATTATTTTTTTCTCTTTTTTTTTTGAGTAGTGCGCGACGCTATAATTAAAAATAACACATTTATCAATAATTAATAAACCGCAAAAAAAGTATTATTTTTTGACATTAAAAAGGGTGGAATATTATATTATTTTTAGCGAATAATTGTGAAAATGAATTTTATTTTTGTGTGAAAAAAATGGGAAAAAATTGAGAAAACTTGGCGAGTAAAATTGTTTTTGGAAATGGGCAGGCGTTAAAATTTTAGAGTAAAAATGGAAAAAGGAAAAATAAAAGGGGGAGGAAAGTAAAGAGGGGCGCACTGTAGTATCATTTAGGTAGTTGAAAATTGAATTAGCGAGAAGTAAAAATTTTTTTCTTAAAAAGTTGGCCCCGCCCAATTTGATTTTTGTAATTTAATTAAGGAAAAATATTTTTCTGTAAAAATTTTGAAAAAATAGGTTTGCAAAAAGTTTTTTAAGGTTTATAAGGGTGTAGCAACATTTGCGGACTGAATTTGCGGACAATCACTAAAACACCCACATATTAGGTCGAGTATTAAAAAAGAGTTTTCTATGTTGCCAAAATAGATGGACATGAATAGCTTGCGACAAAAATTATATTTTCCAGAATCCTGAAGCCAGTTTTTAAATTTTATGCTTATCCAGGACCGGATCCTGTGGATTTTTCTAAATTAATTCGGCCCGGTTTTATTTCGATAAAAATTTTTGATCACTCCCACCTGACCAAATAACTGCTTATAATTCCATTTTCTTAAAGTCCGCAAATTTTTATCCGCAAATGTTAATCCACAAATTTTCTCTGAACTTATAAACTAATATATTGTTATTATTAATATATCATCAATTGATCGGTTATATAAATTCTCCGACTGGTTAATGATTGTGGGTGTGTATTGTTTTAATTTATATTAGGTGTAGAAGGAAAAAAACAATCGACAATTGTTTTCTTAAAAAAGTTAATTTTTATTGACACATTTTTGAGAAATGAGTAAGAGAAAGGTTAAGGTAAAAAAAAGTTGGTGGATTTTAGTATAATAATAAAATTATGAAAGATTAATTTTAGGGAGAGTTTATTTTTTGGAATTTATGTTATTTTAAAAATTGCTATAGAGGGAGATAGGACGGATAAGACAGAAGAGATCACCCTTTTCTCAAGGACTTCCAGTTTCCGGGGATAAGTGCTCCATTCCTCTGCAGTGGAGGATTCCCCCGGAGTCCCCATCCCTTTTGATTGATCATCAAATCATGTTTCCTTTGTACTAAGTAATAAAGGAGATCTAGCTGTCTATCATGTAAACGCTTACTAGGGGGAGTTTATGACCTCATTAAAAAATAAGGCAAACTCGCGCCTTGAGTAGCTGCTAAGTCGCTAGTGCATTTGGCGTGTTGAGCAAGAGCACCTAGCATGACTGCCAGGAGGTCACAGAATCTATGCCTACCAGAAGCGAAACTTTTTCCTTTTTTAATTTTATATGAAAATTTTTTAGAGTCTCCAATATTGTGACAATTTACACCATTCCCGATGGAATTTTCAAGAAATTCGTGCAATTTTCCTTCGTCGATTTTTACTTCAATATACATCGTTGGAATTATTTTTGGATTCGAGAAGTTTGTTTTTAAAATTTTTTATAAGAAAAAAAATAATTTTTTAAAGCTGCTATAATGTTTGCTTTCCGCGATATGGAAACTGTTCAACGTGTTGTTTCTTTATTGCCTCCTGTTGGTGTTGGAGTTAAATATGGATTACCTCAAAGTAGAAAATCGAGTTTAATGACTCCATGGCAATTATTTAAGCATTCTAATATGCCTCAGGTTTTTTTATAAAAATTAATTTATACGACTTCACAGTAGTGAGGGATGGGTTAATCGCATTCGGGTTTTCTTCCGGTTTGAGAACCGATCCGAGGAGAATTTTTGAAAGCCTGACCCCAAGAAACTCGCGCTGAAAAAATTTTGAAGACCTGACCCTAACCCGTCTCGATTTTTTTTAGTCCGCCCTATCCAGGCTTTACAAAATTTTTAGGAGATAAATTTGGACTTTATTTATATATGGGACTAAACATCTTAAATCGAATTTTTCGGGCACCTAATTTTTTTCGTGGGCTTTCCCAACCTATTGACCAGCCAAATCTTAAAAGACGATTAGTTGTTCCTTTTATTTGATATCCCTTATAATGAGTCCGGCTGGTTATCCAAATCAGCTTTTAAAATTTACTTTATAAAATTTTATTTTTCAAAAAAAAAATTTTTTTTTCTAGAAATGGCAACAAAGAGAAATATCTAATTTTGATTATCTCATGTTTTTAAACACAATAGCTGGCCGTACTTATAATGATTTAAATCAATATCCAGTCTTTCCTTGGATTTTAAGCAATTATTCTTCTGGTTTTCTTTTTATTTTTAAATTTGATTTTTTATAATTTATTATTTTAGAAAATATTGATCTAAATGATGCAGCAAATTTTAGAGATTTGTCCAAGGTTTCTTTTTAATTTTTTCTTGTTGGAATACGGGCTTCTTTTTTTGCGAATTTTCCCCTTATCCCCTTTTCACTTCTTATTTGGGTTTTTGTACTTGATAATTATTATTCTGGCTTTTTATGGTGGCAGTACGTTTTAGAAATAGGGTCTTTTCCGTTTTTTGCGGATTTCGCCTTTTTGGTCTTTCCACTTCCGTATTCCGCTTTCTGAAGTGCACAAAGCTTATCTCTTTTTGTATATTAAATTTGTTGACTTTTTTGCGTTGTTCTGTATTTGTCAGCAAGTTTTTTTGCAGCTAAAATTACTAGAAAAAATCCTTAAAAAAGCCTCCTACATATCTTTCTTTTCACCTTTACCAATCTTTTAAAATTAATTTTAAATTTTTCTCTAGCCAATTGGTGCATTATCCGAAACACGAAAAAAATTATTTAAAGAACGTTTTAATAATTGGGATGATCCAGAAATTCCACCATTTCATTATGGAACACACTATTCAAATGCAGCATTTGTTCTAAATTGGTTATTTCGTTTAGAGCCTTTTACAACATTTTATTTACAATTAAATGATGGCAAAATTTTTGAAAATGTCAATTCAAATCGCCTATTTCATTCAATTGAAGAAACTTGGGAACATTGTTTAACTGATACACATGATGTAAAAGAATTGATTCCAGAATTATTTTATTTGACAGAAATGTTTTTGTGGAATGAAAATAATTGTGAGGAAGAGAAGAATTTGGGAATTAGAGAAGATGGAAATAAAATTGGGAATGTTGTTTTACCTAAATGGGCTAATGGAAAAGCTGAAGAATTTGTTAAAATACATAGAAAGGCTTTGGAAAGTGATTTGGGTTAGTTTTGAATTTTTTTAAAAAATTTTTTGGATTTATTTGGGATTTTTGCGGATTTTTGTAATTTTTGCGGATTTCCGGATTTTTTGGGGATTTTTGCGAATTTTTGCGGATTTTTGGATTTTTGCGGATTTTTGGGATTTTTGCGGATTTTTGGGATTTTTATGCGGATTTTTTTAATTTATGAATTTAATTAAACCTTATAAGTCCAGTGAACCATTACGAGTCCACGGAATATTTATGATTCTATTAAAAACATCTCTCCACTCAAATTGGACAGTAAAGGTCTATTGGACTCAAACTAGACCAGAACCTAATTTTGTAAAATTTTTGCGGACAGTTTTTGCGGACTTTCTGAATTTTGTGAATGAATGTAATGTAAACTAATACTATTTTATTTAGAAAAAGACAAGAAAAAGTCCGAAAAAAATATTTTTCTTTACCTTACAAATTTTGGAGGAATCAAAAAATTTTCTTTTAATTTTTCAGTTTCTTGTCAACTAAATCAATGGATTGATTTAATTTTTGGTTATAAACAACGTGGAGCTGAAGCGGTTTAGTTTTTTTTCTAATTTATAATTTTTATTTTTAAATTTAGATTCGTGCATTAAATACTTTTTATTATTTAACTTATGAGGGTGCATTTAATTTACGTTCAATAGAAAATGCTGCTTTGAGGGAAAGTATACAACAACAAATATTAAATTTTGGACAAACTCCGGCACAATTGCTAAATGAACCACATCCACCTAGACATTCTATAATGACTATGGTTTGTTTTAAAAGAAAATTTTTTTTAATTTTTTTTTTTGAAAACCAATTTATAATTTGGGAATTTTTTTTGGATTTTCCCTTATCTTTTAATTTCAAAACAATTAAATAATTAATTCTTGAGTGAAATATGGGTTGTTAAAAACGATTCTACGAAATAGTTGTTTATGGTATAATGGATAGGAGTCTAGACTACGGTTGGTGAGGGTCGTGGGTTCGAACACTTTAGTTGGAAATAATTTTTATTTTGATCAAAAAAATATTTTTATTTAATTTTGATAATAATAAATTGTCTAAAAAATTTTTTTCAATAATTTTTGCAGAGCCCTCTAATTTTCAAAACTTGCCCTAATGATCTTTGTATGATTATGAAATTTATTTCAAATAGTCCAGTTGTGCATATTACTGCAAATACTTTTCAACAAGTCGATAATCCAACATTAAGTTTGTTTTTTGTTTATAAATTGAACTTTAATAAAAAAATTTTTTAAAGTAACTATTGCACAAAATTTGGTGTTTGCTTTGAATCGTTGGAATCCAAATTATAATCGTTTGTTTTTTGAATTTGTATTTTTTTGGTTTTTTGCGGATAATTTTTGCGGATTTTTTTTGCGGATTTTTTTTAATTTTGGTTGGGTTTTTTTTTTTAGAAATTTTCGGTTTTAAAATATTTTTAGGATACATATAGATATGAGGCTCTTGCGAAAATGACGATTTTTTTAATTAAAAGAAAAAGTCCGCAAAAATTTGTCCGCAAAAACATTTTGCGGATTTGCTTAAAAAATATTTTTTATATAATTTTAATAAAATATTTTTAATTTTAGAACCTTCTAAACAACATTCATCTACAGTTGTACCTCCTTTTGATGCAGAAAAAAATGAAAATAATAAAAATAATAATGCTACGTCATCATCATCCACTTCCTCAGTCAATCAACAATTAGATACTTCTATTTCACCATCAGAACTTCCAATAACAGTAGATCCTCTACTTGCAGTTGGAAATCCATCACAAAAATTGCCTAAAAGACATTTGGGTTTGATTTTTAATAAAAAATTTTTTAATGAAAAATCCGCAAATTTTATCCGCAAAAATTTTTGCGGACAAAAAAATTTTTTGCGGATTTTTTTCATTTTTTAAATTCATTTTTTAATTTTTTTCTTTTATTATAAAGGCGATTCTTTTGATCAAAGATTGCAAATAACCTCAGCCAATTTTGTTTGTTCAGTAGACAGTAAATATATAATTGCTTGTGGATATACAGATTATAGTTTTAGAATTATAGAAACTGAAAATGGTATTTTTTTATTTTTATGTTTAAAAAATTTTCCCATTCGAAAATTATTGAAAATTAATTTAGATTTTGTGGGGTGGTAAAAATAAGTCTAAATTATCAAAGTTATAAAGGTGACATTAATATCGTTTGGTGTAGTTGGGTAACTGCTTAGTTTTGTGTTAGGTCATGGTGTGGGTTCGTGCCCTTTTGCTTGAATTAATTTTTTTCTTAATGAAAAAATGTTTTTAAATATTTATTGTAATTTTAACTTAAGGTCTACTGATTTATCTGATAGTTTTCTGTTACTAATAGGCGAAGGATAAAATTTTTTAAAAATATGGTGTAGTGGTTAACCGCTTAGTTTTCTGTTGGCATTAGTTGAGGGTTCGAACCCTTTTAATGAAATTAATTTTTATTTTAATGAAAAAATATTTTTATTTAATTTTTTAGTTAAAAGATTGATTTAAAATTAAAAAAATATTTTTTTTAATTTTTGAAAAATTAATTTTAGCACAAGTTAGACAAGTAATTTATGGCCATGGAGATGTTGTAACATGTTTAGCACGTTCAGAAACTACACTTTTTGCTGATAGTTATATAGCTTCGGGAAGTGCTGATTGTACAGTTGTTTTGTGGCATTTTAGTCAAAATACTGGGACTATAGCTGGAGAATTTAATTCTGTTGGGGAATTGCCTGTACCGAGAGCTATATTGACTGGGCATGAAGCTGTTATTACAGGTTTATTTTTTTTGAGAGGGGGAAGTTTTTTAAATTAATTTTAATTTTAGCAATAACTGTGTCTGCTGAACATGGGCTTGTTATTTCTGGAGCAAAAGGTTTATTTTTGTTTCATTAAAAAATTTTTTTTTGAAAGGGATAGTTTTAGTTTTTTTGTTTAGGAGGGAATTCTCTTCCTCTATGAACGGGCCAACTTTTTAAGTGATCGAACTTTCATTTCGGAAGGACTGGTACTCCGTTGACCCCCAACCCTCCCCATTTTTTCATCAAGTAATGTTTTTTTTAATTTTGCCAATTCCCTTATGATTTTTGCATAATCACAAAAATTGATTTTTAATTTTTAAATTAAAAAAATTAATAATTTTTCCTTTTTTTATAGACGGAACATTATTAATACACACAACAATGGGTGATTTTCTTCGAAATATTGAATTTAATAATGGAAATTTATCAACAATTAATCAAATTTTGTTAAATCGAGATTGTCAACTTGCGGTTTGAATTTTTTTATTAAAAAAAAAATTTTTTTTGAAAAATTTTTTAAAAATTTTTTTGAAAATTTTTTAAAAAATTTTTTTGAAAATTTTTGAAGATTTATTTATATTTTTTGACAAAATTTCCAAAAAAAATTTTTTCCCTTAAATTTAAAGATTTTCCATGGTTTACAACAAAAATTAATTTCAACATTCAGCGTTAATGGAAAATTTTTTGGCCAAATAGAAATTCAACATGAAGGAAAAATTTTGTCTTCAGTATTATCCAGAGATGGAGAATATTTTATTATTGGAACAGAAAATGGAAAAATTTTAATTTTGCGCCTATTTCCTTTAGAATTAATTTATTCTTATGCACAAACTGATAGTTCAATTAAATCTGTTGCTATTTCAACAAATCAAAAATTTGTTTTTGGTGGATTAGACAGTGGGGCTATTGTGAGTTTTCTTTTGACTATTTATTTTTTTGACAGAGGGGCTAAATTATTTTTAGTTTTAATTTTTTATATAAAATATAAATGATTCCCGAGTAGGGATGGATTAAATTTAAAAAAATTTCTGAACATTCCCCTCACAAAAAAATTTTTTTGTTTTCCCCCATTTCTTGGTGGGGTGGGGGGTCGGAATTCCGATTTCCGAAAAAAATTTTAATTTCCGAGTTCCGACTTTTTTGTGCCATTTCCGATCTCCGACAGTTCCAATTTCCGACACCTTCGTCATTTCAGACCCCCCCCCCCCCCTGGTTTGGGATGAGGGGGTATTGCTTCAGCCCATTCAGCCCCCTGGCTAATATAACTTTCACTACCTTTTACATTCTATCAAACTCACTAAAAATTTTTTAATAAAATTTTTTAAGGTTGTTTTCAATGTTGATTTTAATCGTTTTGATACTTGTAGACAACAACAACAAACAATCCAAAGACGAAAATAAATTTTGAAAAAAAAATTATTTAATTTAAATAATACTTAATTAAAAAAAATTTTAGAGGGGAAAAATCTGTGAAAAATAGGAAATGCTCACAAATTTATATAAAAAAAAATTGTGGCAAATTAAAATTTAATTTCACTTTAATTTTAAAAAATTATCTTATTTTTTCTTTGTTGCTATTTGTGATGCTTAATTTTAATTTAATTAATTAATAATTAATTATAATTTAATATGTCTATTTATTCTCTTCTATGTATCAGAGGTAGTTCGGAAATGACGAAGGTGCCAGAAATCGGAAATGGCTTAAAAGTTTTAAGCCGGAAATCAGCCTAAATTTCCGGAAATCGGAATTGCGACCTACCTCTTCTATGTATTATTTTTTTTTCCATCTAGTATATTTTTCTCTTCCAGTTGTTTTTTTAATTTAGTGGATAAAATGACATTTAAATATGTACAATTTAAAAATTAATGTTAAAAATTTGATTTATTTTTTTTCAATATCTTTTTTTGTAATTGAAAGTACGACGGACCTCACTTGTGTAGTACGCCTGTTCATGGGTACACTAGGGTTGGGGTTTTCGAGTCGGGCCGACGTTCGAGTCATTCTCGGGCCTCATTTTTCGGGCCGGCCCGACCGAGTCTTTTTCGGGCCAAAATTCAATGCCCAACTCGATCTTTCGGACCGGGCCAGATCGGGCCCCCACCCTAGGGTACACCCTCACTTTTATCTAAGTTTGTTATAAATATTAGTCACTCTGTTTGGGGGAAACTACATATACTCCTCCTCCCATCACTTTTATTATACCCCCTCATTTTTTTGGGGATTTTTTAAGCACCAGGGAAGAGATGTAGAAATAAGTGAGGTCCAGCTAATTACAATTTTTTAAAATTAAATAATTTAAATTTTTTTTTTTCAGATTAATTTTCTTTCAACTACTAATAAAATTTCTTTTTTGTACTCCTTGTTGTCTTCTTTTTAAATTTCTTTGAACAGCTGTTTGTATTCCAACAAATTTTTTGCATTTTTCTGCTCCATCTTCTGCAAGCCTTGCTTCTTGAACAATTATGCGGGTAGGTACAAGACGGAATGGAAAACTTGGCTGTATAAATTGACAGGAGAAGGCGTAGAAATTGACAGGAGAATTGACAGGAGAAGGCGTTTTTTTCAGATACAGGCAATCTGAAAAAAAATTTTTAGGAATTTTTTGATGAAAAAATTTCAAAAAAAAATCAAAAATTTCGGGAAAAATTCCAAAAATTTTTAAAATGTTTAAAAATTTTGGAAAAATTTTTTTTGAAAAATTTTCGATTTTTTTCTGTTGAAAAAACCTGTTCCTGAACGAGACCTTCTCGACATTCATTTCTGTCTTCTCCATTGATTCCTCTTAAAATTTAAAAATAAATTATTTTTAAAATTTTATACAGCAAGTTTGTCCAGTCCGTGTGATTTTTAATTTTTTTAATACTTAAAAAATATTTTTGATTGGTCCGCAAATACTGTCCGCAAATTTTTAAAAATTTTCTAGACAAGATTTTTAATTTTATTTTATAATGAAAAAATGGAAGAATATTTTTTTCAATTATACGGAAAAATATTAGGACGACGAAAAACTTTAAGATTTGAACGAAAAAAATTAAAAAAATTTTTAAATTTGCGGACAACTTTTGCGGATTTTTTAAAATTTAATTTATTAATTTTTTTATTATTTCATTAATTATTTTTTGCTTGGTTAATTTTTTTGAGATTATTAATTAAATTTATTTAATTTATTTTACCTTTCATTATTATTTTCTTCTCCTCCATTTTCCTTTTCATTTTGTAACAACCTTTTTTCCATTCTCATCCAATAATTACCACGTTGCTTTCTTAAACATTCTCTTAATCTAATGGCTAAAAGCTCGGCTAAAATCTTTTAAGAAAATAAAGAAAAAAATTTTATATTACCTTTTCTTTTTTATGTTTAAGCAAATTTGGAGGAAATTTAAGACGAAAGCTTTTAGCCATTGTTTCTGCTCCTTTAGGACAATCTGTGAGGGAAACAAATTTAATTATTTTTTAATTCTGAAATATTTTAGAATTATAAATTCTGAATTTAAAAATCAGAATTTAGAAACCAGAACCAAAAAATCAGAATTTAGAGACCAGACTTTACAAATCAGAATTTAAAATCAGAATTAACTAATCAGAATTATAAGTCAGAACTGAAAAACAGAATTTAAGACCAGAATTTAAGAATCGGAAATAATAAATCAGAACAAAAATTCAGAATTTAAAATCAGAATTAACAAATCAGAATTATAAGTCAGAACTGAAAAACAGAATTTAAGACCAGAATTTAAGAATTGGAAATAATAAATCAGAACAAAAATTCAGAATTTAAAATCAGAATTATAAAATCAGAATTATAAGATCAGAATCAAAAATCAGAATTAAAAAATCAGAATTAAAAAATCAGAATTTAGAAACCAGAACCAAAAAATCAGAATTTAGAGACCAGACTTTACAAATCAGAATTTAAAAATCAGAATTAACAAATCAGAATTATAAGTCAGAACTGAAAAACAGAATTTAAGACCAGAATTTAAGAATTGGAAATAATAAATCAGAACAAAAATTCAGAATTTAAAATCAGAATTAACAAATCAGAATTATAAGTCAGAACTGAAAAACAGAATTTAAGACCAGAATTTAAGAATTGGAAATAATAAATCAGAACAAAAATTCAGAATTTAAAATCAGAATTATAAAATCAGAATTATAAGATCAGAATCAAAAATCAGAATTAAAAAATAGAATTAAAAAATCAGAATTTAGAAACCAGAACCAAAAAATCAGAATTTAGAGACCAGACTTTACAAATCAGAATTTAAAAATCAGAATTAACAAATCAGAATTATAAGTCAGAACTGAAAAACAGAATTTAAGACCAGAATTTAAGAATTGGAAATAATAAATCAGAACAAAAATTCAGAATTTCAAATCAGAATTATAAGATCAGAATTAAAAATCAGAATTAAAAAATCAGAATTTAAAAATCAGAATTTAAAAATCAGAATTTAGATATCAGAATTATTAAATCAGAATTTAAAATATCTGACTATAATTTTTAATCATTTCTCTCTCTACTTTTACTATTTTCTCTCTTTAACTCTTATTGAACTTTTATTTTTATTTATTTTTATTTTTCTAACTTACTTGTAATATCAAAATCCATTCTAAACCAACTTTCCCATTTTTGATCTAATACACCCCAAGCAGTTGATTTATTTGAAGAATTATTTTGTCTTCCTTTAGTTAATTTTTGGGGTCGTATAGTAGATGAAGAAATGGACTTTTGAGTGTTTCCATTATTGTTGTTTTCAACAAGTGATGGGGGGACTGTTATTGGCTATAAAATAAAAGGATATAAAGGGATTTTTAAAATGAATTTTTTATTGAGTTTTTAAGCGGTATTTTTTATTTTAAGGCTGTCCGCAAATTTTGTCCGCAATTTTAAAATTTTTATTTTTTTTAAATTTTGTCCGCAAAAGTTGTCCGCAAGTTTATGCGTCCCATGAAAGTATATGCGTCCCATCAACAAAAAATTGGATATTTCTTGGTGTTGCAAAGTAGGGGTATGGTTCCAAAGCATTTTTTCATGTTCGGGATCTACGTCCACTGGGTCTGGGACCATTTCTTACCCTATACCTCGAAATTTCTGAAAGTTAAAATCGTTTTTCTGAAATTTTTAAAAATTGGCTATAACTTTCAGAAATTTCGAGGTATAGGGCAAGGAACGGTCCCAGACCCAGTGGACGTAGATCCCGAACATGAAGAAATGCTTTGGAACCATACCCCTACTTTGCAACACCAAGAAATATTCAATTTTTTGTTGATGGGACGCATATACTTTCATGGGACGCATAAACTAAACAAGAGCCTTACTTTTTTATGAATCTGTCTGCAAAATTTGTCCGCAATTTTTGTCCGCATTTTTTAAATTTTTTACTATTTTTAAAAATTTTTTTCTTCCATTCCTTTCACCTGAACATTTCCTCTCTCAACAAATCTGGGTAACTCAACAAGATTAGGAAGTACTGGTAATGGTGTTTTTTGTTGTTGTGTATTATTAATTGTTGTTAGGAGTGTTGTTGTTGGTAGAGTCGTTGTTGTTGTCGGAAGAGTTGTTGTTAATTCTGTTGTTGTCTCTGTTGGCGGTGGTGGTGTGGGTGTGGGTGTTGTCGGGGGAGGTGGGGGTTGTGTCTCTGGTGTAATATCTTGATTAGCTGCAATTTCAACCATATTTTGTTCTTCTTCTGGTAATGTTTCGGGCAATTCAAATTTTGTATTTGCAAAGGATTGGTGTTGGCAGTTAATTAAATTTGTAAATTGAAGTAGAAGAAAATTGAGAAGGGGAAAAATGAGAAGAAGATTCATTTTTCTGTTTTCTTTAAAAACTTTTTTTTTGGGTTAGATAATGTGTTTTTTGATTTTTGGTTACTGTCCGCAAATATCTTTGCGGACTTTTTTTTTATTTATTTCTTTAGTTGGATTTTTTAGTTGGATTTTTTAAAAATTATTTCTCGAGTTTTTCTCACGATATTTTTGGAATTCTAATGACTGAGGTTAAATACGAGTATCCAGATATCCTTTTTGCCGTTGTCCGCAAATTTTTTGCGGACTTTTCTGTTTTTGTGTAAATTTTTGTTTTTTTTTAGTTTTCACACAAAACGGATTTTTTGTTTTGTGTGTGTGAATATACAAATAAGTTAAATCATTTACTATAAATTTTATTTAAAAATAACACGAGAGAAAAAAATTCTTTTGGACAGAAAAAATATTTGCGGACATTAAAAAAATCTTTTTAAAAATAAAATAAATAATTAAATATATGTAGATATTTTCACTTTTTTTTTAAATTTTTCTGTTGTTGACCAGTTGTTATTTTATTGTTTTATTTATTGTTCGGTGTATCTACATGCGTGAATAAATTTTGGGGGAGAAAGAAAAATAAAAATATTTATTTTTATATATTAGCCATTAGAGAGGGGATTGTCGTCACCTTGTGGCGATTTTTCTTATTCTTCTCTCATAGCTCGTCTTTCTCTCTTGATTTTTATTTATCCTAAAGATCACTATCTCTTGAATGATTTATTTAAATTTTTTTTTGTGTATTTGAGGCGGACAATATATTTTTTTTAAAGCTTTAATTTTTTTGTCCGCAAGTTTTGTCTGCAAAACTTTAGTCTAGTCTTTTGTCTGACAATGAGCATACCTCACTTATGGACTTATATCCTCTTACATAGATAAGTTTTGTGAGTGTAACTGATTTTTTGTGATTTTAAATTTTGAGTTTTTGATTTTTAAAATTATTTTTAATTTTTAAAAAAGTCCGCAAATTTTGTCCGCAAAAATTTTTTGTCCGCAAAATTAAAATTTTTTTAATTTTTTTTAATTACCAATATTTCTTCTATATTTTTTAACTCCTTTTTTGATTTCAACATTTTTTGTGTGATCTTTTGGAATTTTTAAAAATATTTTTTTTCCTCTTTTCATCTTTTTTCGAGATAAAATTTTTTTGAAGAACAAAAAAATTCTTTTCTTTTTTTGCCACTTTTATTCTCCCATCTCTCTTTAAAAAAATAAATATCTACAAATAATATAAAAATAATTGCGCGACCAATCGAGCGAAGAAAAAAATTTTTTTGTTGTTGCTATTCCTCTTTTTTTTTCATGAAAAATACCAAAAATCTCCACGGCTTTTGGTGTTGTTTTTGTGAAGAGGGGAGGGAGGGGGAGGGGAGGGAGGAGATATTTCCTTTTTTTATTATCCGCTTTGTAAAAAGAGATGAAAAGAGAAAATTAATAAAAATTAGCTTTTTTATAATGAGAATAAACAGCGGGAATGAACGGATTAAAAAAAAATTATTTTTTAAAGAGGGAGGGGGAGGTATTTTTAATTTTTTGAATTATTTTTAATCTAAAAAAATCCGCAACTTTTGCCCGCAAAAATATTATTTTGTCCGCAAATAATTTTTTGTCCGCAAAATTTTTTATTTGCAAATTTTTTTGTCCGCAACTTTTGTCCGCAAAAAATTTTTTGTCCGCAAATATTTTTTTATCCGCAAAATTTTTTTTCCGCAACTCATGTGTCCGCAACTTTGGACACAAAAAATATCCGCAAAATTTAAAAATTGATTTTAGTATATTTTTTATTTTCCATTTCAAATTTAAAAAATTTTAAACATTAATTTTATTATTATTCCCCTCTTAAAAATTTCTTCAAATCTCCCTTCAATAAAAAAAATACTTTTTTTTTATTCCCATTAATATTTACCCTTTTTTCTTTTATTTATTTATATCGATTTAAGTCCCCCCAATCTTTCCACGCCATTTTTATCTGTCCTTTCCTCTCAACTCGCAATTTTTTTTCTTGACAATTTTGTTCTTTCTCAGCAACAAATGCCGTTGTATTTATAAATTAGTGTATAGGACAATTCGCCAATTAATGGAAAATATTTAATTTGGTCGAAGGGGGAAAATTTTTTTTAATTTTTGTTAAAGTTGAGATGTTTAGATAAAATCTATATAAAAATTTTTTTGGATATGTTGAGAGGGAAAGACGCTTTCCTACGTCCTCTTATCGGTTTCCCCATTAAAAAATAGTTTTTTGGGTAATATTTCACTGTGTGACAAAAATAAATATTTTTCCCTTTATGGCGAAGTGAAAGTTGACAAAATTTGGTGAAATGAAATTTAAGGGATCGAATTTAGTGTCTTCACATTTGACCAAAAACATGTTTTGCCAATAAGGCTAAAAGTCACGTTTTGCCATTAGTCTTTGTGACAAAAAGGAGGTTTTTAGCCTTATTGGCAAAATGTGTTATTGGCAAAATATGGGGGAGCAATAGAATTTTCCTTTTTCTTTTCTCTTTATTTTTCTCTGTTTCTTTTTTTCTCTCTTCTTCAACATTTCTCTCGCTTCATTTTGTTTCTCTTTTTTCTCTTCTTTCTCTCTATTTTTCTAATAATCCCAAAGTAAATATTTGACGAGAATGATGCTAGAGAGAGTGACTTGGCCAATAATTCCTTAAGCACTTGGACACGGTTTTTTTTTCTGTGCGTGTTTGTGAAAGGGGTTAAGAAGAAAAGAAACAATGAACAGGGGGAGAGAGAGAATGCCGTCAGCCCTTCTTAAGACCTCAAAAAATATTGGGAGGCGACAAAATGAAGGGGAAAAAAAAGTTGGCCATCGAATAAAAATTTTTTTTTGTTTCTTTAGTCACTTCTTTTCTCAGCTCTTATTTTTTAAATTTTGTGTTCAAAATCAAAAACTTTTTCAAGTTTTTTTTATTTGTTTAATATTCTTTCTTTATTTTTAATTCCTCTTTCTGCCCTTGTTTTAAATTTTTATTTTATTTTTTTTCTTTGCACTCATCGCCACGCAGCCAGCGTGTGTTGATCATCATCTGATTATCGCCTTATATTTTTCTCTTTACTCTTTTTCTCTAACCTTTTTTCGTACTGTTCTAAAGGAAATGTTTTTCTGTTATGAGTGATTTTCCTTGAAATAAAGCCACGCAAAATTTTTTATTTTTTAGATTCAAAACTGAAACTGGAGGTCGTTAATTCTTCTCCAAGTCGCTCCACAAATGGAGTTGGATCATCTTCTATTCATCAACAACAACAACAAACACCCTCCTCATCCTCCTCAAATTTTCACTTGCCTGAATTAAAACCTGTGATTAACAACAATAATGGTAATCATCATGATGGTGCTAATGAAAGTCAAAATGTTTCTACAGAGGAAGGTTTTTTTTAATTTTTTGGAACGAAGCCAAATTCTGTAGGTTATCCCAAACCAGATTTTTGCGGACATGTTTATATGCGGGCTCATAATGGTCAGTAGAGATGGAGACTTTTGAAAAGCCTGTTCTGGGACTCTTGGGTTTGGTTTATTGCCCTGGATCGGATCCTGGGCCTGTAGTCCAGAAAAACCCAGATCCAGGAAAAACCCAAGAAGTCAAAAAATGCCTGGGCTTGGACTCTGGGTACAGGAAAAACCCAGGCCTTTGTCCAGACCCTGCACGATCTCTATTGGTCAGATATAAAAAAGATGCATAATCGATACTTCCTTGAATAGAGAAATGGAAGTATGGATGCTCTGACCATTATGAGACCTTTTTGATTATTGTCCGCAAAAATAATCCGCAAAAGTTTGTGATGCCCACCAAGTATCTTTTTATTCCTTCAGAAATTAGCGCTTATGACCGTCAACAACAACAAATTGAAATTGCTATAGCTGCAGCTATAAATGGAGGAAGTATTACCAGTCCTTTCCGAGAAAGTGATGGCGGTGGTGGTCCTTCTTCCTCTTCATTTACTTCAAGTAATGATGAATTTTTGCATCGTTTAGTTAATGCTGTTAGAAGAGAACCTTGTTTATATAATCCAAATGATGAACATCATGGAAATAAACATTCTAGTGCGCAATACAGGGTTTTTATTTTTTATTTTTTTTAAAAAATATTTTTATTGGGATCTGAGGGTGGAATAGTTCATATTTGTCAATCAATGGGATATTATTAAATAAATATAGCGTGAAATTTTATTTTCCTGATTGTGTTTGGTTTTGGTGTAGTCGGAAGCGCCTAGGTTTTAGCTTTTATAGGTCGATGGTTCGACCACCACTGTGGGAAATTTTTTAAATTTTGGTTAAGAATTTATGTCTGATAAATTTTTTACTTTTTAAAAATCATTTTCTCTATTATTAAATTTTTTTAAAGGCTGCTGTTTGGCAAAGACTTGTAAAAGAATTAAATTACCACGAAGATGCCCATTCACTCCAAACTCAATGGAAACGTCTCAGAGAGCGTTATGTTAGAGAAAGACGAAGAAAAGCTGCAAAAGATTTTTTTGATCCTCTTACAGGAGGTGTTTCTTCTGTCAAAAATTTTCATTTGATGCATTGGATAGATGAATTCCTTCCTGATATATCTAATAATCAATCTTCTTCATCCAATTCTTCAAACAATGGTATATTGATTTTTATTTATTGAAGGGTGAATTTGGACGTATTTCTATTTATTAGTTTAACTCTTTCCACAAAATTTTTTACCGGGTTTACAATTCAATTAAATTTTCATTTCCCCTGAAATATCTCCCTGTATGTTTTGAAAAACGATTTCCTATTCCATATTCTGAAGGAGGCCGTGGGAAGGCTCCAGACCGATCATCATATCTTTTCTTTACTCTTCAAAAGTTTCTACGTGCTTTGTTTTTTTAATTTACAATCCTGGGATAGTTTGCAAATAGAAAATCTTTGACTCGAATATTTTTTTCAATTATAGTTTCTATGCACTTGCCTGGTACAAGTATTTCTGACCGACAACAACATCAACAACAACAATATTTTGAGCCACTTAATAACGGGTTTATTTTTTTATGTTTTGAGCTAAATTAAAATTTTTTAATTCAAGCTTTGGGAATATTGGAATCTGTAAATCTTCATTAAATGGTCCATCAACATCTGCAATTGGTACCAAGAAAAATGAATCAACAAACGGGTCGCCAAGTTCTACAAGCAGTGAAACAAGTACAATCTCTGGAGGGGGAGGACAACAACAACAAATTATCTTACCTAATTTGAGGCATCAAATAAAATCTGAAATTAATGGAGGAAGTGCTTTTTACTCTACGGGAAAGGTTTTTTCTTTTTTATAAGAATCTTTTAGTTGAAAATTAATTAAATCCTTCCATAATGGGTGTGTGTTGTTTTATCGATTTATTTTAAATTTATCGATTTTTACCTTTATCGATTTATGCTATAAGAATCTTGTAATTTCTTGCCTTTGCCCGATTATTTATTCACCATTCTGTTAGAAAGTTTTGTTGACGGGACATTGTTTTGTCGATTCTCTTTAATAATCTATCATTTTATTGATCACAAGCATCAAAGAAATTTATAAAAGTTTGGTATATATTGATAGATGTCCAAGACCGAAAATTTTTTCCACAACTCAAGACCGAAATTAATTCCAAAACTCGTCTTAATTTCTCGTTACTTTTATTAAGATTAATTTTTTAAAGGCAAATCAATTAATGTACAAATTGAGGGAAGAATTGGGCCTTAGAATGCCTCCAGTAATTGGACTTGTAAATAATATTGGACAAGAACAGCAACACCAACAACATCTCAATATTAGTCCTCATCAATTACAAATGCCAACAGATACTTTAAGGCCAATTTCAGCTGAATGTTATCAACAAATTGGAATTTTACCTCAACAACAACAACATTCCATTCAAGGTTTGCATTTTAATTTTTTGTAACAAATTTGGGTTCAAATGAAAATAAGGATGTATTTGGCCTTGTTTTTCTGTGACCGTCGTTATGCTTGACCTGACCCATGTCTTCGACCTCAGCCCGGAACTCGTTCTGCCCTTCCTACATCCCCCGCCTTAAGAGGGATGATGGATGTGTTTTGCTGTGGCTGTCGTCCCGATTGGCCTGACCCAGGGATGGCAGAGATACCCAATTCTAAATCGTAGATTTCCTTTTTTTTACCAGACCAACCCTCTGTCCATTGTGCATCCGACTGGTATTTTTTTGACGGAGATCATATGAATGGATTTAAACATTTTATTTAACCTTCCCATGCTCAATCTAAAATAAAAATTTTCTAAAATTCTTTTTAGATATTCAAAATGATTATTTTCATCAACAACAACAACCATCATCTTCATCATCTGCAACAAATGAAGCAGCTATTTCTTCCCCTTATTTGAATAGAAGAAAACGTTCAGCTTTGGATAGTTTAATGCTTTTACAACAACAACAATCAACAAATAATGAAAGAATTTTACAAAGAAATAATAATAGTAGAACAAAACAAGAGCAACAACAACAACAAATTATTGCAGAATCTGGTTTTTTTTTTTTTAAAAATTTTTTTGAAAATTTTGAGAAAATTTTTGTATATTGATTTTTGGGGCCTCCCTCTATCCGATCAACCTTTCCAATTTTTTCCCTTAGAATCTATATATAGGTCAAGTCTTGGCAATCATAACTTACATTAACATGGAGAGGATTTTCTTCCGTTTTCTTCATTGTACACCTTCTATTTTAGTCTAGGGTTCTTCCGTCTTCTGGTTTTTAAAGTGGCATTGCCCATGTAACGGCCCTGTAATATCTTCATTTTTTGGTTGATTCCAAAATAAAATTTTTTTCTTTGGAATTTTTTGAATTTTCATTTTTCCCGTTTCTGATCACTTATTTGTTAGGTTGAGAAAAGAGGGAATTCCTCAATATGGGACAAATATTTTCTGATAAAATTTTTTTATTTGATTTTTTTTTCTTTAACCAGAACATTTACTTATTCAACAACAGCAACAACAACAAATTCCTTCAATAGCTTTAGCTATACATAACAATCAACAACAACAACATCATTTACCGTCACCACATCAGGTATAGAATTTTCTTTAAAATTTTTTTTTAAATTTAATTTTTAAAGGCTCCATCAGTTCATTCAATTAGATCATCAAATTCAAATAGTTCAACATCTTTACAACAACAACAAAATAATTTATTATTACCTTCAACTTCATCAACAATAACAGTTGGTCAACAACAACAACAAGCAAGTTCATCTACTACAAACACAACAATTATACCTCAACAACAACAACAATTATTTCAACAACAAGAAGAAATTGTTGAAAATGAGGAAGGAAATTTTATTGAAATGATTGGTTAGTTGAAGGAAAAAATTTTAAAAAAATTTTGAAAATTTTTTGCCTATTTTTCAGTGAGACATTTAAAAAATTTGAATGAAGATGAGGTAAAAAATAATAAAAAAATAATTAAAATTTTTATTGTTTTTTTAAAGAAAGTTGTTACAAAAATGAATATTCAACGAATATTAATGGATGCACGTTTTGGTAGAGGTGCTTGTGTTAGAATGTTTAATGAGTGAGTTTAGTTGATTTTTTAAATGTTTTTTTTGAGTTGATTTTTATCCGAGATTCAACTAATTATTATATCAATCGAAAGTTCTGAGTTCTACTGATTATTTTTGCTAATGTGACTGATGAGATCTGATCATTCCTTATGAAATTATTAACTATTAAGTTCGGAGAATCGCAATTTCCTATCGTTATTGGGCTCTAACTTTTTATAGGATGACCTGATCAAGTAAATCTTGTTAAATAAAATAATCCCCACATTAAGAGCTTTCGGTTGATATAATATTTATTTAAATCGGTTAGGAATCAATAAAGTTATGGGCCAAAATATAGCATTAATACTGATACGTCGATTCCAAAAACATTTTTATTTGTAAAAACTTTCCGGATAATTGTAGAACTTTTATAAACATTTGTAAAACTTTTATAAATGTTTGTAAAGGTTTTACAATTATCCGGAAAGTTTTAAAACCTGACTGAGAGCTTTTAAGTCGAATAAACTTTCCGGAAACAATTTCCGGAAAACTTAAATAAAATAAACTATTTACAATTTTACAATCCTCATATAGACCTTTTCCGGAAACTTTCTATAAAACTTTTTTACGGAAAGTTTATTTACATCAGGTATGTGCGCCATCGCGTTTGGCGTTTTTTAAAACGGAGAAATTGGCGTTTGGCGCGCCAGGCAAAAATTTTGGCGCACACCCAGATTTATATTTCAGAGTATTATTGATTAAATAAGAGTTAGACATATCCGTAGGGTTTTGATTTAAATATTTTTATATTTTAGTGAACTTGCTATGGAACAACAACGTCAACAACAACAACAACACTTGCAACAATAATATATTTAAA